ACTTCTAATATCTGGCAGAATACCTACCGCCTTCGTTACCTTCCCTTCTATTTCCTACCTCTTGCCTATCTATTTACCTACCTTCCTTTGCTAATATTTTTACTTCTTCATCTTTACATCTTTTTATTTTCTCATCTTTCAATCATACAATCATACAATCTATTTATTTACCTACCTACCTACCTACCTACATACATTACATACATACATACATACGTACGTACGTACCTACTTATTTATTTATTTATTTATTTACTTACTTACTTACCTACCTAATTATTTACATACCTACCTACTAATAATCAATCAAGCAATCAACCTTTGAATCATTTGATCAAGGTACGTATCTAAGTAATTATCTAATTACCTACCTACAGATCGACTTACCTAATTACAAATCAACCTACTTTCAGATCGACCTAGCTACCTCCAGATCGACCTAGCTACCTCCAGATCGATCTAGCTACCTTCAAACCGACCTAGATACGTACGTACAATATACCTACCTTTGATATACGTTCTGATCAACCTACTGACGTTCAGATCGACCTACCTACTTTCAGATCAACGTACCTACCTTCAGATCAACGTACGTACAAACATACCTTTGATATACGTTCGGATAAACCTGCTGACCTAATTACTTACAAATGAACCTACCTTCGAATCGATCTAGATACGTACGTACAAATCTACCTATCGAACAACCTTGAGATCAGATTGCTGACATAATTATAGATAAACCTACCTTCGAATCGATCCAGATATGTACGTACAGATCTATCTATTGAACAACCTTGAGATCAGGATGCTGACCTAATTATAGATGAACCTACCTACCTTCGAATCGATCTAGATATGTATGTACAAATCTATCTATTGAATAACCTTGAGATCAGATTGCTAATCTGATTACCTTAGATCGATTTACCTTAGATCGCAAGAATGATTCTAAACCCCATAGAAGCATTACATGCATAAGATCGATAGAAATTAGAAGAAACCATTCTCGATCGCAGAATGATTCTATACCTTATAGAATGATTACATGCATAAGATCGATAGAAATTAGGAGAAAGCATTCTGGATCGAAGAATAATTCTTATATCAAGAATGGTTTCTTCTAATTTCTATCGATCTTATGCATGTAATGCTTCTATAAGGTTTAGAATCATTCTCGCGATCCGGGGGTTCCCGCTATGGTACTGTACAAGTATACAAACACGCATATTCTCAAATTTGATATGATATCATAACTTCACATATCGTAATCAATTGCCGCAAACCCGCAGGCATTGGTCCACTTCTATACTCCATAGACTAACTGAATGAAGCTTTTGGAGATGAAGATGGATCAATCGATATTCAAGATCTCGTAAAAATACCGAGATTAATTAGTTACTCGCATACATTACCCAAGTACTTGCCTTAATAGGAACCTAGGTAAGTAGATAGAAGTAGAGGAGACTTAGACCGAAAACCCCTTAAACTAGTGTATGGCCTATTGGATGGCCCATTGAGGCGGGCCAGCAGACCAGACGGATTAGCTCGTCAAAAACATGAAGTAGAAATATGATGTCATCCGTTAATAACAGTTTGTCACAGATGCATCCGTATATTCAAAATATCTAGACTACGTATGTGTAGGTATAGATACCTGGGTAGCTGGGTAGTTAGCTAGCATATAGACAAGTAGCCAACCGACAAAGCTTCCATAAACGCGTCGCGTATAGGTATCACCAAAATCCAAAAGGGTATCCAGCAAATTCGTGAATATCGCAATCTAAACCATCATTTCTAATGTTACGACTTATGCTTAACAGTCCCGCATAAATCGCAGGACCACCACTGTTTATCCCGAACTCGTCCACAGAACGAGCATGTCCATGTTGGTGCGGGTGGCTTTGTAGAATGAGGTATGGCTGGACCTGCGATTGGTCTCGAGGTTGATTTTGACGTTGAAGCATTTCGCTTATTCGCCGATGGGGACTGGGTAAGATCAATAACCGTTGGTCTTCCCTTTGTCGATCTCCCGGCGAGGTTTTGGGTAATTTTCTCGCCCCGTTCCGTACCACAAGCGTCGCAACATAGGAAACTAGTTGGATTCACAAGGGTACAGATATCGCACGTCCATGTAGATCGTCCATCCCCTCTATTTACACTTTTCTCGGGTTTACGTGATTGGCCAGACGGTCTGGATGGTCCTGGCGCTGAGTTGGAAGAAGAGCCGCCGCCATGATCCCAAGTTTGGATGCTAGAGCTGGGAGGAACGTAATTTTTGCCTTTCTTGGCCATCTCTTCTTCTTGGACAAGTTCCCACAGAGCCTGAGCTATCGCAGCGTCGTTTGCAGCGTCCTCCTCGGCTTGTGTTCTAAACCCATTTTTAGTTGCTGTATCAGCAATTTGTTGTATCTCGTTTTGCGGTCGGTTGTCGTTTGCGCAGCCTCGAAGAGAATTATTACGACGTTCGACTGCGCCAACAATAACCCTTCTAATATCCTGACTTGGTCCGGGAGCTGCACCACCCAGTCTTTGACCGGAGCCTGTGTTAAGTGTACGACGCTTCTCCGCGGAGGCTCGGGCCAGCCTACGAGCTTCATCCATAGGTATCTTCCTGCCGCCGAGTCGATGACCTGCTGACAAGAACCCTTCACCCGTATATCCTTTCATTATAAGCGACTCGTGTTCTTCGCGCAATTGATTCCATAGCGCGTGAAACTTTTCGTCGTGAGGTCCGTGAACGTTATGTGCGAGTTCGTGAAGCATTGTATCAATTACTTGTTCGATGGGGACGAATTGGTTGCAATCGCTATGATACCGAAGTCGAAGGCATATTCTCTGCCCACGCCCTATATTTAGGCCTATAATCATTCATTGTATTAGTTTACGGTCATTCTAAAACTGATTCTTCGACATTATAGTACCTAGGAGGTTGTGTTGTTCGGGGTAGAATTCGGTCAATTGTCCAACTTTCCATCCTCTTGCCCTCATCATAGGCTTCACCAGGGAAGCCACCTTTTTAAGGATTTGTAAAGCTTCAGCTTCTCGTGGAAATTTCGCCAGATGCGAAAATGAAAAAACTAAAGGATCTATTTCCGCCATTTTACAACTCGATTCGCAACCTAAAGGTCGTAGAAACGTGAATGAAGATGTGGGGAACCGGACACAAAAGTCCAAAAGAATAGAAATAAATCAAGAAATAAAGTAGTAGGAGCCTGCTCATCCATTTGAGAAACTGCGATACCAGGAAGCCATAATGTAAGCCTTGTTTATAAATAAAGTAAGTAGCCGCGTAAACTTCTAGAATTTGTTGGCGGTCGTCGCTGACCAACGCGCCACTGTACACGAAGTCACAACGTTGCCTACGCTAAAACGGGAGGAACTTATCAAGTGTTTTTTCCCTGTAAGTGATTAATCATTTACGTCATATCTGTTAAGTCACTATATTGTTGTAACCGTAAAGACACCCCTGTTACAGCTAACGTCCAAGCGCTAACTCCCCCAAATCACTATCATTCATTCTCATTTTCCAACGCCTTCGTCATTAAAAGATGACCATATGTTAGTATTAAATAACCCAATTTGAGACATATGATGAGAATTCATGATCCAATTTATATATCAATCACATATAGTTATTTCTGTATGGGTGGTATCTGACGAATTCATCCCGACCTGACTATCCCAACTACATCCACGTAGAGATGCGCCGGAGAAGAACCTGTCAGAATAACTTGTACCTTATACATCCAAATTAAAGCTATAGGAATCAATATGGCATATCATTTCGAGATAGCTCTTGTCCTTGTCTTATCGGCATATATAAATGGGTAGCTTGGGGTCCAGAACATATTCTCGACAAAGAGGTAGTGGTTCCGTAGCTCCTTAACTCACATCTACCGCTATTGTCTTTCTTTTTTTGTCTTACTCTGTCATCATCCTTTTCATACCCGAGATGAATCTAGACTTCGTGGTTCATTGAGTGGAATGTTGGAGTTCTTGTTTGCAAGGAGAAAGTATTGCCAACTCTCTTCGTTTGGAACCTCTACAATCACATTTCGAAGGGACCCGTGTTTCTTTTGTCACGCGGAACCCAAGCTCTGTCCTCTCCTAAAAGGGGCAATCCAGACGTCCTATACTCCAATATGTGTCAGAGGCGACATGTAGATAGCTACCTACCTAGGTAGGTAGGTAAATTGGTAAATCTGTGTCTACTTGTTCCAAGTTTTCTTACAAACGTAAGGCATCACAGTATGAAAAGCTTCAGAAACTTAACTTTATATTAGATACTCAACTATACCTACCTAGTACCTATATGGAAATAACAAATTGAGTAGGTACCTAGATACCTATCTATCCTGTAGGTAGTCACATTTCATGGCGTCCACTATAAATTCATACGTTCATTCAGTTCTGCTTAGGAACATCATGAGAGAAGCCTTGATAACATATATTCGTTTAACAAACCAAGTACACTCTACCTACTCAGCATTTAAGTAGCCAAACAAGAATGTAACACAGCCAAATACCGAATTAATATCATATAAGTGTCAAAGGTTTCATGACGATATTGACGCCACGCCCTAATACTTACTCGCCCTCCCGAGTCACTCTGCCAGTAGCTTAACATCTCATACCAACAAGAGACAGAAAGTTTTAAGGGTATTGTCTTCACTATATATGAGACTTTCTAACCTCCAGCCTATGATTACAACCACCGATCGATTAATCATCGCTCGAGTAAGGCTTATTCAATACGACATCATCACACCTTAAGCAAGACGACAGAGCGAAGTACATATATCTTAGAAGCAATTCCTCCAGTTTAAATCTAATCGTATCCTCGTCTAGTGCCTAGGCACTTATATATTCTAACTTTACTGCGTTGTTAGTCTTCATAAGAAATATGATGTTGTATCATGGAACTCGTGAGAAATTATGAGGGCGCGTATAGGTTAAGATGTTTACATTAAGCTTTTATAGCAAAAACAATATGTCATATAAACGATTATGATATCTAGCTATATATATTGTAAAGAACATGTCAGCTCATACATACTAATGTTAGTTAAACAAGATAGACCTGAGAGCAGAAGATATGAGATCATCTACTAAAGTACTGGCTACCAATATTTCACTGAAACCTCATAACTACGTATTTTAGAATAATGTAGTAATAATGGCACCAGGAACGGACGTTCATAAGAGACTAATCTAACCTGAAGTAAGTTCTTGTAGACCTTCCCGAGTAAATGTCATTCGTAGGTACCTAAGCTATGATAAAATATTGGAAAATGTAATGTTTATTGACTCCAGCTGGACAAGCAGCCGCGCTATTTTGGTGTAATTAATTTCTAGAGAACTCGTTCCGAGATCAGAGCGACGTGATACAACTATATCCTACACATTATAGATAAGACGATACCCGAGATTGAATCTATAACTATTGTTATGTTAACTTATGCAAGATCATTCTACGCATTTTCTTCTCATGGAGATCCTCAATGATAGGAGCTCACGGTCATTGGAGATCTCCCTGAGAACATCTTCAGTTAAGATAAGATTATTCGCTTGAGTAAGCCGAGAAGTTCTAGAAGGTAAAAGTTTCTTCAGGCCTCATTTAATTTAATTTATCAATTGTTCCTAATTGTTTATTCATCAGTGCTGATTGGGGCTGACATATGACTAATATGGCTGTAGGAATCTTCGCTTCGGAAGCGTGGTGGAGGCATCATATTTAAGAGTGAGAACTTTAAGCTTCATTAAAACCAACTAGTGGTTGAACAGATACTTCACCTGTGAGAAATTGGAAATAGCTACTGCGAGCTCGAAAGTTCCTCTAACATACATAGGACTGGGTACCTTATGAGTAGAAGGATCCGATTCAACCTAAATGCCTTTAAGCCTCCAACTATGGTATCAGTGAGATTAATCTACCCAGCCAGCATCGTAAAGACTGACGGTGGCGAACTGTTGTTGCATTCGGCCTTTCTCCAGAGCCTCTATATCTTGATGGGATACCTATACAGATTAAAGTGATATGATAAACGAGAGTACATAAGTTAGGAGTTTCCCAAGGCATTTTGATATGCTTACTCTTGACAAGCCGGAGGATACTGCCGAGTCGGTGTGACTCCCGGTCTACATAGCCACCCTGATGATCATATGTTGGATGGAATTTAGCTCGTGGAAAGGTTCTCAAAGCGCTTACCTAGCCATGCGTACCTACCTAGTAGTATAGGAATACCTACCAGTTAGCTGCAGAGGTAGAATTGGAAGAACCTTGTAAGTTAGGACATTATGACTAGCCTACTTGGATATTAGATCGTTCGATGGACACACATTTAGTACCTCTATTACCTACTCGGGCTCATCAACTCCAAAAGCTAACGTGCCCTGGAAGTAGGGACACTAGATTTCCATATATAAAATTTAGATGGCTAACATAGGTAAATATGGGGAGCTACCCTTAATAACTAAAGTACTACTGGTAGCTTAGAGGATCGAACATTTCTAGAATAGGTCATTCCGAGCTCATGTGGGCTTAAGGCTTTAGATTCTTGTCGCTATGCCCGAATATGATCCACTTCGGTGGCTTTGTTGTCCCAATTCGGGGACCAACACGATATATTTCTATTGCCTATGGTTAATTGCTGCGACTAAAATATTTCGGTGGCATCGCAACAGTATTCCCTTTATCCAATAGGTGATAAGATGACTACCTAGATTATGTTAGACATATTAGTAGTTCGTGAAGCCTTCCCGAACTAGCGAACCGGACTAGTTTCACCGTAGGTCAATATCTTAAGAGGTGTGCGCGGGTTGAGAGAATGGGGGTCTCTTGGGGGTTAATTGTGAGGTGCCTTATCATATATAGTTGTTGGAGGTGTCGTGGTAAATGTGGTGAATCGGCTGCGGCTCGCTAGATAATTATCATATATAAAAGCTTGGCGAGATATCGTTTACGCCTGGAGGGGGAGAGGAAACCAGGTCAGCAAGATAAGAACATGATGGGGGTCTCAAGATCCAGGCTCGGCGTTTTCAGCGTCGAAACATTCGAGTCCGGCTATTCAAGAACGGAGTAAAGATATTTGATAGATTTGAAGATATGATATTGTTGCGCGTTACTAGACAACGAGGCGACTAGCAAGGCTGTCTTAAGAGGAGTCGTACTGTATTACGACCCCTACGCTTGCGTGCATCGTAGCTTATGAGGTCGCAATCCGCTACTGTGATATCGAACAGGGGATTTTCGATCTTATGCCGTCATTTGGAGATCGACAGGGATTTTTCTGGCCTAGGGTGACGGCTCCACTAGACAAAGTCCGTGTGCTTCGTGCCCGAAAGCAGAGACGCGCGTCCTGGGGAGGACAGACGCATGTCCCCTGTCAGCCTGTTTAATGAGCCTATGTGTCAGTGTTAATTCTTTGCGTCGACGCTACTAGCACTGCGTATGTAGGCGACTTGAGCTATAGGGATAGTGTCTATCTGACTGCGGTCTATCCCGTATTGCGCTATATTGCTAGGTCAGTTAATTAGAATAATGAATTGCTTGTTGCTTGGTGGCTGATTCTAGTAGCGATATTCGGCAAACGACGCAGTGTTAGTCCAAGTAACGAAATATCTACGTGAGTTACCAAGGTTCGCCTGGACGGCAATGAGTCCTCGGGACCCAAGAATACCTACCACACCACCTACATATCTAGCTACAGCATGTACCTACATGAACCCACACAGATGACGAACCTCTCTTGGCGGTGGATGAGCTCGTTGTCTCGGCCGCCTGGTTCGGCTCAATCCGAGAGAGAAACCACTTCTACTAGTACAAACATACCCAGTATTTCTTCGTTAATCGTAGTAAATGCGATATTATTTCATGCCGTGGTGTTCGTCTGATATCTTTGGCGAGAAGGAATCTTCATCCTTGTTTTGGGTATAGTATGTATGAGGCCTGGTAATGACGAGGCAATAATTTCGATGCATTGTGCGGACCGGACTCTAGTTCCCTCGATAATGTTACATGATATACGTCCGTAACTGAAGCATACGTGCTGTATGTGTAAGTCAGCCGCATATTTTCGAATTAGAAAGGACCGCCAAGCCTCGAAATAAAGAGGATATGTGAAAAGCCGAAGCAAGCAACGTAGCATTATCCAAGAAGAGAAATGACTAGCTTAGCAAATCATCGGACAGGAATGGTGGGATTCGACGTTCGAAAGCTGTGGCAAAGCTGTCATTGGCCAGAAACACGCAAGTCTCTTGAAGAGGGGGAGGGACGCGCAATCAGCCTCGACACTAAAAGGGGGAAGCTAACTAGAAACACACCACGAGGCGGTAGATTCACGCGTGATCGACAACCTCTCTGCAAATATCTCTAGCTATCTCATATCGTCATACGTACGTTTTTCTAATAACTGAAGAAGACATTTGGAATTTTTTCTTCTCAAGATACGAAAATGGGTAGTCAATGGCGATCAGGATTTTACCTGTCGGACACTTTTTCATAAGCAGACAAGCAAGGTATAGAGAGAGGGGTCTGAGGGTATTCCGAGGGCGTTCTTGATCAATCTCTCACGTAATTCTAGATAAGTGAGTGTGCCCAGATGAACAGACTGACCAGTCATCTTGCGGCTTGATCCAACGGCGGCATACACACCTGGGCATATACGTACGCCTCATGCAGAAGAAAAAGCTTCGAGGCTCTCTAGAACTGGAGCTGGAAGGGTTTTGAGTAACCCACAGCTTATCCAACTGCTTGTTGAACCGATACGGTACGACACGTGGGAATCCTAATCCACGTACAACTCATTCGTACAGTCGGGCCGGAGAATTGTCGAGTGACAATACAGAATTTAAGCTTACCGCCCTGCCGCCGCGTTGACCGACGAGTTTATCAGTGGCGCCGTGGAGTTGGATCCTCCCGGGTTACCGAAAGGTTGGTTGACTGGTGTTGTGTCGTATCGTAAATGCCAGTGTGCTAGGTATCAGCCGTCTGAGCATGAAGGGACCTTGATTCAAAGGTGAGGCTGAAAGACGAAGAACGTGACATCGTGCTTAGACTTGCAGCGATGACCTCAAGTTAGACTCAATCAGCGAGCTCTTTGTCAAATATTGAATTTTGCAGTCGGATCTCGAGCATCCGTGCTCATAGATCGGACCAGTTGCAGTTGTGATTCAAAGCTGTGGTTATTAAGCAGAAGCCAATAGCGACGAAACAATAGCAACAATGACGACGATTAGTGTCGGGTAACAAAGCCAAGATCAGATACAAGCGTATCGGCCAAGTCCGCTTTCATGTTCTTGTATGTTTAGGGAAAATATTATGGAATATCAATCGGCAATCGAATGGCAATTGAACGGTCCTGAAACAGAAAAATCTCGGGAGGATCGAAAGCTGGTAACAACCTTGGAACCTTGAAGCAACCTTGAAAAATTCAAGACCGGAAGTGGTACAAATACCCACAATTTGATTAAGGCGGTGCAAAACTAGAAGCTGCGGCAACTAATACTCTGCTACTATACAGGCACCACAGACACTACAGAAAACTGCCCAGCACTTGCCCAGCACTTCCAGGCCGCCCATCGAGGGCCTCATTTTAGTAGTTTCAGCCACGATCAGCAAGCCACGCCTCGTCATCGCCTCCACTGAAAAGGTTACAACACCTCGGATGCAGAACGGAATTGTAAATTGGTTCTAATGCCAACGTTACTCGCAACTCTAAACGGTATTAGTTAAGAAGGTATAGTACAATGCGATACCAGATACTACTAGGTAGGCGTTATGATATATCTGTACGCCATACATACACGTGTCTACCAAGATTTATTTCGAGACAAGCAGCAGATGATCTTTGCGGAAAGATAATAAAATTGAACCTCATACATTACGAAAGACTGAAAAAAAAGAAGTACATACGAAGTAAGTCAACCAAAATGAAGGGGTCCAGAAGGTACGTGGATGGTGGATGAAAAAGATGCCAAAATCAAGAGAAAAACATGCTACGGCGTATGTATTTTGAGAAAGTACTCCAGGTACCCTAGGTAGCTCGCCCTGACCCCACTCACCAAGAGCAAATCCGTGTTAGATGATTGGAGGAAGGGGTTGAGGAGACGCGCGTTCACGCTTTCTCTTCTGCGCCCTAGTGCGTTTTCTGGTTCGAAAGTACAGTAGCGATGTAGCCCGTTTTAGCACTTGCACTGTATTTAGTCAGGAAAGTGCAGGGGATTTCATGACTTGAACCAATTACGCTCGTCCCTAACGAGTAGCGGGCGGAGAAGGCCTACGCAGCCTACGACAAACCCTGCAGCAAGTCGTTCCCTTTTCCTCTCTTTTTCTTACCTTTTCTTACCAAAGTGTCCTGAGCCATCCCTATCCGGGACTGCGACTACGCAACGCACTTACATGCCACTCTGCCACTTACAACGAGCACAACGAATCCCGCTCCACTGCCTATCGTCTCTCATCTCCATCATTTCCCATTCACTAACAACGCTCCTTGCGCTCCTTGCACTCCCTGTGAACGCCCACACACGCCCCCACCACTTGACCACTTTACACTCTCGACACTTACGAAGTACGGTAGTAAATTCATAATCCCCATCCACAACACGCACAACTAGGACTAGGCTACAACTTATCTGTCTATTCTTTTACCTTTACCTAGACCTTGTGTGTCCGTACCTAATAATCTGTATTCATCCATCCATCTAAAACTACCTGTAACTTATCCATCTTTCCGACTTCCCGCTTCGCTTCTCCCTGCCGCCTATACGTGACATTCTCCCATCCACGCTTCCTTGCCGAGGAGACACAAGGAAAACGACAACGGCAACGACAACAATAACGACGACAGCGATAGCAACAGTGACAGCTCTCTGTCTTCAAGGTAGTCGACGTTGACCCGATCCGGTCCGTCATCCGCTCTTTTTTAAATCGACTTCGACTGCGCGACAGTGAAAAGGGGACACATCTTTTGTGTATAGGATCTCTCGAAGAAGATAGACTTGGAAGATTACACTACAGTACGACGCGATTAGAGGAAACGACGCACGAATGAATGTCTAGCCATCGATTATTATGGGGGATTGATTGACTGCCGCTACCGATTTGTCTTGTTCGACGAAACGAACCCCTTGATCTTCGGTGGCGATTGAGTTTTGGAAAGGGGTGATCGAGTCCACATCATCAGCGAATCCAACTTGCTGACGAAATCTAATCGCCTGCCTCCACGTAATCAAGGGTTGGCCTAATCTTGACTCGAATCTAATCATCCAGCATCTCTTAACCGACAATTTAGTCGGCACAATATTTACCATAGAAGTATACGTTGTAAGAACAACCTCGCCGCCTCGATACGATATCGAATTATCCCGTCGCTCGACGGTTAGGTAGAAGAAGTCATAATGGCAGGTCGCAGCGACGGCCCTGGGGGCAACCGGGACGATTATGGAGAGGAATGGGCTCGGGATTTACGAATTCAATTCGAACAGCTTTTAAGATCGAAACGATTAACAGAATTCGAGCAATCGCGAGCGAACCGGTCGCGCGTAGACTCACCCGCTCCCCGACAACAATTATCGTCATCTAACCTCCGAGCACATTCGTCTGCGCCGTCTGGTAGTGGCAGTAGACCATCGTCATCATACGCCCATGGCTCTAGTCATCCTTCTCCTGCAGCACCACCCTCGTATTCCTCGTTGCGGAATCTGCCAAAGATTCCGACACCTCCTGCTGCCCATGACCGAGATTCGCAGCAATTCCGTAGTTTGCTCGTATCACTATCCCTGACACCTACAAAGTACGAGAATCCCGGCCTTCTTGACGAAGCGCTCCAAGTCATACCATTGGAGAGAATATATAGCGAAGCCGAAGAGGAATCTCAAGTATTACGAGCTCAGGCGGATAGCATGGGTGATGGGCGAAAACCTGATTGGGGCTACCAAGATTGTGTAATTCGGGCATTACTAAGGTGAGCATTGTTCCTTTATCTTTGCGCAGAGCAGATTTTCTAACGTTCCATCTCACAGATGGTTCAAACGAACATTCTTTAGCTGGGTTAATAACCCACCGTGTCCCGTCTGCATGTCACCGACCGTCGCGAGAGGCAGGACACAACCGACACCCGAGGAAAGCGCCTGCGGAGCGTTACGGGTAGAATTATATGAATGCTCTAACCAAGCGTGCCGGGCTTTCGAGCGATTCCCGCGATACAGCGACGTGTGGCGACTATTACAGACGAGACGTGGCAGATGCGGCGAGTGGGCTAACTGCTTCTCCATGCTTTGCCGCGCCGTCGGTAGCCGTGTGCGCTGGGTCTGGAACGCCGAAGATCACGTATGGACGGAGGTCTACTCTGAGCACAAGCAACGATGGATTCACGTGGATGCGTGCGAGGAAGCCTGGGATAACCCGCGGCTCTACACTGACGGCTGGGGCAAGCAAATGTCGTACTGCATCGCTTTCAGTATAGATGGCGCTACCGACGTTACTCGCCGATACGTACGTAAGAGCGAGCATGCACTCGAGAGGAATAGATGCCCCGAAGAAGTCATGCTTTACATCATGCAGGAGATCAAGAACATTCGGCGCGGGAACATGAGCAAGGAGGAGCGATTCCGATTAGAGAAAGAAGACTCGAGGGAGGATCGCGAACTCCGAGGTTACGTCGTCGCCTCAATCACTCAAGCAGTTACACGCATGGTTCCAGGACCTTCGACTTCCGCACCTGCTCCTATTCCCACCCGACCCTCCGGCTCCTCTTCCGCAACTGAGGACCAAAAGCTCCCAGCCGAACAACCAAGCCGGCAAAGTGGTAACGCCGAATGGGTCTCCGCTCGTGGAGAGAATGGGCGACGCAATCAACAATTCCAAGACCCAAGAAACCCGCCTCGACCATAATCATACTTTACAATCCTATCGTTAGCCTCAATACCTACACAGCCGACATTATCTACACACCGCCGAACTCTACGCCACCTACTAATTAGACGTAACGGATTATATACCCTAGCATTTATTACACATCGGCCGGGCATTTATCTGATTTCAAGATCATGACGGACGACGTATTACTGATTCTCATTTGTCTAATACTATTTCTACCCACCGCGATCGAAACGCGTATACCTACGAACTCGATGGCGCCATGTACCTATCTTACGCATCCGACTAGCCTACGACACCAACATATGTCGTTCTCATTTGTGGCCCGCATTCTGAAACTCTTGGTATAAAACCGCCCGGCGTAACGGACCTATTTGGGTTTTGGTAGCATTTATACACATTTTTGTCTTTTTCACCTCAGGGTAAGGGGATGCGGAGAACACGGGTTTCTCCCCGGCCCCGGCGTTCAGGTTAAACTGCATGATTGGATGGGAGGGAAACGGGTTGACGAAAGAAGATGATGGCCATGCCCGGGCTTTTGGAGGGGGGCGTGGGAATCTCGTGTACTATCAAAAGGGGAGGGGGAATCTTCTGCGTAACCTGGAAAGGTACGAAAGCAGATCAGAGCCCAAATGGAGTGCCCGTCGACTATTATTATTATTATTAGCTCCTATTCGGCCAACGGATGGCGAATACTATTACGCATATGTGTGCCGTTAGAAAGCATCATCAGAGGTTCATAATAGACTCTTATCGTTGATGCATACCTTTTTCTCGAAATCAATTCGCTTCTCTTGTGTTTCTTCGCTTCGATGTGCTATGTACTGGTAGTACCCAAGTAGGTATGGTGTCTGGGTGCTTACTACAATGTGATATAGGTCGTATCTGTCCGACGGGATTGGGGATGTCGTATATACGCATAGGTATATTACGTGTTGCCAACGAAGCGGTCTTGAGAGCCGTGGGCTGCTACGCTTGCGCAACACTTCAGACTCGGTCTTAGACGCGCAGGTTCGTTGTCGACCAGTCGTTGCTCGACGGATGGGGGACGGGGTAATAGGGTTGGGCTTGGCGATGGCCCGAATAGGTGTTGCGGGCTTCGAATGGGTCGTATCGCCAAGACGGGCTGCGTTGCACGGATGGGGGCCGTTTGGTAGGGGGGTTATTGGGGTAGCGGGGTACCCCTTTCTTTTTTACCTAGTGTTGAGTTGATTGGAAACGTTTTGAAGGGCTGGAGATGTTATTTCATGTAGGAATTGGATAAGGCTGGACTTTTTGAAGGAGTGGGATGTTGGATAATGGCGTCGATGCCGTATTCTTGAGGATGGTTGTCGGCGATGTGTAGTTTGGGACGATTTCCCTGAAAAGGGGTGTTAAACATGTGCTGATACTTTCGTATTGCAGGTACTTCGTAAATATCATATAGATCCAGTTATTAGATATTCTCATATCTAGTACCTAGTGAATGTATTATATAAGTTTGTTCGATGGGCCTCTAGGACTGCTTTCCTATTGCCCTATGCTCCGTTGAATAGGAGTAAGTTGTAAAGGTGACAGATTCAGGGGTAACAGGACCGACTTTATTCAGAATAAGTTTCTACAGTGAATTAAAAATAATACCTAAATACGATCTTCAACTGCCCAGGTGTGCATTTGATTAATTTGGAGGATTTATCTTATATGCCAGACATGGATTTATCAAACGCAGGTACCTACCTAGGTTAGAATACATCACCAAGTCAAGGTTCCCTTCATTACTCTTGTTTTTTTCCAAGGCATACATTTGAATCATCATTGTAGTTGCTGAAAATGTGAAAACATCTCTGACACTCAAAGTTTAATCGTTTACGGAAGGAATGGCCATGCAAACTGCAATGAAAAGGTACCTACATATATTATCATAATTATCAAACTTGTACGCATGACCCTGAAAGTATGTTCTTAAGGCGACAGGAACTACCGTCCCGAGTTGTTTCCCACCCATACATACCTCCCACTCACCGCAAGTGTCATCTTTCTAATTTACTCTCCTCACGCCCACTTCGATTAATACCTGCTACATGTAGATGAGTAGGTTGAAGAGTATCATATCTAAATCATGGCGAAATCTCTGAGCCAGGTGCTTATGCGAGAGTAAGCTATCTACTTACCTACCTAACCAGCCAATTAACTACCTACCTGCTCATTCATCACTCTGCTAACATGCCTTGAAGTATAATGGCATCCAAGCCAGTCAAGTTTGTTATCGGTCCTAGTCGCAAGGAATTCTTCGCACCTGCAAATGCGTTCACTGAAATCTCTCCGGCTTTACGGATCTTAATAACCGGGTCAAAGAGTGATTCAATTGTGGATGCTGTGGTCTTGAACGACATCAACGAGGAAGACTTTTTAAACCTGTGCGAATATGCTTATTCCAGCGACTACAAAGAACCTGAAGCCAACGACCCTCCCCCCAAGGTACCTTTCAGGCCGAAAGGCGATGCTGCCAAGGCATATGGGAATGATCTTAACCAGCAGTCACTTTTCCTCTTCAATGATTGCCGGGAACGAAGAAAGGTCATCCAAGAATGGCACAATAAGTACGGTAAACCCCCCAGGAAAAATATTCGCGAAGCCAATTACAGTTATGGGTTCCAACGTTACAAAGACTGGACTGAGACTTTGCTACGCCATGTTAAGATGTATATCATTGCCAACAAGTACGACGTGGGTGATTTGCGATCATTGGCCCGTTTCTACCTCCTTTGGCGCCTTTATGGATTTGTGGATACCTGGGACTCTATTCCTGCACTTGGGAAGCTCGTCAGATATGTTTATGAGAACACCCAAGAGCATGACGAACTGAGAGGACTCATCTCGTCGTATGTTGCCCTTAAAAGCGAGTCCCTCTTTTTGCATCCGCATATGCAAAGTGTGCGTGACGACTACCCCAAATTCTGCTCTGACGTTTTGAAGTCGACTACGGAACGCCTTGTCCGGGAGCTGCAAGTTGTAAACGAGGGGCTTACGCAACTGAAACGGAAGAACGAAGAACTGGAAGAGAAGAACGGAAGCAAACGCTCCAAAATTGTACGAGAAGAAATAGGTCTTGTCGAGGACGACAGTGAATCTTCAACACAGAAAAAATAAGGCGATGGATGTAATAGCTGCTATTTGCTCTCAACATGGAGGATACATTTAGTTGCTAAAAGCTTACCTACCTAGGTAGTCATAAACGAATGGATTTTACGCTGTTAATTAAAACTCGATACAACCATCTCAATTACCAACTTAGATTATAATTCCATCATGTATCATCACGTATCCTTCTCTAATTCGAACCAAATCAGATGCTTCAACTCAGATTCCATCTTCAATCCCATCTTAACCGCCCGCCCGCTCTCGTCGAATACGAATTGGGCCCGGATATCATCGCCGTGTACATCATTCACATTGTCGATGTGTGCCGTGTACTTGGTCTGGTTGGCGACGTGCTTGAACGTTATCGTATATCCGTAGTACGCGCGGTCCATGCAGTCGATAAAGAGCTTGTCGTCCTTGATCGAGACCGTCATCCTGCGGTACCCGGGGTTCCAGTACTTTCCTACGTAGTCGCTTAGGGGTTTCGTTTGAGGTTTTGGCTTCTTTTCCTTTTCCTTTTGTTTTTGTTTCTTGGGTTTGGGCTCGGGCTCCTCTGTCGCCTTCTTATCATCGGGTTGCTCCTTCTGTGGCTCGTCGCCGGGTTGATTCTCATCTTTCGTGTCGTTGGAAGCGCTTTCGGATTGAGGTATCGACTGATCCTTCGGGCGAACTGCCAGGCTGGTTTTGGCAGGTTTCGGTATTGTCTTCGGCTTATTCCCATCCTTCTTCGTCAACAACCGCGGTACCGGTGGTAATTTCAACGCCGCATCCATCAACTGTTTGCCTATCGCCCCAAACACGGTCGACGCGTTAGGCGAGTTTCCCATGAAGCATGCCCCGAAGTTTATTTCCGGGAGGAAGAAGAACCGGCTTGAGAACCCGGGAACGCCGCCCCAGTGGCCGACGACGGTGTATCCTCGATACCAGAACACCTCCAACCCCGCCGCGTACATCTCGGGAGATCTGGGAAACTTCGCCATCTTCCCCGTAGGATCGGTGATAGCCCGTAGTCGCGTAAGCTCTCTGTACACTTTTTGGCTAATGGGGCCTTCTCGCTTTAGGTACGCCTTAACCCATTTAATGAAATCGTTCGCGCACGTAACGACGCAACCTGCCCCCTCACCCTCCGGAGATGTGATCTGCGGGAATTCGAGATACTTCTCTTCCTCCTTGTTCCAATCGTGTCCCTTAGCCATACGGTCTTCAAAGCCCTTGGAGATGGCGCTCGCTGGTTGGAAACTAGTCGACGTCATGTTGAGGGGTCCGAAGATCCGCTCTTCCAGGAAGTCGTTGAACGTCTTCCCGCTCTTTTCCGCGACGAGATGCGCGGCTGCTGTGAACATCAGGTTGCAGTACTCCCACTTCGTGCGCACTGGGTTCAGCATAGGTAGGTTCCGTAAATTTCGCGTGATGGAACGCGCGTTGTCTCCTTGTGCTGTTGTGGGACCCATCAGTGCTGCTTCGTTGCTGGATCGTTTCGTTAGTCTCTAGTGCGGCATCAAGGGGGAGGTGTCGGGCGAATTACTAGGCCATTCCGGTCATGTGGCTCACAACGTCGTCGAGGGTTACAAGTTTAGAGTCCTCGGGATTGGGCATCGCGAAGTCTTCGGGGAGTAAACTTGACATTATCGCATCCCATTGCACCTCTGGATGGTTCTTGTTGTCTTCGACGAGCAGCGCAACCGAGGCCGCGGTCATCGACTTCGAACATGATGCTATGTCGAATAGCGTATCTGCCGTACATGGCTTTTCCGGGTCGAGGGTGGCGTACCCGTAGCCTGCTGAGGCGACCTCGTCGTCTTGGATGATGGCGATTGAGAGGCCGGGAACATGGTTTTGGGCCATCATGTTCCGGACTTGGGAGGAGAAGGAGTTGGAACGGAAGAAATCCATCTTGGCGATTGGTAGAAGTTTCGAAACTAGCTTTTAGCTAGTTTGTCGTCGAGTTGGTTGAAGGTGTAACTGTTGTATGTTGTCGTTTTAATCTGCTTGGGATTGTTTGAAATCTTATAGATGCGTGAAATGCTTAACCTTAACTATCGCGGTGGCAGTGCCTGCAGCGATATGCAGTTTTACTGAATAACCCGCTAGTCGCGGCACCGAATTGAGTCATCCGGGCTAGATGTAGGTTCATATGCGGGCACCGTAAGCAGCCACTCCTGCTATAGGATAGGGCTTTGGATCGAATAGAATAGGTGTTGGGGTATTGACAAAAAGAAACATACGATCTCCTATTTTTGAATAATAGTATACAATTGGTAGCGTAGGATAGCCAATCAAAATGATCTTGAGAGCAGTGCTTATAGCTGACTTACATGTCAAAGTAATGATGGACGAACGAAGAGGTATCATTTGTTAATCCTGGGGATATGAGGTCTTCATGAGTCCAATGTAAGCATCATAATGAGTCTTTATGAGTCAGCTGCTGACTCTGACGCGCAGGTAGATGAACTGCTATTGCTCAATTCTTCATCGCGATCTGTAGGTTTCCTTCTTTGCCCCGTTTGAAGTGTCGTGCATAGTTATCGTACGGCCATTATAGATCTCAATGACGTCTATCATGAAATTATCATCAGCTTCCCGAGCAGGAGAATGGCCTAGAAATTTCCACCAAGAAAGACCGATAGTGTATCGGTGGAAATGCCTGTCGCGTAGAAAACACCTCATCTGCAGCCTGGCTGTGATCGTCTGTATAAGATGCCTGCTAGAGACATCAGCAGAAGAGTTGCCATCACCACTGCTCCGTGACGTAATCGCACACATATTTCAGTGCATATTGCGACCGAGATTCAATTCCCTCAATTGCTTCAAATTCGTCGTTCCGATGCGACAATAAATAATATGATTATTTCTCAATGACACCCGTTTATTCGTCATAGATACGATGTCTCCCCGGAGCTCCTTTGAGGCGTGTCAATATCCCTTCAAGGGTTGGGCGCACTTCAGCATCCTCAAAAGTTCGGTTTCGATCTGCCGTGGGTATCAGTCGTATCTAGAGTCCCACAGCTCTCTCTGCCTATCTCTTCTATGGAGGTCCCTCCTCGCGAAGTTCCAGTTTGTGATGAAAAGACAGACAAACATAATCAGAAGAGCAGCAGCTGCACCTATGGGCGCAATGATAGAAAAGACCGTGAACCCATAGCTCACACTTTGAAATGTATCACTAGATTCTAGTTGGTGTGTAGCGAGACCAACTTGCATTGCTGTGAGGACGATGGCCACATATCCAAGAATGGCCGCAATCTTGCCAAAATTATCAGCAAAGAAATCGGCGTAAAAGCTGTAAAACTCGACCCTCGAGAACCCTCGGAGAATGAAGCAATAGCGAAAACGATAGATCTTATTGAGACGGCTTAGGCGAAGCTCTCCGTAGCGGTAGCGTGGGCTGACATTTTTGTAAGAGTGGTTATCTGCAATCTGCTGCGCCAGGTGCTTCCACGTTACCCACTGGAGGCTTTTCGGGACAAGCATGTGAGATTTGGCGATTTCGAAGTCGCTAGGGTGAGTAATAAGGGCTATATACGAATATAAGAACCCCCGGGCAGCTTTCGCAAGCTTGTGATCTGGCTCGGAGAGCCCAGGGGGAGGGTAATCTGCACTTTGCGGGATGCAAATGTGCTTCTTCCAAAAATCTAGGTCAAGGAGAAATGGGGGTAAAGGCTTGATGAAAATTCGGTCCTTCGACCACACAAGGTGGAGCTCGGGTTGCTCTGTTACGACGATGTTACGACGTAACAAGAGCTGGTGGTGCAGTGTCCTGGGTGGCACAGGTCTTCCGCTCATCCACAGCCATTCCTGAGCCCTATCCAGTCCTTCCACCAATAGTTCCTTTTCCAAGAATTCGCTCACGTTGCCGCTAATATCCAGCTTGATGATATGATCTTCTTTGGTACGTAATGTCCCTGGCACAAGTGGAGAAATTGAGGCTCTGTCATGCTCCTGACTTGATGCCGAAATGGAAATAGAGAACGGAGGGTCTGATAATTGTGTAGATGCTACCATTTTTGTTGATGTGTGTTGCAATCAGGCTACGATGAGTGTTAGTAATTCTCTAGTCTAGATTCATCTTCTGTAAAGTATAGATAGTTGAAGAATGTGAGGAACTGTGTAAAAGGGGTAACTAGGTAGAATAAGTAAGTTTCAATTGATTAATTTATTGCGCAGCTGCCTGATACTCGAAGATATTATTGAGCTAAGGAAGGAAAGATCTTCGAGTATCGTCGTGCGTGCCTACCTAGACTGCTAGGTACCTAGGTATTCGATATTATATTGAATGCCTCGCGCGGGTGCTATCAATTCAATTGTTCATAATTGGCCGTCACTCATCCAGTAAGTTTCCATGTCGTGGCAATGGCATGATGTGAACGAGAGATATATCATAGCTGAACGATGATCGGTACCCAGACCGAAGATAGAGAAGTCTGATGCGTCTTCGTCTATAATATAAACAACTACTAGGTACTTGCTTGGGGGTACATTTCATACTACAACCCTACCTCTTATACCGGAAAGTGGTATGTGCCAAGAAAGCTGAATATGCTTAGATACCCAAGTTGTGTAACATGAAGTTACAGGTGACAACCTTGATATTTTTTTCATTTGGGGGAAAGGAAAGGATTATCGGTTACACGAAAGGTGTAACACTGTCCGGCTGCAACGGAGCTTCCTTCTATTATAATCACCTAAAGAACGTTATGAGCTTGAAATTAGGTTAAGGTTACTAGTATAGACAATCTTCACTCAACCTTGGAACATTCATCGGCATTTTCACTATCAATCAGATACTATTCCAAAATACAATGTCGAATCAGCCTACAGCTTACGACATCAAAGGAACCAAACAGGGGTTATATCTACTCCGTGGGCCATCTTCCACCGCAACTGTTGAGTATATGACACCGATATACCTTTCTAGTGCTCTAAAAAACTCGCGTATTAATAGTTTTCAGTATCGTCGCTGTGCCTGGGCTGGGGGCTGACCCAGATGGAAGCTTCATCCATCGGGGTACCCGTTTCAGTTGGCTCTCCGATGAACACGGGCTTGCGAGGGATTTCAGCGATGCACGAATCTTTATGTACAAATACAACTCCTCGTGGATGGGCAAGCTAAAAGTCACGAATTTCCTAGATGATATTGCCACAGGGTTGTTGTTTGCACTGCGTTCTGAGCGAGAGGGAAGCGAGGAACAAGAGGACTGTCAACGTCGCCCGATAGTGTTCATCGGTCATAGCATGGGAGGCCTCGTCGTAGCTAAGGTAACCTTAGCTGTTGCATTCCCTAAAAACTATAGTCTTCGGTTACTGACGAGTATAGACTGTGAGCTTAGCTGCACATCATTATGATAAGTATCCAAATATCTTTGAGGCAACTTCAGGTTGTATCTTCTTTGGTACACCATTTGGGGGGGCACCCGCATCGAGTGTGGCCGCTATGTACGCCAGCGTGGCCGGGTGGATTGATGGGACCGAGCCTTCCGCACTTCTCCAGATCATGCAGCCCGATAGCGAATACCTACGAGAGCTAAAGAAAGATTTCCTCCATCTCGTTATTAAGCTCAAGGATAAAATCCAGGTGTTTTGCTTCTGGGAAAAAAACCCGACGGACTTCGCCAAGGTGGCTAAACAAAAAATCCTTTCAATAATCCAGCCTTTCATTTCCCAGGTAATATCCACTACAACCATCCTACCTAGGTTAACACACTAAATGGATGCAGAAATACCAAGAACTGGTTAGCAAAGCATCATCAACGTTTGCTGAACATGAGGACTGTGGACTTCAGAGTGATCACAGCGGTCTGGTCCGGTTCGAGTCGTTCAAAGATGAGAAATATAAATTGGTCCGGACTCCCTTAAAGGATATCATCCGTAAAGCACATGACGTGGCAAGGGACAGATTCAACAGTATCGGCAATGTTGACCGAGATACGGCGAAGAACCTTATCAATTCACTCGATGGTGTTCCCGTGCAGGTGAAGTTCAATTTGTTGAAGACGAAGATGGCATCCCAATCGTGGATTATGGGTGAACCAGAATACTTGAGTTGGGTTGCTGGTGCTGCTGACAAGCATGAAGGTTGCGATGATCAGAAATGGCTTTGGATCCATGGCCCTGAGGGAAAAGGGAAAACAAATGCGACGATAGCCGCAATCGAAAAAATAGAGCAGATCTCGGCCGAAGCTAACAGGAAGAACGCCTTACCGGTCCTCTCTGCGTTTTTCTTCTGTGACCAGACCCTCGGATGTTCGAGCGCCGAAGAACTCCTCAAGTCCGTCTTGCGGCAATTAATAGTTCAACAGGAAGCACTGGCATCCCACGCGATGAAATTTACAGAAAACCGAGCCAATAGTCAAGACACCGGCATGCAGGATTCGTCACTCACCAGAGCTGGCTTTACAGTGGAAACCCTTTGGCAGAGCTTACTAGATATGTTCACTGATAACCTAGTCGGCACAATATACATATTTATCAATAATCTTCACGAGCTCTCGAGTAGCTCTAGTTCTACTCAAGTATTCCTAGAACTGCTGGGAGAATTAGCGAGCACAGACCCGCATGATTCGTCAGCCAAAATTCGAGACAAAATCCGAGATGAGATTCGTGTCAAAACCCGATGGTTTCTCACTAGTAGAGATCGACAAGACATTAGGATGGTACTTCTAACAAAGCAAACTCACGTCATTGATTTGAACCACGGGAAATATGAGAGCAAAGTCCAGTTGGAGGTGCAGTGTCATGCTCATATGAAAGTTTCCGAGCTTCAGAACCGAAAGAACTATAACATGGCCTTGTTATACTTCATCGAATGCCTGATTAAGAGACGGGCAGAAACGACAAAATGGGTAGATGTTATATGCATGTACCTTGAAGCTCTACCAGATGATGCAAAAGATCTTGAAGTCAGACGCTTCCTGGAAAATTCCCCACAGGACATGAACATGGTCTTTGATCGTGCTTGGAAGTCGGTAAGTATATCTTGGACTATCGAGAGAGATTCTTTCTAAGTCGTGGGTTTAGTTGTTGGATAAAGAAGACCCTGATACTATGAGAACTCTAGAGATGCTTCGTGCATTAGTCCTTACTTACAAGGATCCCACTGTGGAAGAGTTAGCAATTCTTACGGGGTTCTCTTCTAGCCCAGAAAGGGGCATGCTGCAATCGCTAATTCAGAAATGTCATCCGCTTTTGACCTGTAAGGAATCAGGTAGCGAGGGACAACTCGTCAGCTTCGTAAATGACGACATCAAGACATATCTGAAGACAAATTCAGAAAGCTTGCTAGGACTTTCAGACGAGGAACAGAAGTGGCAACATGGTATGATCGCACTTCGATGCTTTACTCACGTTTTGAACAATGTGGAAGAAACAAGGGTGCCAGAGGATGATGGGGAGCATGGCGACTCTGAAAAAATGGCAACGCTGGATAACCTTAGGCGAGGAAATGAATCACAAGATGGAGGTAATGGGAATGGAGGCTCCCCTCCCAAGACGGACGATGGCGAAAAAGAAGCGGCACCTGTGGATCAGTCAAGGGACCGAGGGCCCCCTCTCCAGCCTTACGCTGTCAAGTATTGGTTACGCCATGCTAGCGAAGCTACCTCCGACATAGCCCAAATACTCTGCGGGGAAGAAAGGTTCTGGAAGGCCGGATCGACTATTATGTCAGATTGGCTAAAGGAATACAGTAAAGGAGATGGCAGCTTCGATGGCGTCGACTTCGCAAGCTGGAAAGCTCTCCATGTCGCAGCGGCTATTGGTTATGCACAACTGATTGTGGCATTAATTGAAAACGGCCACCAGAATGAAATAAATCTGAGAGATAAGAAGGGTTTTACCCCGGTATGAGTTACTTACTTCCTCCCTAAGTACACACAACCTAACGCAAGAAGCATCTAACCGAAATTCCAGTTACACTTAGCCGCTATGTTCGGGCAAGCCAACATTGCTGAAGAACTCCTCAATAAGGGAGCCAACATCAACGACGACAGCGGCGAGGCAGGAACTCCTCTGTTTCGGGCGGCTACAACAGGTAATATCGACGTTATAGGCCAACTACTACAACGGGACGACTGCGATGTTCGTGCTTCAACAAAGGCGGGGCCTATTCTGAATGCAGCAATCGGGTCAGGTAAATTAGAAGCCGTCAAACTGCTCGTGAAAAAAGGCGTCCCGCTGGTTTCAAAAGTCACTGGTCATTGGTCACCTCTTGCATTTTCGGTACTTGGTGATCTGACTACCTTTATCTATCTATTAGATAGTGGGAAGGCACAACTCACTGCAAGAGAATATGACGATGCTTTCTTTCTTGCGGCCAGCACAGGAAGAATCAAGGTTCTGGAGAGACTGATTCAATTTGATAGTAGCGTCTGCGGTTTTCAAAGAGCTCTTGAGGGTGCCATTAAATACAAAAGATGGGATTCAGTACCAGTGCTGCTAAGCTCAGGCAAAGGATTGCAACTAGAAGGAGTTCTCAAGGCTGCTGCTGACATGAATAACTCAGATGACGTTCTCAAAGCTATACGGAATCATACAGGTGGGCATATCTCCTCAAAGGTGGTGGATGACTGTCTTTGTAAGGCAGTACACAACGAAAAGATGTCGACGGTGAAAATACTCCTTGACGAGTTTAAGGCCAACCCAAACGCAATTAACAGCGAAGGGTAAGTGATATCTCGCCCTTTACTTCGTCCTTTAGGATAAGATATTAACTTTTCAAGCTATGGCAATGCTTTGACGGTTGCTGCCAACGATGGTGCTTTGGAAATGGCGAGGATGTTGCTGAACGGAGGAGCCCACGTGAATTCCAAAGATGGATGGGCACTGCAAGCAGCCGCAGCACACGGCCATATGGACGTTGTTGAACTGCTTCTCGGATCTCATGCAGATGTCAACGCCTATAATGAGCATTTCCAATCAGGAACCGCTCTACAAGCCGCATGCGAAGCTGGACGGACTGATATCGTCAGAGTGCTTCTCAAATTCAAAGCAAACCCAAATCTTGGCAGTCGTTATAGCCGTCCCATCCTTGAAGCAACACGTCGAGGAGAGACCGAAATACTCGAGATACTGCTAGAAGCACCCGAACTTGAACTAAACATATTTAGCGGCTCCTGTGATAGAACAACACCTCTCATCCATGCCGCGATGACCTGTCCTACCATGTCCCTCCAACGGATGGTTGACAGAGGTGCCGATATCAACTTGCCTAATGCTGACGGTGATACGCCATTGATTGTCGCAGCGAGGAGAGGAGACATTGGGGTTTTGAGTTTTCTTCTTGGGAATGATGCTGATATTCTTCATGTCAGCAAGCGTAACCAGACAGCTCTGGAAGCTGCAATCGAGCATGGGAATGAGGAATGTGTTTCTTTCCTTGCCGTACGCGCATCAAGCATCTTACGGGCGTTAGCGCTCACCAGGGATGTAGGACTTTCTGGGATTCTTCACCAAAAAACTGACATCGTCCAAGAAGGTAGAAAGCTTTACCAAGACCGCGAATTTATGAACCTATCACCGGGCAAAGGGTATGGCGATGACAGAGAGTATGTTATTAAGATGAACAACAACATTGGGCGTTGGCTTCCTAAGCCACAGGAGATTTCCTCTAAGGGCTAGGGCTATCGCTGGCGCTGGCGTTCATACTGTATTCAGGACACACCACCAAACTTGGGGGTATTCATCCCTTAAACTAGGTACTACTCTGCAAGGAACAGGAACAGGTTAGGAATATGGGAATGGTGATATATCTCGGGGCTAGGTTTATATAGCTCAATTGAAGAATTGAAATGATTCAATTATTTCCGCATCAGCGCAATGAGTCTCGAATTTTGATAATTTCGAATTGACGAAACGCGCTGAATAGGTAGGTAGATACCTGTACCTACCGTCAACCACCCCAGATAACTCCCAACTCAAAAATGTACTCGACTTCATCCTCGCTTCGAGGGGCATAAGCGAAACCAGGGACACTACGAGTACGTTTGAGCAAGTACTAGGTATGTATGCCGCCTTTATATTCCCAACTGCAAAGGAAAATGGCTAGCGGAATGTTTGCGGCTCGCACTAACTTAAGTTTCGGGAACCAAACCCCACAATCTGAGATCCCGAAGGGACGGTAGATTCGACGGCGTGCGTTTAAGCAGCTCTTAGCTGCCGTAGCTAAGGGTACTTCGGGTCTCAACCTACCGAAGTACATGACGTATGTAGAGATAGGGGTACAACATCAAGCTGCTGCGGTCTACCTACCTAGGTACACAAGAAGGAGCATTAGTCTTTGGAAAATGGCATATGAATGTTTGATCAGGGCAGAGATAGGTAGCTGCTTGCCGTTCTTGGAACCCTCGATAGCACATAAGGCCGTAAAGCGACGCCCCTAGCTCGACGGGTAAAGGAGCTAAGAACATGAAACAAAGCGTTCAAACATAATTGTGCGATCAAACTTCCGCAGGTGACCTTCCACCAATTGGAGACTTGACAGCTAATAAGTACCAATCGAATCTTCAATGTTTCTTGAACCCCAGATTAGTTCGGACCGAAGTTCTGGTCAAGGAGGGACGGAAACTTGCTCAGCGGGACTGCAGGTAGCCTCCTGTTCATGCGGGTGAAGGGTAAGGTAACTGGAGGGATCTGATTGTTGGGGATATAATGCTGTGTGGGCACGTTTACGCACGAAGGAGATCGAATTGGATACAAATTGAAGCGTAGCTGGAATGTGAATATAAGAAGGAAGGTGTCGAGGATCGTGAACTGCTGAACTACAGCTGAAGATACTTAGATACCTAGGCATTGTACCTAAGTATTTCTATTAAAGATTGAAAAGATCACAAGTACTTCCAAGGTTGTATATATCTATGGGTGTATATACGTGCTACGTACGGAAGGTGTAGCACGGCAATAGTGTTATACTAGGTACCTAGGTATCTAAGACGTTGACAGACCGCCTGGTTGTACGAGGGAAGTCAGGGGAGCTCCCAGGTACTAGGTACCACTGAGATAGTATATCAACCTCCTATAGCAGAAAATATTGCCAATTATTTAGGTATCTGCCTAGGTACCTCAGTTACCGACATCTTGGGTGTAGCCTGATTTTTATAGTTCACCACCCAGTAAATCAGTAAATCAGAAATCCAAAGGTCAAAATACAAAACCACATCGTCTGGTTTCTTACCGCACAACTTCACAACTTCACCCCACCCCACCAAACTACCACTTTTTCCTTTCGTCTCTTGTTTTCTTAACTTTTTTTTTCCCACGCTCCATCTTCACCTAAAATTCATCACGCAATCCCAATTTCGTAGAACATTCATCTCGTTTGTCGATAATAAATCGTCATCATGATGTTCATTCCTACCGTTCTCGTGATTGCGGGCGCTCCCCTCGTCGCAGCCCACTTCAAGATCACCTACCCGACTTGGCGTGCTGACTCGCTCAGCGAGACTAAGAACTACTCTCAGTGGTCCTATCCTTGTAAGTAACCTTTCATATCCTCATTGAATCACCTATTTCTATCACTCTCATCGTGTTATCATTGTATCGTCGTATATATATTTCTTTTATATAAAACGCGACGCGTCTTGGTATAATTACATAACACTGACGATGATACACAGGTGGTGGTGTTCCCGACTTCGTCGGTAACCGAACCGAGTGGCCCATCGAGGGCGGCGCTGTCGCCCTTACTCTTCACCACCCTTGGACCTATCTCTGGATCAACATCGGTCTTGGTGATGCTGTCACCAACTTCAACATGTCGCTCACCCCCGAGCTCATGAACGTCTCCGGTCGTGGTGACTTCTGTCTTCACGACATGATCGTTCCCATGGACATCATCGATGGCACCAATGCCTCTATCCAGGTTGTCACCAGCGGCGGCGGTGATGGTGGTGAGGGTTCTGCCCTGTACAACGTAAGTCGTGTCTCGAATAACACAACATCGACGTGACGCATGTGACTGACATTGTAAAAGTGTGCCGATATCGTCCTTCGCAAGGGTATTCAGATTCCCAATGGTGTGTGCAAGAACGCCAGCACCATGTCCCTTACCATGCTCGGTGATGGTTGGACCCAGCCCCTGACTGCCAACGGTACCGGCAACGCTACCACTACCGTTACTTCCGTCGTCACCGTGACCGCCACCGCGACCGCCAAATCCAACTCGGCCGTGGGAGGAACCGTGGAGGGAGTTGCCTTCGCCCTTGTTATGGGCCTCGCGTGCGTCTTTGCCGCGATTATGGGTATCTAAGGGGAGGGATCTTTGTCTTCTGCAAGGACATGAAGGGTTACTTGAGATGACAGAACACGGCTTATGCGCCATCCCAATTTGCTACATGATTCCCCAAACACACACCCCTAGGCGTAATGCTCAACTGAAGAGGGGATGCTACACAGATACGATGTCACGTTAGTCTTCAACTGACCGAATGAGATGCACTAATTCACGCACAAATGAACCTTTGTAGACTTACACCGCTATGATCCCGTATAATGTGACAAAAATGCAACAAGTAATCGAACCTTACACCGGCGTGGTGACTGACCGTGCTGGTGATTAAAACAAGCACGAACAAACGCTCGCTAATTCAAACCAAATTCGTCGCAATGTATTCCGGCGACGTCCATATATCTATCGAATAACGACAACACCTGTTAAACGTTCCTCGTCCAGCTTCGAACCATCGAATACGGCATCTCCCCTCTAAATCGTAAATAAATACGCTGCGTCGAAAAAGACATCGAGTGGGAACGTGATCGTAACGTTGGTATTCCCCTCCGGAACTCTTATATGTTCATAGCTAATTGATTAAAGTGAGTATGCCGCGTCGAGCTCGATTGGCATGTGTTGGCGACATTGGGTATTTTGTCGTGTGCCATCGACGAGGCTTAAGGTGAGGCAAAATATAAAGTAAGATATAACATCAGATCAGGTGTGGTTGACACTGATATGACAGACAATCTAGATCGATTCGATTCGACTCGTCCGTTCGTCATCGACCTTGCACATGTCCATCCGCTTACTTTCTTGCGGTGGCATTCTCTTTCAACAGCTCGGAGACTTTGGCCATGGTGATACGGTGGATATGGTTAGGAGTCAGCATCTGCAACACTAGGTTCTCGATGCGATCGCGCGGATTGAGGCGCCCCTTGGCCTCGTTGACCTCGCTGAGCCACTGCTGCATTTGTGTGACTGCAGATACAGCTTTGCCGTGGTTCCCGTGATGGGGAGGCGCCTTTCGGTTTAGGTCCGCGATCATCCAGTACAGCTGTTTGGGGTGGCCCTGGCGGCCGCGGGCATCCGGGAACGGGATCTTGCGTAAGACGTACAGCATCGTGACGCCGAGCGCCCATACGTCGGAGGCGGGCCCGCGCAACTTGTGTCCTATGAACTCGGGCGGCACGTAGTAGGGAGTACCACCGTTAGTAGCCGGGTCGGTGATTCGGGTTGATAGTCCGAAGTCGCATAGTACGGCGCCGCGGTCGCGCGAATATAGGATATTCGCGGGCTTAATATCGTTGTGGGATTTGCGCTTCTGGTGGACGTAATGCAAGGCACTAACGATGTCGCGAAGGATGCGTACGGCATCTCGCCGATCGCCAACGAATAGATCCGTAGCAGCTTCACGCCACACACCACGAGCCGCTAGGTCCTTACCGTCCACATGCTCCATGTATAGTGATAGGTAGCGCGCATCGCCGCCGTATAGTCGCACGATCGACTCATGCTGCAAGTCTTCTTGGCTTTGGTACTCGCGTAACCATATATCCGCTTGGCGGATTACATTGCGGTGGGTATCCTGTGGCCGTGCATCAGAAGTAGGACCGCGAGTCTTGAGTACTTTGACCGTTATGACGCCGTCCGGTACGCCAGAATGCTCCGCTGTAAAGACTGACGATGCGGCCGTCTTGGCGATCTGCTCCCGCTTCGTTAGTCGGTACTGATCAAACTCGGACCCGCCAGGTATAGCGGCTGTCTCGTCCTTCTGGACCTCTAGGAGCGCATGGCCGTTGGGGATAGCGACCTGCTTTGTCTTAGAGGCGTTGGGGTAAGGAAATATGAGCTCCTCGTCCTTCGGGCCCATGAATACAATTACGCCGTCTTTCTCTTGGCCATCTTTACGAGCTTTCTTCTCCGCGACGGGACTCTCCGGCACACCCTCACCAGCATCAGAGGGGAAGGATCGTTTCCTGAATGGGTTCCGAGAGTCCGGAGTGGCGGTTGTAGATGAGTCGAAGCTATCACGAGGGATCAATAGCGTAGCGGGACGCTTTTCTAGTATCCTTAAGTCGAGGATTGGGATGGCGTGAACGCTAATTCGCCAAGTGCCTGGAGAGAGATCCTTGGTAGTTCCCGGCACTATATCTTGATCAAAGTTGGATCCGGGGACGGGACCTTGTTGGGAGACCCTGGCGAGGACGATGGGTACGTCAGACTTATTCCACAATATTAGGCTGTCGCTGGCCGGATCATAGTACAACTCGCACCATATCGGCGGCCTACGTTCTTCTTCGCCTTGTGGAATCCTAATAGAGAAGTTGATATCTTTGGAGGTCTGAGTCACCGCAAGCACTCTGGATCTAGGCTGCGAAGGGTCGGCCACCTCGGCGCGCAACGCTAGCCACTGGACATTCTCATTTCCGGGGCTTACTGAACGGTTTCGCGTCAGCGGTCGCACCAGAATTCGTATGCCCTGCTTATGGTGGTCTTCCTCGATAACTAGGTCGTCCAACGGAACGGTGTCATGGTGTGCATCGCCGACCTCGTCGACTTGGATACTGCTGTGGAGTCTCTGTTCGAGTTCCTCTGGAGTGAACGGCTCCGTCTTTTCCTCGGAAGGGAAGACTTCCGCCATCACAAGAATTCGATAGGATGTGGTACAAAATAAGGGATTCAAAGAAAGAAAGAGATTGAAAAAGAGATGAGCTTTATGTAAACTAGATGCGATATGCAATGGAAACGGTCGTTGTTAAGGTCGCTATGGTTGGAAATGTCGAAGAGACAGGAGATAGGAGACAAAAGAAATGGAGAATTTCTAAAAAGGAAATGGGTAACTCAACACGGGCGCTTCGATCAACTATTCTAACGCGCTCAGAACAAATTGGCGAAATTCTGTGTCTTTCTTGGAGGAAACCCGTCAGGTGAAGTGTCCTCAGGATCAGTTTTACTTCAAGAAGCTACCTCAGGTAAGCCATGGTTGAGAGTCATAATGTCACCTTTAGGAAAAACGTTGGAAAAAAGGTGAAATGCTGCTGTGCGGCTGATCCCGTCCTCTTTACTCTGGGGGGGAATATGGAATATGGGATGGAATAGATCGGCTGCCTAGGGTCTCTAGGGTCGGTCAACCTACATCTGCATCTAACGCTGGTGCTATACCTGCCTAGGTGGAAAAAGGCCTATTAATAATATCCCTGGTGGGAGTTCAAGGTCGCTAGTTCGCCTTGGAGAGAATAGAGCAATAAAACACCTCGAAACGGCTCGTGTTATATAAGCAAAGTAACTTGACTCTGTCGGGAGGAGTAGGAGTACTTGAGAAGAATAAACTTTCTGTATGTCACGGGTTTCTAGGGCTGAATGCTCGACATTACTCTGTGATCGTAGCACCGTATTCGCTACGATGACAAGATGGGTAACGGTTGCGGTCCGCTGCATGGAAAGTCGCAAGTGACTTGGATGGCTTAGGGACGAGACTGTCTGATTAGTCTGTCGGAAAGGGTGAGGGGAGCAGATGGCTCAGATCTGTCAAGTGATTCGCCAACAGGCAACGAGGCGGCGAAAACGATATACGGAGGGGGGAACTGGCTGACTGGTTAACCGGCATCCTATCTCGGCCCCCAAATTCCAGATGTCCAGGATATCCAAGATAGGTAAGATGGATCCAGTCCAATGGTGGCTGGGTAAGCTGAGCCAATATCATCTTTCTCACCATTCCGCCCGAGCACGGACATAGCCCACCACCTCTGCGCTTGTGCTGCCTGCCTTTCTACTCCTGCTTCCTCTCCTTCCTGCCTGCTTCGAATTGGAAGTTGGAACACGTTACGTGCTTGTGTTAACCAGTTCACTTGCCCCTTGTGATTCCATGAAAATACGAGAGAAAGTATGGGAAGTAAGAAGTTATAAGTCAACTAGAATAAAGTTGAGTCTTTTCTCAACTTGATATAATGTATCAAATTAAATGTATCAATTGAACGAATATCTAAAACGTGACATGTAAGTTCTAATTTAAAATAAGAAGTTGAACTGGGTGGAAAAAGTTGAGCCTTCTATGACTTCTTAATGGGGCGATTCGAGGTTGTTCTTATTGAGGTTAACTGGTCAGAAAAGGATTTAATCGGAATTACTAGAGGACATGATGGTGGGTTGAACAAAGTGGTCCGTGTGTAGTGTGAGTGGGTCTTTCCGTAAAAAACCTCCACCAATCTATCATGCGTCATATCTAATTGGCCAAAGTAAAACATCATTTTTCTATCATTGGTCAAACCTTGTGGGACGTTATGGCAAGCCAGCCAATGTTATTCGGGCGCAGTGTCCTTGTGGACCGGAAAATAAAACATAGGGCCAGCCGAGCGATGCCTCAGGCTCCTAAGGCAGAATTCCTGTGGTATGGTATCTAACAAGTTCCCACTTCGTCTTCACCTTTGATGTTGTCGGCTCAAACAAAAGCGGTCACATAGGAATGCACGCCCTTCACGCCACCACAGACCACAACAAAAGGAACCTATTCCGCTAGAAAACACGCCTTTAGTGTCCCAAACTCTCTAAAAGTCGACGAAGACACCCAAATAAGCTTAAATAAATAAAAACCACAGTCAAAATGTACCGCTCACCACGCATTTAGATGGATCCAGTCCTTACCGACAACCTATGTATCAACAAGACCCAATCGAACAACTTTACTGTACACTTACCTTTCCTTTCCACTCTGCATCAATAAACACCCTAATACTACCGACATCAACTCCCTAAACCACCTAGAACATCGCCTACGAAGCCTACAACCGGTCTACCAAGTCCACCCTAACCCCCCGTTCGCCCAAGATTCAACTACTAGCGACAGTTTCCCTATCCGGGAGACTGGTGTTTAAGTTGGTCGACAAGATTTTAGCCCTCACATCCTCCGGAGAATGGATGATCCTGGTTGGCAATGGCCCGCTTGGAAATTTGGAATGAAGAGGGAAGAACTCTTCACCAAGTTACATGATCAGTATAATACCATCGCCTTCTCCATCCAAGATCCCGAGGCCTTTCACCACGACGTCTACGAGATTTCCAACACAGCATCCTGCGCCGATGAGTTCCACCGTTTACTAGCCGACCGCAAGCAGCTACGGCTGAACGAGTTGAACCAGAGCCTAGAATCTGCCTCTGTCGAGATCATTGCTAACCCAGATCTTATCGGCACTCACCAGTGGCAATTCGCTATCCAGCTTTTTCGAACGAAGTCGCTTGACTCTCTCGTGAGATACTTCTCATCCTATCTCCCAGACGATCACCCCTGGCATCAATCCACCGATGACCCTACATCAAAACCCTTCTTCGACGACCCGGAAGATGATGGTTCTCTCATGACATACGAACCCTTTGCCATCAACACCGCTGTAACCTCGATTCCGGAAAGTCATCTTCCTCCCTCTCCTCGATCTCTCACGACGTGCTCAGACAACTCTCTGTCGTTAACACCAGCACGGACGATGTCCTTCTCCGAAGCTGAGACGGATGTGATGGTGTTATCGGGGACCTTGTCTCGTGGTTTCGATGACGAAGACATATCACAATCAGATGTCTGCGAGTCTCCGACGACTTCTGTCTCCGACATGTCGGAGATACAATCGTTGGAGTCGCTGCCGGAGGAGTTCGAGGAGGTTGACAACGTTCGGGAGGAGGAAAAGCCAACAACGACGAGTTTTGCACAACGGGAGGATACCAACGAGTCGGAGATGCCGACACCTCGAAACGAATGCCGATCAGATTCATACATAAGTGATGATATTGCTACAGCAGTATCGTCTTCGAAACAAAATACACCTCATAGAAGCGTTCGAGATGGGAGTCCAGGATTGTTGAGGTCGCGACGGAGGAGTCCTGAAGTGGGGCGAGTGAGGAAGCCATCACCAGATCCTACACGGATTAGACCAAAGGGTCGGAGACGATATCTGGGCGGCGTTTGATGCCATTATGAAACTGTATATATGCTATGATGTTGTAAATACCCTCAATGCGCTAAGTTTTCACTGTTATGTTTCCCCCTCTGTTTATTGATTTCTAGTTTAGGGTATGACGATGACTTCAGATTGCCACGATTGCTAACCTACCAACTTGTACGACTAACATCCCGATACTTCTATTCGTCGAATATCTCCAATACAAGACCAACAACATTGATATGCTAGTATGCTAATAGTAAACTCTTCTCTTATATAGCTAGTGGCTTTTGAATAGGGATTGTTCACTAATGAGGACGTCGCTGATAGAGATATCCACGAATGCCATCGTCGCTGTTTACGATCGTGTCGGTCCAGCGTGCCGATGTCTAAACGTCCACTAACTCTCCGCGTAAAAACAGAACCTATAGTGCCTATACGCTAAAATTTTTGTATTTTAGGGCTTAGACACCGAATTATTAGTGCTTCATACTATTTCTGTTTGCGGTGTTCTGGTAAACAAGGTGTGAGGTCATCGACTTTCATACAAACGACATCACGACTCATGAGTACCTACGAATATGTGCTAACATAAACAGATGATGAGAGTTACTACTAATTAAGATTTAATCCTTCCACTTTGCCTTATATATCTACTTAAGATAATAATACTATCAGTTCCAAATACTACCTATCATCAACCATCTCAGAGACGTTGTGAATTATCTGATGTTTGACCTCTGCTGAAAAGCACCAATCACGTACAGTCACTTAATACAATACCTAACTACCTAGGTACTTCTACTTGAAATAAACTCCTACCAATAGACACTATGCCGGAAACCCTACGAGAGAAGGCGATGAAGAAAACCAAGGGTCCCAATGCTAACCCGAGCCAGCTCGGCGATCCCATTAGCCTTAAAGCAGAGCAGAGCGAGAACATTCCCACGGACGAGGAAAGGGGTGCAACAGAGGCTCCGGAGTCATCCTCGGACAATATCAGGAATAATAATAACCAGAATGGTAAAAGTAATGGCGGAGATAGTCTGAGAGAGAAAATGGTCAAGAAGCTTCACGGATCTCAGGCCAACCCAACGCAACTAGGCGACCCTGTCAGCCTCAAGGCCGAGACAACCGACGATGTTCCCACGGATAGGGAAGATGGCGCTCACAGTAAGCGGGGTTCGAAGTTATGATGGTTCCAGGTCATGTGAGGTGATCTATCAGTATTAAAGATGTCGGACTGAGCAGACGCCGTGATCCGGTCTCTCAAATGGCCGATACTAGGTACCAAGCATAGAAGCAGCTTAGACAGGAGGTATGACGCATTATCATGGTCTAAAGCCTGTGCCTTTATAAGAATCAGTTAGGAAATCAACCATCAATATAATTTACGCTACAGAAGATGTGATTTCGTGATCAAACCTCAGATTACTCAGGATCAAGCAGTTATTATATAATCAAAAAGATGTAACTCGTCCGGTCGTCGCACGAAGGTCTGTTGCCGAGAAGCACCTGCCAATCGCATTTGTAATATACCTAGCACCTGTACCGTAACACAAAAACGTCACTCACATACCCCAAATTGTAAGGGACTAAACCTAATTGATTTCATTATGTTACGAGAATTGCAACTTTCAACTCCGATGGTGTAATACATCTTTAATACATCCCCATCATGATAGTCCGACCCAAGAGACTTCCACCTCTGCCCCTCTATTTAAGACTCTCAATACCCTCCAGGCAACTATCTTCTCAACGAATTACATCTATTCCCCATCAGAAATTATTTACTAAGCGTGTCAGTCACGAATATTTCAGAAACATGTCTCAAACCGTAAGCGCTCGAAACATGAACGATATAAATGACATGAACCATTATGCACGAAGCTAATCACGAGAACAAGACCAAAATCGAATATCAGAAAGATGGTCACTTCACCAGGCCAGCCAGCACATTCCGTAACTTCGTCTCCGCAGACCCTAACTCTCAGTTCCCGGCTGAGAAAGGTCGCTATGCGCTGTACATATCTCCGGGTTGTCCATGGGTATGTGTACCATGTCGTATCCAGCCATACTGGAGATAAGTCACAAGCTTGGCAACTAACATGACTACGAAATCACAAGGCGCACCGCACTATAATCGTGCGCGCCCTCAAACGCCTCGAGGATGTCATTGACTTGTACATTTTGAGTCCGTCTATGGGTGAGAAGGGCTGGTTCTTCGACGGCGCCCACGGCACTCTCCCTAAAGACCCCTTGTACGGCTTCACATATTTACGGGAGCTATACTTTAAAGCAGACCCCGACTTCAACAGTAGGTTTACTGTACCCGTACTATGGGACAAGAAGGCCGAAACCGTCGTCAACAATGAATCGAGCGAGATCATCCGCATGCTCTACTCCGAGTTCGACGCCTTCATCCCGGAGCAGTTTAGGGAGGTGAATAAGCCCGGTGGGGGCCTGTACCCGGAACACCTCCGGAAAGATATCGACGAGTTGAATGAATGGGTCTACGATACGGTAAACAACGGCGTGTATAAGTGCGGGTTTGCCACGAAGCAAGAGTCTTACGACCAGAATGTTTACCCTTTATTTAAATCGCTCGACCGGCTTGAATCTCTTCTAGCCACCCAAGGGAAGCCTTTCTTATTCGGAGATCATATTACCGAGGCCGACGTACGGTTATATACTACTATTGCTCGTTTCGACGTCGCGTATTATACCGTGTTCCTCTGCAACCTCAAGAGCATCCGACACGACTACCCTCACCTGCACCTGTGGTTCCGTCGGCTGTACTGGGACGAGGGGAGCACAATTACAGGTGGCGCATTCCATAAGACGACGGCGCCGTGGATCGGTATATATGGTAGCGGGTACGCGACCGCGAAGAATAGGGTCACAAACAGTCAGGCTGAGGTCATCGTGCCTAGGGGCCCGGCTGTGCTCGTCGAACCCCTAGCAGAGAGCGAGAAGTTGAAGTTGTAATGGAATTATTATATGATTGAATATATATGGATGATCTAACGAGGCAATGAGGATGTAAGACGATATTAAAGAACTGCAAGTCTTATAAATTGAGATATTTGGATTCAGGGATAACCATAGCTGTCTGACTTACGAGACCTGTCAAAAACTGCAGTGCGACATGTTACTACCTGAATAAGAACTTAGCGGATTTGCAACTGAATCTGTCGTAAATGAAACTAGATGCTGTAGGTACCCAAATCGTTAGTGGGGTCGTGCAAGTAGAACGATACACCCCGCCCGCTGACTTACCCCTGAATCTACTTCTTAACAACAGAAGTCTTACAATTCAAGGATTGCGCAGTCAACCAATCTCAAGTTAATGTTTTATTTTGATATGATGAAATTGAGAGACTGGTATTCATATAACTGTTTGGCTAACGCTTCAAGTATTTCAATTCCACATATCGAAACAGGGGGAATGTAACTGCTGTCAATGCAGCCCCAAGTGGAATGCCCAACTAGATAGAAAATGTTAGTTTCGGTGTCTCTGGTAACGTAAATGCTGCTATGAAAGTATAGTAACACAGCGCGACTTACATCAGCACCGTGTTCACCCACCAGCTTCGCAATGGGGCCTACAAAGTAGGTCTGGTCCATCCCAAGCACGACTCCAACCCAGCCAATACAGAATGCAGTAAAGGCCGCAATACCCAGTGGGAGATATTCCGTATTATCCCACTGATCCCACTTCCACCCTATTTTACGTCGAAAAATGACATGTTCTTGCAGAACAAGGACGACGAAATTGGCGAGCCAGTACCCAATAATGACCAGAAAGTTGTTGAAGATCGCCAAAAGGTGTTTATGCCCGGCAATGGCGCAAACGGTATAGACGATTACCGCAAACGTACACCAGAATAGTCGAGGGATCCTTTCGGCGTTGGGATCGAGAAGCTGGAAAGAAAGACCGGTGGAATAGGTTGCTGGGATTATGTTCGCGCATATACCCAGTGCTAAAACGACGCAGCAGAAATGTCCGAAAGCTCCTAGGGGTGAGAATGCTTCGACTAGGAGAGAACCCAAGGAGATGTCAAAGGCAGCTGCCCAGCTGGTATTATGAGCGAGTCCGGTAGCAAGACCAATGCCGAGAAATTCGACGAAGCATTTCCCAAGCAGGAGACCTAGGAACGTCATTAAGAATACAACGTATCTGTTCGATGACTTGGGAAAGTAGACGTAGAAATCTGCTGATTGGGATGCCCATCCGAGGGGAACTGAGGTAGTGAGAAAGAAGTAGCTTAATCTGTCTCCGATTACCGTCGTTCCGGTTCCCTGGCTGGGTGTCACGATATCGAATTTTGGGCTTGCGCACCCGATCAGGACGAAAAGGATAGCTACCTGAGGGACCCAGGCGTACCTAAAGCCACGTTAATGACATCCATCTCATCAAAACACGGGAGAGCGAATTTACCCTTGATAAAGATGAAACAGCTTGATCCCAAACGTACTCACAACCCACGTTATAAGGGCCGTAACTACGATCCCAACAACGGGAGACAACGACCCCCCACTCACGGCTGAAAGAATCTGCCCGCTAACAACACAATCGATCAACCCATACCCGACATTGATCACGATATTAAACAAAGCAGCCAACTTAGCAGGCCAGTAGCCCATAACAAACCGAGCCACAACCACAGTCCTGTTCCCCGAAAGCGCTCCGAATGTAGATACATAGGCACTGCATATCGACCCTAAGATCGTCCCGAAAGCGCATAGCCTAGGTACTCATCCATAAGCATTAATCAATCGAAGGCAGGATACAGCGGGTATAAAGGTAGGTAACTCACAGCACAGAATCCACAAACCCAAGCCCATAAGCAACAGGCCCCAGTATCCCCGCCGTGAACTGCACCGCGGTGCAGTTCGCCGAAAACCAGATGCTCCACATCCACACGTAGTCTCTCAAAGCCGGCTTTCCCTCCCGTGCGGACTCCGGTACTTGCTGGATCCCACGCGCTTCGAGGCCGATGAGCTGGTCGCATTTGTTGGCTAGTCTTTCGAGTTGGTTTCTCGGGCGGGCGATCATGAGGACTTCGGCTGAGGAGGAGGAGGTTTCTGATGTCGATGGTTCTATGGTAGTAGACATTGTGACATTTTGGCTAGAGCTCTTTTCCGGGTCGGGGATGGGGATGGGGGTTTGGTTTGCCATGGTGTATGGGAAAATGATAGGCGTTGGAGTTCTGGTTGAGTTCTTGTTGAACGGGTGAATAGGGGCTCGAGATCACCGCGAGCTTGCCGTTATATGTATATTTAGGTACTGATGTAAGGATGTACACCGAGTGCATGCCGTGAAACGCCATGATAGGGATATCCTAATTGGATTGAATCTTGGGAATACGTTTGCTATGTGTATAGTATCTAAGGTTATCAGGCATATTCTTACGTGCGTTGTCGCCAGGGTCGCAGTGATAACACCCCTACATGTATTCTTATCAGATGGAGATCACTTGAAACCTCCACTCTTGGGTCTTGATGCCACCACTTTTGAGGCCACCTTTTGATGTGATTGTCGCTTTTATATGGATAGATGTTAGGGGATCAAGCAAGGAAGACGGGTTATGCTCAGATTACCTATTCCACCGAACCCATTACCGGCCTGCCGCAGGATCGGTGCCCACCATTTGTGCCAATGGCGACCTTCCGGGATAGAGGTGATATGACCATTAGTTTGATATCATATTCTTTATTTAAGATCTTCTGTTGTCATATTTCTCACGTTCAAGTGTCAATTGTGGGAATATAGGAGGATATTGTTAACTCAATCTTGTCGACTTCGGAGAGTAACATATTGATGACGATATTAACTTAGTAAACGATGTAACAAACCACCCCTTTTTATCGAGTCAAGGTACGAACCGAGTCTTCGAAGCCGGATAGAATGTTGGACTTGGTAATTGATATTTCTGAGCGAAAAACAACAGCATTGTTCGAGGGGTTCTGAACTACCCCTCCTTAAAAAATAGAAAAGGCCCTATCTATACGTAGCCACTAACGGATTGAGTTGAGATCTCAAACTCCGATAATCTAATGACAAAAGAAAATCATATTCGAAACTCTTCTCTTCTTTCGGGAAACTTCTAGAGAATCGATAGTAAAAGAAGCTATCTTCTTTTTAGAGGAGCGAATTACTGAGAAATAAAACTTGGAGTTCTAGTTTAGTAGACCGAGTCCCAGATTTGGATCGCGATTTGTAATCCATGTCGGATCATAGCCAGGGGATGGCGCATCGTATGCCGGAGCTATCGAGCCTAATTCACCTTAGTCTTCCGTTTTATTCGATCAACCTTCTCTCTTGCATGTTCAATTACTCATGAGATTCTAGCGCATGTTTCGATTAGTAACATTATACGGATGCAGTATGTAGTCCGTTTTTATTCGCAAGTATAAATATTCATCGAGTATTTTGAGATTGGACGATCACCAGATTGTCTCAAATTGATCATAGTCTTCGCCAAAAGCCACTCAAACGCCATGTCCCCTGAAGGAAACACCCGGAAAACGTTTCTCCTCGGCGCCACAGGTAAGCTACTCCAATTCAAACATAGTGGCGTTCTATATTAACTGATCGACATCAGGCTACATCGGAGGAGATGCCTTGAAAGCTATACTGGATCAATTCCCAGAGCAGGAACCGAATGTCTCCGTCTTAGTACGAGATGAAAAGAAAGGAGAGGCTATAAAGGCCATTTATCCTAACATAAGAATTGTCTTCGGCTCTCTCGACGACACCGAGGTCCTCGTCGGCGAGTCCGCGCAGGCGGATTTTGTATTCAACCTTGCGCACGCAGATCATGTCTCAGCCACCAACGCCATCATCGCCGGATTGAGGCAGCGGTCCGCAGAGGATAAAACCTCGTTCTACGTACACTGCAGCGGTACCGGTATCCTGCTGTATGACGACATGCAGACGAAAACATACGGCGTGGCTTCCAGTAAAATCTACAACGACTGGGATGGTGTCTCGGAAATGACATCTTACCCCGACGCTGCTCCTCACCGCAATGTCGACAAGCTCGTATTAGGAGCCGGCGAGGATACCCATATCAAGACGGCGGTCGTTTGCCCGCCAGTAATCTACGGCATCGGTCGGGGCCCGGTGAACCAGCGAAGTCTACAGATCCCTCTGCTGATCGAGAACTTCATCAAGCGCGGCAAGGCATTCCAGATCGCCGAAGGTAAGGCTTACTGGAACAACGTGCACATACACGACCTCAGCGACTTGTTCGCTCTGTTCTTTCAAGAGGCTCTATCGGGCGACAAGAAGGAAGTTTGGGGTACCGACTCATATTACTTTGCTGAAAATGGCGAAGCGGTAAGTTTATCTCATTGATACTTCGTGACTAGTTCAAGTTAGCTGACGAAATTTGTGAAGCCATGGGGTGACATTTCCGCGAAGACAGCTGAGGTTATGCACTCCAAGGGTCTGATTAAGGACACAGACATCGAAAAACTCTCACCCCAAGATGCCGCGAAGATATTCCCGCATGCGCCATTGGTATGGGGTCAAAACAGTCGATCTAGTGCTATTCGAGGTCGAAAACTCCTTGGTTGGGCTCCTAAGCAGCGAAGCCTGGAGGAAGAACTTCCCATAGCTGTTGATTATGAGGTAGAGAGGCAGAAAAGCAATTAGAATAGGGCTCAGCTGCGAGAGAGCTGTGGTTTGATTGGCGTCCACCTTCCAAAGAACATATCATTTACATCAGCCATGTCTATAATCAGTTAAATAAATAATAAAAACATATGTCCGTATTTTCGATCTGGTTGATGATATTGTGGTTAAAAGATGACGACTTGACGAACTTCCCATGAACCCCTTAATTCCGAAACTGGTGCGAGACCATAGAAGATCAATTCTCAAAGGTGACATATCAGCTGATTTTGACATACCTTGCCATGGCCTTATCACTCATCCCAAGCGCCATTATTTTCCTATACCCAGTACTGTCGCATCGTAACCGAATCCTTGTATCCTTGAGGCATCAAGAGTGGGGGACGACTAGGTACTAATGTGAGAGAATTGGTTTAAAATCGCCTAGACAGCTTTCGTTAAAAATCAACTAACATTTGCTTATGCGGTTAACAGATTTATATCTCAAGATCCGCGAGCTCTGCGGAATGAGCCACTATTCCTAAATTTCGGCGTTAACGTGTGGCTTCCTAGACCTGATTTACTGATAATAGGAGGCTCTGGCTTGTTGATGAGTCTGTAGACGCAGAATAGCAGCATGCCATAGCCACCCAAATCACAATCATCAAAACACATCAACACTGAAATACACACTCGTATTTCCAGCTCATATACTGAAGCTACACAAGCGAACCCGAGTACGCATCAAAGGGCCAATATCCCCTATCCCAAGCGGTACGTAAACGAAGTATAACACACACAACTCCACCATGCGTGAAAGTGACGAGTATCGGGTATATCACAGAACGACTCAACGCGGTTGATCAGAGGAGCCACCAATCCGTCCGTTTGTGTATGCAAGCAAACAGCGAAATCACCAGGCCGTCGTTAATCGTAAAACGCGCAGACCTTTCTTCCTCCCTCCAACCTCAGTACCTTCACATAGATACCGCGTCCCCCTCACCGCAACCCACCAGCCCCCTTCTCAACCACAAACGCAACAGCAGGCCTGCCACGACTCCCCAAGCTCCTCGAGCTATTACTCCTAGGGGAAACCACACTCGTGCGTCCCGGTGACAACGCCTCCCCCCTCCCCCCCAAACTCTCCACGGGGCTCCCAATACCACTCCCATCACTGCCCTCCCCACGCTCATCAAACCCCCACCTCCTCACCCCACCCCCCTGAATCCAAGCCTCCAAATTCCGACACTGACTCACATCGGCCCAAACCAGCCCCGCACACCCCTCCAGCACGCTCTCGACCCCGTTCGCAGTAACCCTCACACACCCCCTCACGCTCAGCCTCTCCAGATCATTAAGATGCAGCGCCACGCACGCCAGACTATTATCACTCACCGCGCTTCCGCAAAACGCCATTCTTAACTCCCGAAGCCTTGGTAGCCCTAACGCCACGACTTCGGTCGCGGTGTCGGAGAGCGCGCAGCAGAAGGATAAGTCGAGGTGGGTAAGCGATTTCGCGGCGTGCACGAGCGCGACGATGGCGTTGTCAGAGAGGTACGTGCAGTCCGCGAGACAGAGGTAGGTTAGTTGCGAGAAGCGGAACGGCGCCCAGGATTGGAAGCCTGCGTCGGTTATGGATGTGCACCGCGTTAGGGAGAGGGATTCGAGACGTGGGGAGGCGTGCGCGGCTATGTGTGCCATTGACCGGTCGGTTATGTGTTTGCAGTAGGAGAGGTTGAGGCGTTTTAGTTTGGGGCAGCCGATTATGGTGCCTGGCGGTGGGAGGATTATGGCTTGAGCTTGCGGTTTTGCGGGGTGGGGGTGGGATTGTTGGGCTTGTTGATTCTGCTGTTGCTGGCCTTGCTGTTGGCCCTGCTGGTGCTGTTGTTGTTGCTGCTGGGCTCGGAGACGGGCGGCGGCGGTGGAGTTTGCTATCATTATCTGCTTCGCGTTCGGAGGGGGATGATCGGGAACGACCCAGCCGACGACTCGAGCAAGGAGGTTATCGCCTACCTTACGGCAATTACTCCAATCTACTTCCTCCAGTCCCTTAGCGTTGTCGCTCATGTCTAGGATCTGATTGGCCGATACGTCCCATACCGACTTCATTCGCCATGTCTTGATGTTCCTGCCGCAAATCTTCCATAGCGCTGAGAAGCCTTCGTCGGTGATGTGGAAGCAATTGCTGAGATCCATTGAGATCGGTCGCGGTCCGAGGAATGGCGCGATAACGTTGACTAGCGTATCGTCTGTTATGAAGCGGTTGTACGGCGTGAGATCGACGTGAGTACATAGTTTGGGTGACGTCGTTAGGAGTTTGCGGATATGAGAAGAAAGAAGTCGTAGACGAATTAGTTCAGCTAAGTCGAGGTACTGGAATATGATGACTAGAATATCATCAGGGAAAAGAGATTCCTGACTAGGATGAGGCCTAGTGGGTATTATCTTAGCCTTTTTGGCTGGGACTTCTGAATCCGGAGATATTGATACGATTGGGAATCTGGCAGGAGTAGAAGTATCAATCATGCGTAGGCGCAGACCATTGGTGATAGGTGTACCAGGAGAGTCTGTAGGTGGTGGTGTGGGCGGAGCGAGAGATCCACGTCGGCGATTCCTTAGATTCTCCATATCGACACTAAGATATGGATCTGGATCCTTAGGTTCCATCTGATCGGATTCATCCTTGACTGGTGAAGCTGGTTTAGAAGGAGTAGTGAACGTGACCTTGGGTGTTGGTCCTGTTCCTGTAGGTGTCGAGGGTGATGCGACATGGTTTCCCGTAGGCTCTGCATCCTTCATCTCAACATCGTCATCTTTCTGTCCGATCCGCGTCTTTGCCGTGTCTTCGACCTGTTTCTTGATATCCGGGGGACATCGCTTCCACAGTTCCTCCAGAGCCTCTCCACTGATCATAAGACATTCGACGGATGTGATGGATCTAACAGTCGCGGTACGTCGAACCGACAAGCCTAAGCTGGCAACCTCTCCAAAATACTGACCTTGTCTTAGACGTGGTCTGATTAGGGATGATCTTGTTATTCTTTTCTCTTGCTTCCCACCAGGAACATCGTGAATTACCTCCGCCTCGCCTCGCACGATAAAGAAAATCTCGTTTCCAGCCGATCCTTGCTTGATGATGTCCGTAAAAGGCGAGTAAGTCTTCGGCTGTGCGCTCATTCCGAGGAAATGGAGGATATCGGGAGGTAGGGTCGAGAATAACGGGAGCTCTTTAAGCGTCTGCCGTACATTGACGAGGCCGCTTCCCAACGCGCTTCCTGCTGCCGCATCTTCGATAGCACCTGGACTCGGCGATTTTCTCTTCTTGCTATTGACTGCAGTCCCTTCCTTAATGATACCAATCTCTCCCATGAAAACTTTACCAGGAGCAGCATCTCTAGCTGCGATTAAGCCCTTGGCGACGGCAACCTTGAGACTTCGTCCGCTTTCCTGGCGTTTCTTGTTTAGGATGGTCAATCGTTCGTGTGCCTCTTCTCTAATCGCTTTCTCCATATCGGGGAACTTAGGTAGCTCCAAGTGGAGATCCTCCTTCTTAAGGACAAGTAGAAGACATTTCGTACGCGCGATAATAGTCGCGGTTCGAGGCATATCCATGAGGACACCTATCTCGCCAAAGAAAGCGCCAGGTTTCAGTTCAGCGTATACAGCCTCACCGTCACGCGACGTTACACCGACGACACCTCTAACCAACCAATACATAGCTTTTGCCTCGTCGCCTTCGGTCAAGATATGGTCGTGTGCGGCGTGTACTTGGGGTCTTAAATGCTTTCCGATAGCGACCAGAAACTCCTCGGGGGCTGACATGAAGAGTGGGAAAGACCTCATACGGTCAAGCAGATCAAGCGGCATGTCAGGAATGGTCGAGGCCGTGAGTGGGGAGGGGCGTATCGGCCGGGTCGGGTTCGTCTCGCTATTGAATGACCGAATCAAGGAAGCGGAATCGGGAGGCTGGCCATTAGCCGGGTGATGGGCCAGGGCCCTATAGGGCGAAGGCGGAGAGTGCGGGACTCGATTCCGCCTCATGGCTACTGTGTGAGCCCTGGCTTCAAGGCCTTAATATGCTTACTTCTTTGCAGTGCCCGGTTTCAGATCTCAAGTTATTCACTCCGTTTCCCCCCCTTCTTTGACGGCAGATATTGGATGGAGGTCACGTTGAGCCTCTCTAAATTGAGGGGAAAGCTTCGTCTAGTATTTTAGGCAAGGACCATACCATGCTATAGCCTGCCGAGAGTTTCCCGTGCAGCGGCGCGAAAGTCGAGGTGCGCGTTTTTGGGGGATCCTTCTTTTATGACACCCTTAATCTGTAATCTGTCATGTGGAGAGCGTCGATCTTGGATGAAACCAGAGCGGAAGAACGGGAGCTAGAGTGATGTATCGGAACTATTGTATGTACGTCTATGAGGTCGAGCTTCTTGACGCTAGATAAGTCCGGTGTCATTAGCAGAATAAGGTAAAAGGCCGACTCGACTCGTGCGGTTTGGACGATTTGGGCGATTTGGAGTATTCGGAGATATGAGATATGATCAGACCAGGTAACGAGAATACATGGTGGGGGTTGAAGAGTAGGGGGGAAGTATAGTCGCGTGCTTTAGATATCGGGGGGTATTGATTTGGTGAATTGTTGTTAACCGATAGTTGAATTGTTAATCGTTAATCGGCAATAGTCGTTGGATCGTTTAATCGGATTGTTTTAATCAGATTGATTTGATTTTCCTAAATCGCGGGGGAAAAAAGATAAAAAAGATTAGTATTGGTTCGGTACTAAAAGTACGTAGATAGTTTGAATTTTAATATTCTAGAATTATGATGTTCGCATTTCCAATTGGGAAAAGTCGCATCGCCAATTAAAAACTTACAATCAATTGCACGCCCACGCGGTCGGTATGTATTTCATAAGCTTGTCGATGCTCAATTAACCCCCGGTGACGGAAAATGGGTAGCGTAGTAGGCGGAGTAGAGGACAACGAGTTCGTGGGTTCCAAGGTTATTAGGAGGCGCAAGTATTTACCGAGAATTGAATAAATACTTGGGCAGAAATAAAGGTGAGGTAAGAAGAGAGGGTGGTGAATGCTCGGATTATCTTTTAGAATCTTGACAATATTTGGATCGTTGGATCTTTGGACCTTTGGACCTTTAGATCTACTTCTTTTCCAGGGGGGGTGAGTCTGACTAGGACTACAAACAACAACAACAATGATGACAGATCCTAGATGCCAACCACAAACATCTCAAGGCAGACAAAAATTAAGAAAAACAAAAGGCTAACTCAAGAACATGATAAAATCATAAAATGATTTTGAAAAAAGTCAAGTTGGGTGTGAGAGCCTAAATTATGATGTGCATATGTGTGCGTATCTGCGTGAGGTCAGTATGCGAGACGACGTTTCTTTGTCGTATGCGACTTTTGTTTCGTGCAGAACACCTGCAGAGAAACCACAGCCTGACACTCTATTGTCTGCCAGTTAGTTGTTGGCGTTGGTGTCGGTGTCAGTGTCGGTGTGTTAGAGATTATGATTATGTCAATTGAGGAAGAGAGGCTACAACTTGGAAGTACAAGTCTACTATGTACAAGAATACAAAGTGTAGACTCGGTCCAAATTGACCAAAATGACGAGAGTCTGAGACAAGCCGTCGAGCTGATGCTGATGCGGATCTACCCCGAAGTGTGGGTGGAGAGCGGGGCGTTATTCTTCATCGACTCCTATTCGTCATTATCCTCTTGTCTCGGTTACCCTAGAGACGAGATAGGTCTAGCACCACACCAATTTTGGAGATCATCAAGTCTCTGTGGGCTACGAGCCGCAGCACGGAGCACATACTGCCACCGAAATCACCCCTCCACGCCTGCCATTCTTTTCCGTTCTGCTATTCTCGAGACCATTTGTCGATTTGCGGTTGCTAAGTTTAGTAGCTGAAGGGTCCACGACTGCCGGGGTCGTACCCGTCTAAGGTCTTACTGCTTGCTAAGATCCGATATTTGAAGACAGCTACAGTACGCATGCACGATATGAATACTAGAAGTTCCGTCAACGAAGACTTGAAGCTTACATTTATTTCACTACCTACTAGGTAGGTAAGCCACTCTAGTCATTTACAAAATACAATAGATATATATAAGCTCTCCAACTCCGACCTCCAAGTATAGATATTCAGCTTCTATATTAAACGCCCAACGTCGTGACTAGAGTCATCTCTTCATAATGCCCCCGCCAGTGGTGGTCTACAGCCTGCAGCAAAGCGTAAGCGTGGCAATCACTCATTTTGCTTGCGGCGTTCTCTGATTCTATTTATACTATGAGTCGCCGCCAAGAAAAATGGAAGGAAGGGGAGAAAGAAAAAAAGCAAAACAACATGAGCTACGAAAATACATCGTATGAGTAACAACTAGTGCTTGAAGCTATGCGGGAAGAAAATTCTATCGAATACAACAACAGGTGGCATTATTCCATACAACCAACACTATCAACAAGACATGTCAGCATCAGACCTGAAACGGAACAATATAAGATATTCGATGCAAGACAACGAGATGAGATCTGTCATCTCAGACAGATATTCCCAGATAAATCCTATCAATATAATCAATATGATCCCGCGAGGAACTTTTGACGCGTCCAACAATAGAATATAGCTACAGCCTACCTACAGCATCTCGAATTACTGTAACCAAGCTATTCCCCCGAATCCCGGTCGGCGATCTTGCGGGTTACATCTTATTACTTCTGCCCCTGCGTTCTGTTACCATTCCCGAATCACCATTTCCGTACCCTTGCCAAGGCCAAGACGACTGTTCGACTATGACGGCCTTCGAGAAGAATTCTAGCGCCATCCCCCTCCTCCCCCTCCCTTCCCCCACCATCGTCTCGTTCAGACAATGGTGTCGCGCATGGTGCTTAGTGGACGCCAGGTAGTGTAACATCCACACATCCTCTATCTTCCATACTAGAGGCCAGATTAAAACCTACTCCAAATCAACTTGTTGAGATACGTGTCGCCTAGTATCGCGGGCAAGCTAAGAACTAAAAATTAGGGACATTAGCCTCGATACCAACACAATTTAGAACTTCCCGTGTGGGTCTTGCTTATAGGTGATCTATTATATTAGCCACAGTTGGTCCGCAACGGGCAGGTGCAGGTTCAATTTGAACTCCCTATTTGATTATAGGTAGTCGTCGTGTGTTATCTTGGCATTTCCAACCGTGTAGGGCGACGTCTGGCTTCTAGAACAGCGGCGGAAGGTCGTTGAATTGGAAGGTCGTGGGACATCAGAACTTCAGAGGGGTGGGTGTATCCCTTGTTGGTAACATCGCCTGTGTCTCCGACATCTGCGTAAGTTTGAATTTCATCTTCGACGTTACGAACTTTTTAAACTGCGACTGGCCCAGATACGAGCTACGCGATCCCTGTTGACAAGAATAACGACAGCATTAGCGCTATTACCTAGCTTATAACTTTATAAAGAATTCGATTTGGAATAATCACTTGATTGATAAGGCAGATATTATTAGGTATATGACACCAACTATAGGACAGTATCTAAGGATGCCTATCAAAATTCCAGCCAACTCTATACTTGTTGAGTCGGAACAGGTATGTCGTGGCTAGTATATCCCCTGCTTAACCCATGACGCTAACTAGCATGAGGCAATAGTAGAGTTACCTCCCAAACCACCTTCTCGACCGATGCGACTTTTAAAATAATAATCCAACATGGTGTTGAGATGGTTGACCATACGCATCGTCATATACTCTTAGGTATAGTGCCCAGACTTTCGGAGTTTCAAGTTTGAACCCGGTGCAATCCGTTTTCTCCTCCGGTTCCCTCGGGTTCCGAGGCATAGATCCGCCGTCGGAAGGGTTTAAGTCGATCGAAGTCGCCATTTCCGTACCGAGAAGGTTAAGAGGTGCCTACTAGGTAGGTCGCGATGCTGGAGACAGGAATGAGGCGGATGCGCGTTGCCAAAATGGCGATTTCGCAAATAGAGCTTGAAGACTACCCTCAGTGGGCATATCTAAAAGCGAAGAACTCTTGACGTCGAAGCAATCAAGTAGTTAGGCAATAATCGATGGCGTTGATATCCGTGTATTGACCATCAATGTTTGGACTTTTGCACTGTTTTCGTCAACCATCCCTCAAGCCCCCATACCACAGATGCCATAGTTGCAGTTTATATCGTCGCCTATGTTGCAGCACATCGATCCACCGGCGCAAAAACAACCAGTAGGCACCAGAGTCGATTCCTTCAAGTCGCTCAACATGACTTTTCTAGTCAACTTTCCGTTGAACATAGGGAACTGGTTCGGAAGGCCGAGTACCGCAACTGTCATCGAAACGACCCAGAACGATATATCTAATGGATGCATATTTATCGGGAAGTCGGGTATTCGAAAAATTGTTTTATGGTTTGACCAGGTCGAGACTCGACAGAGTTGATGGCGTGTAGTTATGAATATTAGGTACAATACTTCAGAACAAGGATGTTCCAAAGTCAACCAACAGCCGTCGCCTATTTTATAAGAGAACCGAGATGACTCAACACGGCGAAAGATGTCATAGAAGAAGTTAACTAATTTGAGGAGCCGGCACTAGTTAAACCATCTAAACTTAATCGGCGAAGGTCCTCCTCTGAATACGAAAAGTTATTAAACTTGATCGCCCTGTCGAAGTTTTAGCACACCCGCAGAACCCGGCCCCCATAAAAGCGCTACAAGGAGCAGGCCGGGGGATGTCGCATCACAAATGACTAAGAGAGGCACGGGTCCGATGGATTACACATCCCTACTGTGGTGTGATAGAATGAAAGAAATCGTCTGCTTTGGGAACTTTAGGAATCCAATGATGTTACTTCATTGATCGAAAACAGCTAGGTCTAACAGAGATCAACTTCAGTGCCTTGATCCTCCAAGCAGTTGGTAGTATGTAGGTCCCTGCAGCCCTACCGAAAGGGGACGTGCAGAATCCACCATATCCAGCATATCCTTCCACGCTTAATATTGAGATGTATTAGGAAGGGGTTCAGCAATACGAACCAACTAGCTTTTAACGCCGATCTTGAATGCTACCTAGGACCATACCCGAGGAGATGTTGAACAGACTAGCAAATAAGTGCCCGCTAGCCTACCAAGCATACTACCAGCTATATAGGAATCTATTGGGAGATATTCTCCTCGTAGGCAGCAGCATTAACTGCATTTTTAGTCGGTGGAGAATTAGGAGAATATTGAGTTACATTCTTCCGTGTCTTTTATTGCCTCACGAATAATAGTTAAGATATCCGATTATTGTAGTGAACGTTACATCTTACGCTCCGGCGACGACAACACCTGCATTCATGGCAGAGCTATTACCTAATAACTTTCTCTTGAGCATGCACTTCTGTTCTACTAACTAGTAAACTTTTAATGCCTTTAAAATTTTATTGAGTAGAACGGGATAGATGTCCGTGACATTATGCCATTGACCTTGGGATTGACTTAGGTTAGTCATCCTAAAAGGGGGTTTGGTTAGCATCATACAACTAATAAAGGTAGGTACCTGGGTAGGTATAGAAAATATAGAGTCGAGTTTTACAATGCATCGAATTATCTGACACGTTAACTGATACTGATCCAGTGGAAATGCTTCACTGCGAATTAGTGTACCGGATTCATAATCGACATCATCGCGAAAACAACAAACAGGCAGACGACAACATACCTACCTAGGTACATACCTAGGTACCTAGTAGGTAAGGCATAAAAAAAGAGAGATGCATCAGCCGCGAATCGAACGCGGGTCTCATCGGTGGTATTGATGGATTTTACCACTAAACCACTGATACCGCTCATTGCGTTGGCTCCGGCGAGCATTTTGGAGATGTTATGGGAACTGCTTAACTCACATATATCTTCCATTAGCAGTTAACTTCAACCATGGAGGAGGGGGGGCATATCCATTGATATACAGAGGAAGAGCCATTTATAGGCCACGGCATTGCTGTGCCGCTGATGTTCTATATTCTAGGTGTTGTCCACCCAGTCCAGCGAAGGAGTATTACCCTTTCCTGGCCGAAGACAACTGCTAGTTAAAGGGATAAAGTCGTAGGAAGTAGGTAAGCCTTTAGCAAGTCACCTCACCTACATAGCAGTGCTCAAAGTGGAACTAGTCTAATAGATGTTTAATAGATAATTTATATTCCAAAGCGAACCTCCGCACAACGCTGTGCCACCGCCAATCCCCAACGCCCGACCAGACCACCGACGATCTGTAGTTCATTCTAATTGGTATCCCTATATCTATACGCGGGTCCCCGATGTATACCTACATAGTAGCACAGAAGAAAATACAAATACTAGCCATACAGTAGCTATATCTCGCCAAAACGCGGCGTTAGTTTAACCCTGAGATATCCCTCGTGTCCCTTCTTCGGGTACGTATCTAGGTATCTGTACCCCTCGGCTTTATCTCTGGTCTCGTCCCAGAGGGAGATGTTGAAGTTGTATAAGATCGCTACGAGTGTTTTTCGTAGCACGTGGCGGGCGATGCTTGGTCGTGTTAGTAGAGGATCGGTGTTGGGTACACATATGTGTACCTAGGTAGGTATATGCTGGGGAAAGGTACGACGTACAATTGTCCCAGGCATGTTCTTGTGCCAGTTCCGAATGTTACTGAGTTGTTGCGCAGTTTTCGGGCATTGGGACCGAAGCCTAGCCAGCGGTCTGGTTTGAAGGTCTCGGGGTCGGGGTATAGAATTGGGTCGCGTTCTAGGAGGTGCAATGTGAAGCTTAGGCTTGTCTATTATGGATGTCAGTTAAGTTACATAATTCAATTATGGTTGAGATGTTTGTTACTTACCATTGGTGGTATGACAGTTTCGTTGTATGTCACTGGCTCAGATGTTTGTCTCGGTTGACGGTGCCACGATGGTGAACTGAGCCGCGTCGATTCCCTACATAACGCATCCTATAATGAAATTAGAAACTTGTTCACTTTCCTCTTGAGGCTTCATTTATTATACGCCGCGTTGAATATTCAAGGTTTATAGTCGCTATGGGTTCATTGGTATAGACTTACCAGATAAGGAAGCTGCAAGACTTTAGGATCGCGCCAGACTTGGTGACCGTAAGTTCCAACATCTAGGCTTCGATCGATTTCGGCTCTTAGCTTAGTAACACAATCAGGATTTTGGATCATGTTATGGAGCAGAAAAGTCAAGTTGCTCATCAGCGACTCGTTGCCGATGAATATGGCTTGCGCAGCTTCTTGAATAACGATTTGCTCGTTGCCGATTTGGCGCCAGATTTGTGATAGTACATTCTTGTGCCCCTTTTCTGGAGGACCAAGTGCATCGCCCTTAGTGATTCGCTCTAGGTGTGAGCCGGCAAGCTGATATGGAGTAAGTCTTGTATCCACTAAACTGACTTGAAAAACTGAGTAGGTACTTACTGCATCTAGCCAACTGAGTGGCGATATTTTACGGAGAGATGGGAATATGTCCAATAATTTCTTTAATGGGGGCATAGACCGTAGGACGGTAGCGAGATCAATTGCACTAAAAGCCCGCGTGGAGTCATGCATAGCAATTAAGTCAGGGCTTTTCATGAAGCCTAGATCCTCGCCTAGGAGATATGAGGTCATAATATCGTTTGTGTAAGCCCAGAGAACATGCGTCAGATTTGTTGGAGTGGCCTTCGTCTCGGAGGACGAAGTGAGCATTTCGTGCAACGTCTGGAGTTGCGTGTTCATTTCTGTACCGGAATAGGATGAAAGGTTCGATCCAGTAAATAGTGGCTGTATCATAGATTTCCGTTCGCCATGGGCTTGAGGAAGCGCAAGGCCGCCAAGTAATGTGTTGAGTATACCATAATAATTATCACACTTCCTTAAGTCTGCCCTATTATGATGCTTGAGGCACGCCTCATGGTCGACGAAATGGAGTTCGTTTGGCCCTAATCGGACAACAGGTCCTATAACCCTTATTAATACAGATCTCAATCTCTCTATCATACGTTTTAGGAGCTGACCATATATCTCATGGAGATTCTTTAAGTTCTCCAACCAGTCATTCTTTATTAAGACATGGTATGCTTCGTACAATTTTGTTGCGGCCGCGAGCTTCGGCCCTGGAAACTTGGATAACGGGCTCAAGAATAGTCGGTAGAATACTTTAATTATAATGAACGAAGAAACTAGTAAGGAAACAGCCGTACAAGCTTGAGGGATTGAAGAAATAGGTTGAACCCAAAGACCTAACATGATGAAAATAGTGAAAGGAAAGTCGATTACCTGTGTTTAGTTATCGTATAATGAGAAATAAACATATCAGGAGGGCTTCCTGTTGTCCAGACTGTATCTATCCAGGTATTTAACTATTTAAGAAACATAGCGGTGACTGAAGCTTGTGCCTATCTATATACTAGGTAAGGTACCTACCTAGTTTACCAGGGGAAGACATGACAGTATCATATCAGAAAAGGATCACTCACCTACAACTATCGTGACTAGTAGGTACCTACCTAGGTACCTAGTAGGTAAGTATCTTCTGCCTCATATACCACCCATTTAACACCAAGTGGACACCACCCGAACCCCCTTGTTAGAGTGAAGCATCCTCCAATTCCAGTGTCTATATGTCCTTTTGGTGTATACGCTACGCTAACACATGGATTTGTCCGTCGTAGTTCAAGTGTGGGCCCGCGCCTCTTCCTTCCCCCCTGCACCCTTAGCTTCGATGTAAAATTTCCTAGTTGACTCTTTGTACTGCGGCTCTTCGTGGGATCGGCCCCCCTTGGTCAGCTATCACGAGTTTTACTTTTTTTGCAGCAGTATCTATCTTTACCAACTTATCCGAATCTTGACTCAGACTGACTATCAAGAGGTTTTCGGCGTTCGACGTAATGTATTTATAGGGTGGTCGAAATCATCCTGGGAGATGGATTTCTGTGACTCCATCTAGGTATGTGGGTATTTCTTATTTCATATAGAAGAATCTAACGTGATGGATGATGACCTTACTATGTATAGGTAAGTACGTAAGTACCTACAGTAGCTGAATAGTCTCACAATTAACACGGCCTTGGAGAAGACTTAGCAGTAAACTTCTTTGATATCGTTTGACAAGCCTATCAACAAGCTAAGTAGCTGAATATCTAGTGAATTCCTACCCGTTGACCTAACTAGTTGCTAAAATTAGTACATATTCCCACGTGGTAAACCTGGCATCGCATGTCCTCCGTACCATAGAGGTGGGTGCGAAGGTGCAAGGATACACAGGGATGGTCACTTACTTAGGCATGGTATAGTATGGTAGGGATAAGAGTTGCATGGTTTAGCGGGGCCAAGGGGGAGTATTCGTCCTTCACGGACGTCCTCAAGGATACTAGGTATGTAACGTGTATAATACTATATAAAGCCCCACACAATGTTAATTTAACAGCGTGGTCGTGTTGGTTCATTGGAATTGAATCGTCGAAAATCCCTCTTTTCGGGATGTTGGCATTGTCGCCCATATAGATTGTGGCGTTCGAGCGTTGGAGTACTCTTTATTAAGAGGAGCTCTATAAGCCGTTGTATGTAGGAATGGCTTCTGCGCCTAGGTGAAGCACGGTACTCGGTTATTGTATTTGTATTACCATCAGCCTCGAGATGCGGGAAGAAAATGGTATGGTAAGCTCGGTAAGCTTACCTATCAAATAAACAGATCCATACCGACCTCGGATTGTAACCGCTTCATGTACCTGAACTGGGTGTAAACCCAGACGTAATTATTATCAAAACCCAGGTAAATGTTTAGGATATCTGCTTTTGATGAAAACAGCTATGAAGAAGCTCGATTCTGGCTATTACTTAGTTGCTTGGTTACTAGCCAAGGATAACGTAATGTTAGAAGGAGTCGACTGTAACTTGGCGTTATTCAAGATCTAGCATTCATGGGGGATGCCTTTCGGTCAGTTTAGGAAATCTCTTACCACCCTATGTGACAAATTTGGGTACAAAATCCTATCCAAACGTCTGTTATTGGATGAATTATGACTGAGCCACGTGCCAGCATGGAAACGAGAGAACTTGTCAAAAGACTACAGTTCCAAGATATAAGATTACCCCGACAGGTTATCTTAATCGTATGTTCCGCATATATGTACGTGTGTAAGAATCGGTAGCTGGTGGATAAAACGTGGTTCTGGATCGAGATCTCCCAAACTCCGGGGGGGCTGAAACAAAACCCAAGATTTTCCGTATATTCCTAATATCTGGGTACGGATAATCCCAAATTCCTTTCTTTCGTTTATAAAAAGTTAATTTGCTTCTTGTCTCAATATTTGATACCGTATATCTGGAAATGAAAAGATATGGATGTATTTAGTGTCGTCATACGACGTATACATCATGTGAGCACGGCCATAATTTCATAACCTAGATCTCAAATTGTTTGCCATTGATTGTTCCGTCGGAGTTCTTGGTACCCGCACGCGAGAATCCGGTTTACGCGGCTGAATCAGGAGTATGGTGCGATCTTACCTAATTCTCTTCGCTTAACCAAGTAAATATGACCTGTCTATTATCTAACCGCCCGACTGAAAACCATGCAAAGATCCCGAAGGCGAATCCTAAGACCGGACAGTTTGGATTCCAACAAGTCGAACATTCCTCTTTAGGAAATCCTACTAGGTAGTTAAGATTCCCGGAAGACCCCATTTTGAACCGGGCGTGGGATCGCCACAACGATTACATTTTGCGCGGGGATGATTCGTGCGTTAAACGAAGCTGATAACTGCTCTTCGTCGTCGTGACCTGGGGAATATTGATCACCTAATATTTTCACATGGACCGTGCTATCCGCGATTACTTCATTTCGTATGGTGATCTGATCACATTGAGTTATAGATGAGGTTGTAATATCCTGGCGCTTAGATAGGTTGGTCAGATTTACTTAGGAGTGGTCGCGGATCTGAAAGAGCCAACGGGAGGACGTATAACTTCGATGTTGGTAAGATTTCAAATGTGAAATTGTCACCTAATCAGTACCACATGGCACATGGCACCATGACAGCGCCCCAGAGGAATATTCCGGGGTACCTAGTATGAACTGCCGCTATACGGCGGTGTCGGTCGTCCCGAACCGGGAGGTGTTGAGAGTTGAAATTGACCCGTGTCTACTTGTTCCGGTCGTTGAACTGAATGATTTGAATAACACGGAGATTGGTGTATGGTATTATAACTGTTCTTGTAGAACACATTCCTGTATCCTCTCTAGAAACAACCTTCACTAGTTTGGCTCTTGCTTATAAAACCTATATGGACGAAGTGACTGTATCTATTCAAAGGCAATTGGTCTTCTTGACGAATTGGAGAACCAGGGATGTTAATCGCTTGTTAAGGTCGATCCGATAGAGTGTTTGGTCCGATTCACGAAAAAAGAGGGTTGTCACATCGACCCCTAGGGGCGCATAAATCAAGATTGTACGCTCAAACCACAGGGTGCGGAGGAACTCCGGAATGGCGACCGGGTCCTAGGAATTCATACCTGCTAGCTGTGTTTTTGGACATTTTTGACTCGATGCCCATCTTCTTCATTTTCACCAGGATTATGTCATCCCAAAAAATCTACCTCTGACGGCAACTAACGAGGTCTCCGCACTAGAAACAGTTAGTAGGTACCTGGGTACTTAGGTAAGTAGATATTCGTCGTCTGCATGATTCCGACGTCAAAAGTCGAAAAGTCCGACAATAACATTTTAAAGAGGGATTATGAGGTAATGTATGAGTCGAAGGAGAGATGAGCCAAAGAAAAGAAAAAGGGAAGTTGATATCATCCATTTTAGTGGGCTAGTCCCGACTCACTTTTGAATTACATAATCGGCTGTGTCGGAATAACGGAGTTAAGAAATTTATAGAAAGTGGTGGGTTGTTTCCAGTTCATTCTCCGCTCCAGTAGCAAGTGGGCTATTACATCAGCTACTTCCTTCACCAGAACGACAGAACATCAATTCGTCGTCATCATTTACGTTGTTCTTCAAAGAAACAACATCTTATTCAGCCTCCCTTTTCTTTTGTCAACCATCATATCTTGTATTTGACAAAAGCGACGATGTCCTTCACTATCATGATTCGTGCGGGGCCCGCGCGCTTCGCTTCTAGATTACCAGAGCTCACGAAAAGCTCTTTCCGATCCGCAGCTCCCATCCGAGCATTCCATCAATCCGCAAGACCATCCAACTTCTTCACATCGCGAACGACTGTCGCATCCACGCTGTTGCGATCCACACCGAAAAATGCATTTGCGCAATCCTCGAAAAGATACATGCAGCAGAGTGCTGCTCCAGCGGTCGACTCGGGTTCGACGATGCGTCGATTGTTAACGGGTGGCGCAATCTTCGGTGGCACTCTCATCGCCATCAACGCTGTCTTCAACCGTGAGACTCGAGAGGACGGCGGAATGCCTGCGTTTGAACGAGCCTACCTAAACTCGACCTTCCTTCACACCGGCCTCGGTATCGGTATAATCGGCCTTACTGCGCGACAGATGATTCAGACTGGATTTGTCTACAGATTGATGGTGACAAATCCTTGGGTTGTGGCAATCGGTGGTTTGGCTCTTAGCTTCGGTACCATGCTCGGAACTCGAGCCGTTGACCCTGACAAGTGAGTATTATCTGCTCCTCTCTTAAAATCTATATCAATCTAACGTTCAATAGCTACGTCCCCAAATACGCACTATGGACTGCGTTCAACGCTACCCAGGCTGCTTTCGTCGCCCCTCTTCTCGCTTTTGCGCCTGGTGCCCTAATTGCTCGTGCCGGTCTTTACACCGTCGCCATGATGGGATCTATTTCTTTCGTCGGCGCTACCGCTAAGCAGGAGAAGTACATGTACATTGGTGGTCCTCTACTTGCTGGTGCCGCCATCGTTGCCGTCTCGGGTCTCGCACCTCTGGTCATCCCAGCAACCGCCGCCCGAACATTGGCATTCACGGAGAACATCTGGCTGTATGGTGGTCTAGCGGTCTTCGGTGGCTTTACGCTGTACGATGTTCAGAAGATCCTGTACCATTCCCGCCTGGCCGAGCAGGGCATCATCAAAAAGGACCCGGTTAACGAGAGTATCTCCTTGGAGTTGGACTTCTTAAACATCTTCATCAGAATGGTTCAGATCTTGATGATGCAACAGAACCGCAGGAAGTAAAGGGGATAATTCTATGGTTACGGAGGAGTTGGGAGGAGTCATGATGGCTGGCGAAGAGAAACAGGTTTCTTCGAAATATGCAGGGAACTAGATCATGAGATCGACTTGCATGCAGACTTAGTCTAAATAATGGAGGTAGAATGCTAACTCTCCTCTCTGCCAAAGACAACTTCAAGATTGTCCAGGATTGTACAATTGTACTAACGATCAATGTAAATAAAAACCATTAGGTCTACATCACTTCCTGATAATGGAAAATTCAACTATCATTTGTTATCGTTCTGAGACATAAGTGGAAAATCGTTACTGTAGCTAGGGAGACAATAGAAATCGATATATGATTTGTCTCACATGCGCCAAGAATTCCTGGTCTGATGAATTATGTGGATGAAAAGTTCTAGCTTACTTGATTGGCAGTGTCATGTTCTCAGGTGACTTGACATCCAAGCTTGAGCGAAGAAAAGATGCAAAGTCATTACCAACCATTTCCCCTTTTATAAGCGTGGAAGCGCTTAGTCGCCTAAATAAACTGGAACTTGCCAATATTGAAGGACGTACACAGCTATATCCAGTCATACCCGATGCAGGAAAATATCAAGTGAATAAGGTTAAGCATGGACGTGCCCAGACGTTTTTAGGTAACCGCCAACTAACAGGCAACAGCTGGGTCGCTGACATTGTGTACTACTGGGCAGCGTACTTGCCTAGTTTAACGACTCTATTGACAATTGAGGCTGAGACCTGACAATGATAAGCCGTTAAATCCGATGACTGCTCTTGCCCTTTCTTCGTATGACTTTGCTCTAGGATCGTTCCTTCGGTGAGAGGGAACTACTTTCTACCCTTCCACCTTCCCCCCTGCTCCCCTGTCCCCTTCGATATCGATAGATGCACCTTCCTCAGCGTCGGCTGCCAAATGACTTGCACCTGCATATGTGAGTCAAATACATTAAATGATTAAGTACATGTCTACTTCTCTCGCCTAACATTTGGAAGCTTGAAGATTTTACTTCTTCAATTTCCATTTAATATTACGCTCCTTATTTCGCGACGCGTAGTAATATCGTATCGTATTAATTTACATACCATCCATTCATTCAACAATTTGTCACCTACTTCGGATATCGGATCACGGTATAGATACAGAGGGTTCCAATTCTAATTGGAACCCTCCTCGCAGCAGAGCAGGACTATGTCCTCATCTAGCAGGAAAAAGATAGTCACGTAAGTTATCCTTCTATTTTCGCAATCTCCATAGCTCTGTACCTCTAGAGTTACCGTCTTCTAGGGCTACTTTCCTAGATGGGTGTGTCTAAGGCTGCGGCTGCCCTTCAACTTCGCCAATCCTAGCCTAGATGTCCTAGGAGCTCAGCCCCTCTCTCCAAATCCCCAACCACACCGGATCTTGTCGGCACCGAAAATAACTAGGTATTTCCGATTAAATGAGTGCTAACTATAATCAAGCCACGCTCGCTCTAAGCTGATAAAGCCGCTTACGAAATCTCTCAATCTGAGAAGTATCTTAAGCAAACTATCTATCAAGCGTCTTACACACCAACCTGGTTATTCAACTGACCATGACGATGTCTCGTCAATTGGTAATCCTACTAGCAGTAGCTCCAATGGCCTCGGCATTACCCTGACAAACAACAGTAGTAATACCAATGCTCAAGATGCCGAGGTTAGGAATGCCTTCGTTTTCTTCTTCTCCACAGGAACCCGACGCCAGAAGAACATCTCTGGCCTATTACTTCTCCCACAGGAGATTTTCGATCACATAACTAGTTACTTAGGACATGCCCAGATCGCCGTATTGGCGCTAGTCAACAAAGAACTTATGTTCCGGTTCATGAGTTCGTGCATAAGGAGTGGTATCGTCGAACCATACGAGCCAGTGTCCTATCGTGTCCTGGACAGATTCATCCAACAGACAGGTTCATCGAAGTCCAAGGTTCGTGGAACGCTGCTCAGTCTTCTAGATTACGATATGGAAGATGTCGTTTATTGCTACAAGTGCAAACGACTTCATGATCCGTTCCTAATGTTCGTGGATCGTGCCTATGCGCCTCACAAAGCCGTTAAATGCGCTGATTGGCCTATGGAACACCACATGCCACCCCGGGCGACGAGGAAGTTGTTGCGCACCATTAGCAAGCGCCGCATTCACGGTGCCGAGTACAGATACCTTTTGGCACAGATAAATAACACCCAGACGGTGTATCATAAGGGAACCTTAGTCCAGATCTCGTTGAGAGCGCGTTACCGCCATGAAAACTTGATTCTACGGCGGCAGCAGGTCGTTGCGCATATCGACAAATCGTCCCAGACAATGTGGCTATTCGCACAGATGCTTAAGGACTCGCCCTATAACAACCCGCTATTCTTATCATTGCCTCAAGTTTTCTTGATGTGCAATCATCAAATTTGGAATGACATATACCAGCCGCTGATACGACAGCTGGTCGATCCTCTTTGCAAGGGTCAACATACGGACCAAGGTGGATGGAAGCATGAAATGGCCTGCTTCAGCGGAGAACACCTCGATGTATCGAAACAGAAAGGCCACATGGTCCACGAACGCCTTCAATGGATAGCCTCCGGCGCGCAGCGTAACCCAACAGATGTGCCCACCCTCCTAGGCGACGTCCTAGGCTGCGATAAATGCACAACAGACTTCAGCATCGACGTCGTCCCCTTGCCTGAGCCCTTCGGCTGGGGATTTGTTCTGACTTCGTGGTTTGATCTCGGTAGGCTTGACTTCTGCGCGAAGTGGGACAGTCACAGGGAGGCACGGCCGAGTCGAGAGATGAATCGGTATCCGACACATGGAGACATATGCGAGATGTTCGAGGACTTGCCGTCGCGCCTAGATTACCGCGCCGAAGTCAGCTCGATCAACAAAGTGCGTATGGAAAACCATACCTGGGCTCAGAGGGCCAAGCAGGGAAAGGACCGGTACATGAATTGGTCTTCCGGTCACACCTGCAACCCTGCCACAGGATGGATTGAGGATCCGGACTCATTAGAAGAGGAAGACTATTGAGTTGATGCAGAGACGGATCGATGTACGACGTGATAGGTTCTGCGTTACGATAGAGACATATCAGGAGTAGAGGGGCTGATCGAGCACTGATGATACCATTTCGGCTTCGACATGATGATTTGATATGCATGGGCGAAGGCGTTTAGGATCGTGCGGAACAATTGATTAAATCATGTGCATTAAAGTAAGGCGTGGAGTTACCGGGCTCGCCGAAAAGGAGAACTGAAGTGCTGTGTTATTCGGCGTAGGGCTTGTGTTAACTGTGGTTTATAATGAGTAATTGCTAGGTGGCCTCAGAATTTGAGTGTGATCTAGATTTCTCCGTGCTCGACCGACGAAGATGAAATTCTGGATACTTGGGGATGTATCTCGATTTGTCGAATCATCTCAACGATACTGTAAAACGTAGGGGATTGATCCCATCTCGCCATCTCATTGTAGACAAGTATTTATTTAGCGCCATCATACATGACCACGGAGATATGGTATGGTATATCTACACAGTAGATAGTATATCACCGCCACCAGACCAACCACCAACCCAACCAAACGCCCGTCTCACCATCCCTTCCTTTCCTCACACCACATCACTGAAGCGGCGGAAACGTCCTCAGAAAATGCGAAGGACACTCGTACCCAGACGGGTTATGATGCAAATACTGCTGATGGTACTCCTCCGCATCCCACCACCGGCCCGCGGGCGCTATCTCCGTCGCGATGCCCCCCTTATACCACGCCTCGTTCGCCTGGCGCGTCACCTCCCGCGCTACTGTCTCTTGATCCGGGGTGTGGTAGTATATCGCGCTGCGGTACTGTGGGCCGACGTCTGGGCCTTGTCGGTTGGAGGTCGTGGGGTCGTGCATCCGGTAGAAGAATTCGAGGAGTTGCCGGTAGGTTATTTTCGAAGGGTCGTAGTGGATTTGGAGGGCTTCGGCGTCTGTTTGGGTGAGAGGTTGATTAGTAGGGATAGATTGTTGGAAAGAGTCCGGGAGAGGGAGACATACGTCCTGTCTGGCCACCGCATACGGCCCGGTATGACGGGTTCGTTAGGTCGCCGCCGGTGTATCCTACTCGTGCGTCGTAGAGACCTTTGTCTCCGAAGTGTTTGCGGTAAAGGTGCTCGACGCCCCAGAAACAACCTGCGGCTATGGTGGCTTTCTCGGCGCCCTCGGGGATCGCGATGGCGCTGCCGCCGGTGGTGTCGGCTGTTATGCCGAAGCGGGTGCTTAGGGGGCGGAAGAGCCGCGAGGCGAAGGTGGGGAGGGTGAAGGACATTGCGAGGAGTGCGATTGTGGTTGCGATGAGGATTTGGGTTACGGTTGGGGTTGTGGTTAATGCTGGTGTTGTATCTGTAGTGGGGTCGGTTGGTTGGTTGGTCATGAATTGAGATTAAAACTCAATTCGATATGGTGAAGATGGGAATGATTTTATATCGTAAATTGGCGTCTATGCTGCTTGCTCTTTCCTTTTTAACGCCGTATTTGATTCCACATCGAAGGTCGTTAAAAGCGCAGTCCGATCGGTGGTGACGTTTGGAGGGGGAGCTTTCCCAGACAATGACAAATCTATCAACGCCACCCGCCTGCCGGATGATGCCATTCGCCGTGATGAACAAGGGAAGGATCGGGAGTTGGTAGCTTAACGTGGTCCGTGCCACCCTAAGCTCTTCCCTTCAGAATTGAAGATTCCAAATGCAGCTACGAATTATGTAAGCTAACTTTCAGCTCAGCCCTATGGAAGTTATTGCCGATGCCCTTGTTTGTTCCTTATCTGATGGTATCAGCATCTAGCTTCGTCTTCACCTTTTTCGACTTCGTATGATTCCATGTCCAATTGACCAATGGCAACGCGCTTCAGAAGCTCCCTGTTTATTCATCAGGTCTTGCAGCTTGCTTGGTTGATCAGGTTAATCTAAACTTCTAATGTTCGGAATTCATTTAGTTGCTTCAGTTGGTAATTCGGTTATTTTACCTTGAGTTCTTCACCGCCATGGCAACCTGGAAGTCAAGTCTGCATTGTTGTTGGTACTCTGTGTAGGTAGTCTTGAGTTCTCATACTCGACTTGCTCAGGATCAAACCATTTCAGGACCGATTCTAACTGAATCTTGTTAAATCTCCGACGGGTCATGAAGACGGCATAAATGAGACAATTAACAGGTGTCCTTCTTGACGAGCTTATGTCAGGGGCTTTCACAAACACGATTCCGTCGTAGCTATTCTAAACATACCCATCGTCGACAGCATCATTTATCTCTTGGTAGTCATGCAACCTGCAACGTGGTCACTGTACCGTTAGGCTGGGCCAGCAGAGAAGCTTGATTTGAGCTTCGATCAATCATACAAGGGGGCCTTGGCACGTAGCAAGTCCCTGCGCAACCCCCATACTCGTCAATTTTAGCCGTGCGCAAGGCTTTCCAGAGCAGATCGAGGCATGTCCAGGCGACAGTTCGAGTAATGTTGCAAGCGATGTTTCAGACAATAGGAAGTTCCACGCGATACTCTTCGCGGAGTGAGGCCTCACCGGTAATGATTATGACGTCGTTTTCCATCTCGACCCATTTCGAGATCAGATAAATCTCCTACGATCTCATGAGAGGGTCGATCTATTTTAAAGATATCATCGGTTTCGATCACTTCGCGTTTTTAATCGGAGCTGAATTATTACCCCTATCCACTTTTGAGCATATCCCTGATCGCGTCTCTCAACACGCAACACCTACACCTAAATTCTATTCATTAGACGGTCAATTGATCACCACATCATCTAAGAATTCACACAAACATCATCAACACATAAAAAAAATTCACCTAACCCGCCAAAATGCTGACCAATCGACGCTCAACCCTTATGGTCCCCAACGCCCTAAACGGACGTCCAGCATCCTACACGCCGGGGATAACCAACCCCCCAACCCTCACAACTCTGCGTCCCGAAAACGAACCTCACTGCACGGCGCCCGCGATCCTAACCTCGACCATGCCGACGCTGCCAGGGTACCGCATATCTCGCGTCCTAGGCGCCGTGTTCGGGAGCACGACGTACGCGCTAAAAGACACCAAGGCGCTGCTAAAAGCCAGCGCCGCGGGCGGCGAGGTCAAGAGCCTCACGCACATCATGTATAACGCGCGCGACCAGGCCGCGGAACGCATGACGCGCGATTGTGTGACGCGTGGCGCGAACGCGGTTGTGGGGATGACGTTCGAGGAAAGGGAGGTCTTGGGGTTTATACAGGTTTCGGTTTGTGGGACGGCGGTTTATGTGGAGAGGGAGAAGGTGGTGCCTGAGAACCCGTTTTCGCCGTGATGGCTGATGGTGTGCTTTTTCTCTGGAGTTATGGATCAGCCCCGCGGAGTTAAATGAAGGCCTCCGCTGAACACCCGACGCTGGCTACCTAGCTAGACCGCGGCGCGTGGCGGTGGTTGGGAGATGAGGGAGGTCGACATACGAGGTAGAGTTCCGAGCTACAACCCGGATATGGTATTGTTTCGCTTCTTGGAGTATTGGTAGGGCTTGAGGGCTTGGGGCTTAGGCTAGGAGCTTTTGATCTTCGGCCCCGAGACGTCTTTTTTGGATTTAGTCGCAGATTCTAGTAATCACGTTTCCCGTTTAGGGCTACAATTGGTGATTTCTCCCATTTCGCGATTCGGTATCTACAGTACAATTACGTAGCTGAACCACCAGCCATCGGAATTATGATCTCTACGGTACGGTAGCATCGAGGGAGCTTGGACTCGGGATCAAGCTTCTCGGCCGAGATTGCGAAGGGCGCCCGCGGAGACTAAAGTTGGAGTGCAATTAATTCCTACATTGGACCGGTTACACAGCAGCTGGTGGTGATGACGATGATGAGGGGTGTTGGTGACACACACACACGAAGCTCCTTGGACCCGGACCACCGATATGGTAGCACTCGAGGAGCTCCCCGCCATATCGTACGTTTTCTTGGTACGTCAGGAGCTCGGGCTTCTCGGTTGGTCATCAGGAGAGCTCTTTCGTCGTACGGCAGCTTCGAGGGGGTCCATTCATGTTCAACACATTGACCTGCGCTTCGTATATTGCGTCCGTCACGATTGGATCGGCCGGTCGCTAGAGCGCTCTGTAGTAGATGCCAAGCCCGGGATCGTGATTGTCGGGTATGGCGTATGCGGTGGTAGGGGTATGCGAGCTGCGCTTAGGTCATACGGCCTCGATTTGTGGGATACTTAGCAGTGGCACGGTAGTTTAAGGCGAAATGAAGTCGTACGTATTATGATATTATGTAGCTTAGCTACCTTGGGCGGGACGATCGTAGCATATGCAGCCGGCATGACACGGCTCGGTAAAGGTTCCTATCCTGGGACGAATCGTCGGTATTCCGGGACCCGCGCCTTAAATCGTCTTTACTCGGGACCGGTTCCTGTTAGCATGGGTAAGGAAAAGCGAACTCTCCCAGCTAGATCCATGGTTATGTTCGTCTACAAGGGGGTAAGATCACGACATTAAATACACTATTGCCAGATGAACCGTTGGTACTCATTCAGCAGTTCAGGAACATATGGGTCTATCCAGGCTAGAGATATAAGGTTAATATTGCATGCGTCCGAGTCACCCCTTGCCTCGCCGCATCCACTTTCTCTACCTAGGGTCCGGGCTGAGCTTCCGAAAGCTCTGATATCATATCATCCCTTGCATGCATCGGGCTACCTGACGCTGTGATACGTGAGAACCGTCCCCACGGGGAAGAGCTTAAAAAGCCTAAAGGGCAATAAACGCGTCCCCTTTAGGGCTCCCCTGGTAGGGGGTCTGTGATATAAATACGTGTCCAACTTTCCGCTTCGAGCGGACAACACACAGACGCAATTATTTTCCTGGGCGGTCTAGAGCACGCTATTTGTCTATTTATAGAAGGGGTAATTTTAAAAAGGTTGCATCATACCGAGAACTTTACATCACAACTTTTTTTTTCCTTTTTCTTTTTTTTTCCCACTTGGAATGATGCTGGTCGATGGTGGGCTGTGGGCTGTGGACTGTGGGTTCAGGGCGATCGGATAAGCTCCCTGGCTCACCTATGGGGTGCTTCCGAGACCCCTTGAACTGTCCTCATGACATATTGCAGCTTGCAGGAGCTATGCCGCCAACTACGGGGCTTATCCCATGGCTTTCTGGTGTAACTCATCTGTATCACCCCGCATCTAGGTGATTCTAGATGGCCCTCGGCTGTTCAGTTCGGTGAAGTGGTGTGGTTATGAATAAGTGCTTTTGTAGCTTCGTAGGTAGCTTCGTAGGGCTGGCCTCACCGGTGACCTTGTCAGCTAGGTTAGTCGGGTGCGGAAGCTAGGTTACAACAGCCTGGAAAAAAGGCGCTACACCATTAATAGCAGATTAAATAGATTAAGATAAATGAATATTTGACGTCGTTAAATTGCCCGAGTCGATATCGCGAATCTAGCTCACCTACCTGGTACGGAGTAGTCACGAGAAACATCACAACCAAAATGTTTGAGGTCTATCAATATTAGATAAATATCATTCTATTAGAATTAAAGAATATCGGCTACCTAATCGATCAGTGAAGGATAGTATGAAAAAATACAAAAGCTATATAATAAGTAGTAGTAACGTTAAGACAGATAATACGAATTTTTCGTTCAAGCGCCTAACATTCTTGATGAATCATAAAGCGATATCGCATGCTCGGCCGGGTTCTTTCTAAAAATGAATTAATGATGCATTCCGTTGACAATCATGAGAACTTTTTTCCTGGTAAATTAATGCCCGACCCATATAGTGATATCATAATAACGCCTTGTAAATGCCAACTGTCTCCGAGGTACTGGAGTACCCTCAATAACCCCCTGATCATTTCTTCGTAAAGTGTTAGCCAGCAGGCTATCAACGTACTAAGACCTCGAAGCAGGAGGCCGAGGCTCTCTTCTGCAAGCCTCTAGTTTTATTTTCTTTTTCTCGTGAAAATAAAAAGGAATCCCGGCGTAGTCCATTAGGGAAAAAATGTGCGATGTCCGTTGTAGAAGTTCGATACGTCAAGCTCGAATCAGTTTGATGGTGTTTGATGTTGATGTTGTTGTTGTTGCTCCTGGCAGCTAGTTGGTAGGAGAGTAGAAGCAACGAGCGAGCGAGACAGACGTGACGTATAAAGTGCAACGGTTGAGCGAGTGAATTGTCTCGTGAGGTAAGTTTATCTCGAGAGAGATTCTACCTCAGGTAGGTTTTGAGCGAGCGGGTAGGTTGTTTTTGTCCAAAGGTCGTGTAAAAAATCCCGAATTGAAATACTTCTTAATTCCACACATATCATAATTCTTCCCCTAGTCGTAGCAAAAAAGAGTTGACCATACTTTTCCTCAATGGGAATGGGAATGCGCCGTATGACACTCCTCCAGTTGAGGTCTGTTTTGAGGATGGCAGTACCAACAGCTGCCTGTGGTGTACTCAGTTCCGCAGTTACCACACGTGTGCATATGCATGATGTTGTTGTCGTTTGAGAATGTACCCTTTTAGGTGGAATATATAAGAATATATGTTTAGGTAGATATGTTTTATGATAGCCGAGTTATAGGTGTTTGCCTGTTGATAACATGTTAGATACCTATTATATCTCTATATCCCCTCTTCAGGTCTCGATAAGGCATAGGATAGAAAGGTCAACTTACAAGCTCTAGTAAGCTAGTAAGCTCTATTAGGTTCAGCGGCGACTGATGATGGTGTGTGTTTGGTATGTGAAAAAAGGTTAGTAGGTAAGAAGGGAGAGGCACGTGTATAAGTTGGTGGACAAAGATAGAAGTTATGGCTTAAGGCGATTAAAAGAAGGTTGTGTGTATGATGATATGGATGGATATGGAAGAGATAAAAAGTCGAATGGATGTTCCGGTTTATGGTCTCCCCTCATGGAGAAAAAGGCTAGACTAAAAGCTGTCTTAGGTCGGTGCTGGGTCGGTGGTGAGTGGGGAGAAGGCATTATCATGGATGGGATTATGGGACCCTTGAAGGATCGTCTCTGCGGATTTATTAACTTATAATATCCATCCCAATTTGGGACTAATGCACGATCCATCAATAACTTCACGATGGCTGGCTGACCTACTACATACATAGCTACATTATACTATGCGCACTGCGTAGTAGACCCACTGACACCACCTGCCTAGTAGAGTACCATGTAAGGGTCTTTGCCAATAGCGCCAGGTAAGCAGGAATATGTTTCCCGTCTAAGCGAATAGCGGACCGGCGTCAACAGCCTAGTTCGAAATTATCTACTGCAGTAACTGCGTAGTAGGAAGCAATTCCCGCTCAAGATGCCAAACTCAGAAGCTGACCACGTTTACCACGTGGTGCTCGCCTAGGAATGCCCGTCGCCTTTTCGGCACCGTCGGCTCCTACCGAGTCTGACCACTCTTTAGCGACGATGCGATGTTTAAGATGCAAGCCAAGACAACGGGATTCCTTTTCGGCCGATATCGTATCAGAACCACAGCCAACGCGAGAATGGAAGTCGATGGAAAAAGGGAGAAAAAACTTTGGTAGCGAAACAGAGTCGAGCATAACACACACAGACATACGGACTGCAGCATCGACACATCAGAATTAGAAAAAACCGATATGATGGTATGTAGGTATGTAGGTATGTACCTAAGAATAAAAGATACAAGAGACAAAAAAAAACCAAGAAAAAGTCGATCACCCGTTGGCGCGTAAGGCAAGGTTGAGGGAATAAAAAAAATAGAGGATGACTTGAGTCTTGACAAATCGTAGTCGTCACTTTCGCTTGCAATAAAAGAACTTTTCTGGGGATAAACGGACCGGATGCGCGTTCGCGTCTCCTGATTGTGTCCTTGTGAGTCCACCTTGCCCGCGAGAGAAACCCCAAAAGACGATCTCTCGGAGAAGACACCAAGTGATAGTCGAGGAAGGACACCCATTAATCAAAGAAATATGGGATAGTTCCCAATCAAGCGACGGGGTCCATTTAAAGGTATAGGACTTATAGGCTTGGCACATCATCGATCCGATTTTTCTATCCTCTCTTTTCTGTCGGTGTAATGTAAAATTGTAGAATATCAGAATATCAGAGAAGAGAGTATCTGCCACTAATATGTCACTACATTGGCAGACAGGCAGATTGGCTGCATATTAGGTACTGAGGCAGTGAGGCTCCCCTCGTATTTAGACGACAATCACGTCAATCTTGGTAAATCTTTCGATAAAGTAATAGGAAAGTAATAAAGCACTTACACTCACAGACTCATTAATATCCCTCCTTCTCCCCTTGCCGATCTTGCTCTTCTGGGTTGATGCGCAACGCGTGTTTCCCCCCCTCGCAGGCACTTTGAAGATCTTAGGGCAGTTTCTTTTTTCTTCGTGCCGCCCAATCTGCCAATGACAGCGCTGCCGTCCGCCGCCAACATGCATTATGGGTCATATCCGTCCCAATTCCGGGTACGTAACTACCTGGACCTGGTTACGCTGCAGGCATGTAACTGTTCAGTGTGTTCTGGTCCGGAGGTGCGGCGTGCATCGAGTGGTCGGTTCCTGCACCGCACCGCAGCAAAACCGCAAGACGAGCGCCGACGAGACCAGGAACAGTCCCTCGATGCCTCGAATTTGCCTCGTGGCGCAATATAGCTTCAGCGGTATGGGAGCCGTATTGGGAGAACACATCCGCTGTGGACCTCCCTTTCACCTCTCCCGACTGAATGGCGTCGAATCAAGTCGTCCGGCAGAAGCCTGACAGGCGGGAGTTCCATCTACGGGAGCAAGATCCATATTGCACATAGCGCAGTTTAAGCAAGATGGGATTCCAAGATGGGATTGCTAGGCGAGCTTTTGCTCAAGCTAAAAAGTTGAAGAGCTAATATAGCGTGGAAAAAGAGTCGCCAAGCTAGGCCAAGCTGCTCGTCGATTACCTTCGACCCGGCAGTTTGGTTAAGGTATGAAGCCGTCGTTTCATATCTTCGAAGGGCTTACTTTGAAATACCGAATCCATTCCCGTTTGAAGGAGTATGTATGTATGTAGTAAGATATCTTAGTAGTATCCATATCCATGCCTTACATAAGTGCAACATCTGATAATTCCTACCTACTGTACCTATAAAATAGATCTCATCCTATCGTGAAGACTTTAAGTTAGATCTTGGAGGCTCACCTCGGTAAGTACTGTACCTGTCTACCTACCTGCTTACTCGGTGCTCTCGGGTAGATATGGATCCAAGGAACTGTACCTAGTACCTATGTAAGTGACCCCGATGATATTTACCAGTTTTTCCAACGACATGCCTTAAGTAGTAAATATTAAAAATTATTGATGCAAATGTCAGGTGAGGCGAATCGCATAACCTTTTTAGGTAGTAGACACTCACGTTGCCGTTGCCACGATGCACGATGCACGGTGTTCGGAGGAAGGGGAAGGGGATGAAGAAAAAGGAAGTAGGATTGTACATGCATCCATGTATGTACTTGTAATTTTCCCGTCGCACAATTTCCAAGTGCACAGATGCATAAATGTTGTCATCGGATGGCCACGGACTCTCTAAAAATAGATCTATACCTAGATGTAGATAGATAATTAAAAAATAAAGAATGTCTCAGATGTTGAGTTGAGAAAAGAAAATGCACAAACGGGGAGTCGAACCCCGAGCTCAACCTTGGAAGGGTTGAATGTTACCGCTACACCATTTGTGCTTTGCCATGTTCCGCAGTCCGTTTCTCTGGGTTGGAAGATGATTGCCTAACTCGTAAGATGGAATATAGTACATAAATTCCTTAGTTCCCAGACCGAGTATAGCGTGAATAGGAATGACCAATTAAACCACTTCAGATTCAGGAGCAGCTAATCCTATCTAGGTAGGTAGATGGGTATTAAAAGTAATGTCTACAAGACAGTAGACTAGGTACATTTCACAAGTTCAAGTTGTTGTAACTTGCAAAGTTGTTACAAGGTCACTTTGGAATATTTGATATATCACATTTCGTACCTTGGGTCTGGAAGTGATATACAGGCAATAGCGAATTCTCAACGACTTCCAAGTTGTATTAGGCCGCCATCCGATCAGAAAAGGAATAAAAACTGTTCGATCAAATACTAGCGTAGGGGGCTAGACTGAAAGACTGCCTCGCGACATCAGATCACAGCCTAAAACTACCTAGAGAATAAATTGGCAGCGTCACCATGACCTTGACATTACCTGGTATACCATCAATTTGAATGGTGGACGAGCGGATAACATATTGGAGACTAGGTATTTTCCAAAATTTGACTTATCATAAAATTACCAAAATTCGAAAGACCACGCGGCCTCGATAACCGGCATCTATTAACGAATAGACATATGTTAGAGAATGCCGCCCGAATTGTGGCATAGTGTCAAGGCGGAAAGGAGAAAGTAGGATGGGCATTGAACAATCCGATCATTGTAACCTACCGTTTCTAGCGCTTAATTCTTTTTCGATTTCTCGATCGTTGAAAGATCGAAGATGAGCATGGACTTTCGGATTTCGCTACAGGTTATAGTAGGCGCGTTATACCATACATACCATATATCAGCGATGATCATGCTACTACAGGCAGGTAACGTCCGGAGAATCGTTGACGAATAGCACCTAAGGCGGCTTGGACTTCTGGAATCCCATCTCTCGAGCATGGAAAAAGATAGAAAAGCGAGGTCGGCAGCAAGATTCGGGTCTGCATGGTGTGTCTCACCCTAGCGGATTTGCCTTCATTCGATTGGAAGTACGAAACCTACCCTCATCGGACTTGGCTCCGGAAGGAGCTCGAACTCGGCATTTCTACGGATTGTGCGGACGATGTCGGCAATGCGTGATCGAGGACGGTCCGGTTCACATGTCATTAGTTCATTAGTTCAGCTACCTTGCTGGTCAGTCAAATGATAGATCAACTATTATGAGAGAATAAATTTCGAAAATTCTGGACAGCCGTCGATGTGAATTCGGAATACCATTATCAAGCTACCGATCACGTAATTATCATGGTGTTGTTCCACGACTTTTAGTGCTTCCCTCGAAACCATTCTAAGTGCTGACGGTAGATGAGACAGCGCCGGGATCGCACTCGATGCCTGTACGAAATACAAGGGCAGAGCTGCCTAAAGTCAGCCAAATCGAGGCAACTTGTAGGGGTGTTTGCAGTGTATTACGCAAACGTAACAAGGCATACATCCATGGATGAATCATTCAATTCATTGGCCTACGAAGCTTATGTGGGAACCCCCTTTTAACAGAAGACATTACCTATGTTTGCCTACTAAGCAAGCTTAAAACAATCAGTTTAACATCCTTTCTTATGATAGTATCTTGCAGCTAATTTCAGTCAATGTTCTGTAAGAGTGCAAATTTCTGCTTTTATATTTAGCTGCGTTAGCTTTTGAGAGGTTGTTTTGGTGCAAATATCGATATTTCTGTTTTCATGGGAGTGTATCGGCGATTGACAAACTTAACCTCATGATCATTATGTAACCTAATAAGAGAATGAATAACAGTTTTAACAACTTCTCACATAACGAGTTTGATCAGAAGTCAATGACAAGTTCACTTGTGCTTTGATCCTTCAATATGTCGAAGCCCCATATCACCATCTACCTGCAGTCAGAAACACGCATATGGCCTCCTTAACTGGCCTAAGTTTACCAGTCATTCCAAATAGCTTGTTCAGCTAGGTGGACCATAACTCGTACATATCATAATACATCTAACTAATCGGAATTAATCCTCTCTGGCACCAATAGGCTATTGCATATGCTAAGTTGCATTCAGGGGTGTCTTGCAGACTCAAGTTGGTCATGGGAACACACTTGAGACATGCATATAGGACAATTTATTGCCCTAATAAATGGATATTGGTATAGTCTAAGGCATCCATCGCTTCAGTGGAATATCTAAAGACAGCCTTGTATAATGAGTGGAAAGATATGAGCTTTGTTAGGTTAAACTATCACTGCCCGGACGGATCGTAGGAAGTTTCATAAGTTACAATCATCTCAAACCAGCCGAGTAAAATAATTGATAGCTAATAACTATTACAACGTACGTATCAATTCCATGTTTAAATTAACTTAAAGAGGTAAATATTGAAATATTGGTATTATAAGACCTATTTACACCGCAGAACGAAATACTGTGGTTATTATATACGTGGACCAACTAGCTTTCGTTGAGCAGTGAAATATAGGCAGGTAGTTGTTAGATGCCGATTGGTACACGGTATCAAGATTCTTGATGGATCTAGAGATCTAACTGTGTCTTCTTTCATCTTTTCGTATCTGCTACTCATTGGACAATGACTGATGCAAAGTGAGAATCCATGAATTAGATGAAGTGATATTGGCGCCCAACTGTCAGCGTTGAGTTGCGTAGTGACTACATGTTATATGCAGGGGCTCGTAATTCTCTTATTGTAATTATCACAATACGGCTTCTGATATGGTAGTGTAAGGCGGTCAAGCTTTCGACTTGGCTATATCCCACTTTTACATATGTGGCGGTGTGGCTCTTATGCTCTAAACTTTACAGTGACGTTAGAGTCTGACTTTTGACATGTGATTTAGTTAGTTGAGATTTGTTGCACTATTACTCGCTTTGTCCTATGATGAAATTTGCGTGGTAGGGTTCCTAGTCGTTCGGTGGGACAGTTTATGTGAACGCACATGAATAATCGTCACTCGACGATTAAACTGCGGAATTGGCTACCTTCCATTGAGTAGTAGATAATTGTAAAGGAGGAGTCTTTACCTACCTAATAGCTAAGTAGAAATCTACGTAAAACCTATTCTGTGATAAGAGCAGAAGCACATCGGGGGTTGATAGGGGAGGCGACGCAGCAACGCCTTCCTTGTATCCTGTCTAACCATTTTAAACAAGTATATAAAGGGCTAAAGACTCCTAAATGGATTGATATAATGGCGTGGGTTCGGTTATCATATGGTTATGGTAGAGGGAACCTAATTACAGTCATCCATTCTATAGTAGTCTTCAACCACACGACCAATCCCTGACAAAACATGTGAATATCACAAACAGTTCAAGACTTGGTGACAGCACCGCCATTTAAATGATATGGAAGATTCACCCATTAATCTACTGAGAAAATAATGTCCTTCTAACAGCAGTAGTAACCCTTGGATATCAGGATTCAGTGGGATTATTTCGTCGTTTTATGATTCGCAATATAAATGCCTTAGGCCACGCTTTCTCCTAAACCAATATCATGGTTTTATACGTGATCATATTATGTCTACCTAGTGTCAGGTAGATAGCATTGACGAATTTGATGGTGGATATTATTCACTAGGTAGTCTCAAAGATAGGGATAAGTGAAGTTCAATTTGGTGCACATTATCAGATCTTATCAGAATAGGCTGTGTTGTGTTTTTCTACATAATTTTAATCCACAGTGGCCGTGTTATATTAGTCGGGCTTTTTGTGTTGGAGATTGTTTTTCTTACAAAGTCAATAGCTTGTCGCCGTGCTACGAAGTGTGATCAGAAACCTTTGTGTCCTTGTTTGAAGTCTCATGTACACCACATTACATTCACCCGAGTTAATAGTCACAAGTGTTGTTACGGCTACGCCATAGTGTGAACCTTATATGATATCTCATTCTCACTTTTCACTTATCTAGAATGTGTTTCCCCGTGGGATGAATATTGTTTTGGTGTAACTATCAAGAGAATTCATCTGTAGATATATGAAAGTATTGATGAGTTAAGTCAATATCAGTAATCTCCACCCTATAGGCGCAGAGCGCATTATCTTTCCTACATGAAGCTTATCTGTCAATCGCAGTCCAACGAATAGGTATGTGAAAAGCCAAGTCTTCGTCTTCCCCGGATACTGGAAGGAAACGTTGCCACTTCTTTCGGAACAACCTTAAATTTTCAAATCCGGGAACGAGTTCGTTGGGTTAGACGGGTGTTGAAAGTCCGCCCTGCGATGATCCGCCTACTTTATATATTACCATGAGGTGTCTTACGCAGATCTTGCTCAGCTTGAATATTTTCGGCATATAGTAAGCCTTACTCATAGTCGTGGATTGGCTTTCAGCCGGCTTGGCGTTGTACGGACAGCTGAGGCAGAAGTTGAAAAGGTTGGAGATTTGGAGAAGTGTTGGGGGTCATCATACCTAGTAGGCGAGGTGAGCATACTAGTTTTCCTGTAGGCTGGGTAGGATACATGAGGATGCCGCTTCAACCGATCAGTTGTGAGTGAGTATCTGATAGTTACGAAGCTGACTAGGTATACATTTTACCCAGGAAGATGAACCGCGTAACTCATGTAATCTATTCGAGAACCGCACATTGTGTACATGGTTTCCGGCTCTTGGCACTCTGTAACGCTATCTGCAGCATGACGATCGAAGATGGCGCGCAGTTGCTAGGAGTATAAATAAGTCATATTCGCCATTGATGATACCATTTAGGGCTTGAACTACGCAATCGACACATTGACAGCTTGGGTGTCTAGAGCCTCTAAAAATCAGCGATAGGCGACAGGATTGTGGAGTTGAGCGAATACCTTATTGGTGACCGTCAATTCGTTACCATGGGACAGGGTCCTTCGCTTCCAGGCCCACCGGGGACTAAATTTCGTGTCATTGGAGCTGGAATGTGAGTCGAATTGAGTCGCCATTGATCAATTGCTAGTATAGAGCGAAGTTCTCGTGTAAATACTATCACAATGTCATTATTTCAGTTTTAATCGCATGGAAAATGAAGTTGACTTGACATAGGTCACGTACCGGAACTAAAACTCTCAACGAAGCTCTTGCCATTCTCCTCGATGGCCCTGTCCACGATTCTGGCATCCAATCTCTCGGAGGTACAGTCGATCAGATAAAAGCTTGGCTCGATATAATGGAGCTCGCCCCGAGAGCCCGGACGTTCTCAGAACAGAAAAAGCTTGATTGGCTTATATCCGACGTACTCGACGGCTACGTTGCAACCATGGACTGCCCCGCTGCGACGCTCACCCCTGAAATCATGCGAGTCTACCCTGACGCGATCGTAATAGCGACGACAAGAGACCAGGCATCCTGGTGGAAAAGCATGAACTATCTAAATAGTCTGATGGGAACATGGTACCTCCCTATCGTGGTTCTATGGCTGCACAAGACCCAAGTGTACGGAATATGGCGCGAACGGTTCCATCACATAATGATGTGGCGTTACGACCAGGAAAAGATCGAGGAGGATACCCTTCGCAGGCACGAGGAGCATCTAAGGAAAGCTGTACCCCCAGAAAAGCTATTTTTCTACGAAGTCAGCCAAGGATGGGAGCCGCTGTGCAAGATTCTGAACGTCCCTATACCCGATCGCCCATTCCCACATAATAATAGCAAAGGCGATGCGGCGCAAACATTCCGCGATCACATAATAGCAGGCTTGGTGTCATGGATATTCATGCTTATGGTGGTGAGCATGGTGATCTGGTTTGTAAGAAATTGGCTTATTCAGCGTTTCTCGTGATGAGCCTAGACTAGAAGTTGGAGGAGAGTGATAAGATGTTCTAATTCGGTAAGATTAGATGTAAATAGATAGGTAGAGAATAGGTAAATATATTCATTCCATTTCTATTACTACTCCATATACCTAAAAAAACCGAACTGGACACGTACCTAATTATGCTCGATATCACGATTATGGCGCATATTCGCAATGAACAGGGGTTAGCACTGCATAATACAATATATACCTACCTACTTACCTATCTACTTATAAGGTTTCTTTTCGCATGATAGATAGCCGTGCAAATTGTTAAAATATTCATTGGCTTGGCCACATCTTCTAAAGTACATATCTATTAGTGGAAAAGGGGTTGGCGGCGTGAATAGGGGTAATAATTTAGAATGCCTTACCGAGGCATTCTTCGCCCGAAAACCCCAAAACCTATATCCTCTATCGCCAATTGAATATTCAATAATACCTTTATCCTTAGATACACATCAAAAGATTTGGTAGACTCTTATCTCAATTCCCGACTACAGGTACTAGGTAGACACCGAGTCTAGTCCCTACCTATGTAACGATAACCCGATCTGAATAACTAGAATAAATCTTCCCACAGCCTGCTCAATAAGATATTCGACCTGCGGTTCCCCGAGTGTACAGTCTTCAGAAATACCTGTAAATGAAGTGAACCCTTTGTAAAAAAGGTCTGCGGGTCTGTCATCTCCAATGGTCTTAGCCACAGCCATTACAGCAACGCCATGGTTTCGAGCACGTCGCGCAATCTCTATGGCTTTCCCTGCTTTGGGATCTAGAGACGATAAAGATCTTGCACCCGTGAACACGACATCCCAAGGCTCGGTGAACAACTTTTCAAGGTCAAGGTGTTTGCTCGCAGCATCGGGGGTTGTCCGAAACTTGGCTCCCAGTAGCATCAATCCAGTACCTAAACCACCAGAAACACCACTTCCAGGCTTGGAACCAACATCTTCCCCCAGTAGATTCCCTACGATTTCAGCGAAAATCTCCAACGCTAATGTGAGATCCTCGATTTGTTCCATTGATGCTTGATTTTGAGGCCCATCAGCTAAGGCAACTCCTTTGGAGCCACAGAGCACGTCCATCGTGGGACACACAGCTTCGATACGTATTTTTTCTTCTGCCAAGAACACTCACGTTAGTTGAGAGTATATCAGTATATCAAACTAGCTTTGGACTTACTTTTGTTGCGCAACCTAGGATGAATATTGCTCATATCAATGCGACTTAGGTTGGTCAGTTCAGGACCACCACCAATTGTCAGTATGTCTTTCCCGCTTATATCGAATAACCTAGCTCCAAGTGCTTGAAGCATTCCCGCGCCCCCATCCAACGCTCCAAAGCTGTCGCAGGAAATGATAATCTTCGTACAACCAGCGTCAAGTGCTGCGTTAAGTAATTCTCCAACCCCGTAACTTGTGCCCTTGATGAGATCAAGGCAATTATCTGGTATTTTATGTGATCCAGCAACTGCCTTCAGATCCACTAAGGCGGTGCTACCATCGTCACATGTCCAGAACCAAGACTCGACAGCATAGCAGAATGGATTGTTGATAGTAACGCAGTAGATTTCACAATTGTGAAGTGCTAAGAATGATTTGATGAAGTCTTTATCATCATAGAGTGGTATTTTGCGTACCAAGGCGTCATCTCCAGGAAAGCCTTCTCTAATCCCTTTCTCGATACAGTCGGCTACTTTGTCTGCCTCCAGGTCCTCCTCGATTCCGGAGGGAGCAATAATAACCCGTAGTGGCCGCATAATTGAAATGTTAATATTGCCTTGTTGTCCTGGCAGAGAATTTAACGTGGAATAATATTTGATTTAAATAATTGTAGAGGAAATGTTTGCCATGTCTGTCAGTTATTGTATAAAGGTAAGTCACAATACAGTGTGGTGTTCTCAGGACTACTGACAAGTCAGCATCGTCATGAGGGTCTAGTCATATACATAGGAGACAAACCGGATGATATGCCTATGATGATACCACAAGAGCTGGAGCAACGCGAAATCATTACTATAATCGATCATGACGAAGAGAGAAACGTGTCAATCAGCCATCTTTAACATGTCATGGATCTCTGTTAACATAAGAGCAAACAGGATGGCCTATGAGTAACGATTAACGTTCTACACCTAGGTAGGCACAGATTCACTACATCCTAATTCACGGCTATTCTATTGTGCTCTCTAGAAAACGGCCCTAGACGCTAGGTTAGAACCATCGCATATGCACAGCATGCGGTAAAAAAGAGATCCAAAGTTCCGAAAGTGCTTGAAATATTGCAGAATCTCACAAATTCTCAGCTAATTATCTAAACCTACAAGAAACTCATACAAGAGCAGCGGGGTATTTTAGTTTTCATATCCTTCATTACTATCCTTTTTACACGCTCCTATTGTCCGACCGGTTAGAATGCTCCTCGATCTCGATCTTAGACACATCATGCTTCGAGCCCTCGGTGACCTCCAGCTTGTGTTGTTCCGCAACACCGAAAAGCTGGTCCATATGCTCGAGGGAAATACCTAGTAAAAGAATGAGTACTTTGATTCACACAATAATAAAAAGGAGATAGAGGAGTAGACATACCTTTAGTCTCAGGAATGAAGAACCAGACAAAGAAGAACATGCTCACGCAGAAGCTGCCGAAGATGAGGTAAGTACCGTACCCGTGCGCTCCGACGGTAGCCAACATATTCGGCACAGCGCGCGCGACGACGAAGTTGAACAGCCACTGCGTAGCAGCGCTAAGCGCGACATTCATAGGTCGTAGACGCGCGGCCGGGATCTCGGAGACTAGGATCCAACATGCGGGACCCCAACCAAACTGGAAGAAAGCAGCGAAGATGAAGATACAGACGAGAGCGAAGTATCCGGCACCAGGCACAGGCTGGCCATCCTGGGGAGGCGAGATGCGCACGTATAGGCCGATGTAGAACATGCAAAAAGCCTGGCCGACAGACGAGACGAGCAGAGATTTACGACGACCAAGGGAGTCAGCCATGAACAGCAAGAAGAGACCGCAGGAGACGACCTTGACGATGCCGTAAACACCGGTGCTGAGGAGCGAGTTCGAGGTACCCGTGATGCCGAGGTTCTTGAAGATCTGCGGGGCGTACACGTTGATGGCGTTGGTGCCGGTCATCTGCTGGCAGACCATAAGCAGAATACTGAGAATGGCGCGCTTGCGGTTAGTAGCGACAGTCCACATCTCCTTCTGTAGGGACCAGAAGCTGGCGTCGCCGACGAGGCGGCGCTCGTAGTCGAGCTGGTCGACGATCTCCTGGAACTCGTCTTGCACGTACGGGTGGTCGGGGCCGAGGTTTCGGATGCGCACGAGCACGGCCTTGGCTTCCTCCCACTTGTCCTTGCGGGCGAGGTAGCGGGGAGATTCGTTGCAAAGGGCCATTAGGCAGAAGAGAAGGAGCGCGGGGAGACCTTGGATGGATAGGGGCACGATGTATTGCTTCGGGCCGCGCAAGTGCACGCTGACGGCGTAGTTGCCCCAGAAGGCTATCATGCCACCGGTGACGATGAACATTTGATACATGCCGGTAAGAAGACCACGGATGGCGCGAGGCGCGTTTTCGGTGACGTAGATAGGGTTGATGACACTAGATGCGCCAACGCCAAGACCTGTGAGAGGTGACGGATTAGCATGTGAAAGGGGTTTGATGCATTCACAGTAAAGTTGGCAAAAGCTTACCAGAGACGAATCGACCAATATACATGGGCTCAAGATGACCAGACGCAGCAGCCTGCATGGCCACACCAGCTAGAGTGAAGAGAGCGGCAACCATCAGGCAAGGCCTGCGACCAAAAGCGTCGGTTAAGGGGTAAGCCGCGAGAGAGCCGACAAAACATCCAGCTTGCAGAACGGAGACGATATTTCCTTGGAGATTAGCTGTCGCGACGTCGTCTTTGCTTCCTAAACCATAGGCTCTGTTGTGAAGGATATGTTAGGATTCAAGCTAAATGAAAAATGACAGTGTCGGCGTGTAGGAAGTACATACTGGATGAATGAGTCGAGGTTGATAACACCGCCAATCACACCGCTATCCCATCCGAAAGACATGGCGCCGAAACAAGCCTAAGTGAGAATAATTGTTAGTATTTCGAGGGAAAATATTACGAGAGCATCTAGGACTTACCGAGCAAGCCAAAAGGTAAACCCTCCATCCGTAGATTTCCTTCGGATCTGTTTTCATCGCGTCATTTTTGACGATATATCTTAATATGGACGACATGATTATCGATTAGCGGGAACGATCCCAAGCCTCTTTTCCCAATATCTGACGTCTCGCGGTGCCTTCAATTCTCTGTCTCCGTCTTAAAAAAAACGAGCGCGGTACCGTCGTCCGAGTATTATTCAGCGATACACGAGAAAGAAAAAGACCAGGAAGGTCGTAAGATGAGCGGCGACACCCTACCTTTAAAGGCATGCATGCTGCGGGTGAGCTGCCGATAGCAGATTTCTCGCCTCACCGCGATACCACGTTGTTTGGGGGTACCGGGATGCGAGAGATCTGGGGGTTGGAATCCCCTCTGGTGGTTCTCGAGATCCATGTCCCGGGGACTGTGATGGGTGGAAAATGCAGGCTGGGTAAATTCCGTATTCTTCCACCAAATAGAATCGCGAGATTGCTTGGTCGAAAGGCTTTGGGCGTCACTTGGCCGAGGTGACCCTGGCTGGACTAGATAGCAATGGCTCTAGCTTGCGTAGGCCCTAGTTTTCTTACCCCATGGGCGGCCAGGGCTAGTTGATCTGGGGACTGGAGTAGGCCGAAGTTGGGGAATTATTCCGTAAATCTGGAGTTTGATATCAACGCTAATTAGATTCACGGAGCGTTTACAGCTTCAATTTTCATAGATTTTTCGGGTTTCTTACGCCGCCTGAAATATCCAAATCTGCATGTCTCGATGTCTCATCGTATCTTCTAGAGTGCTTGTGGATAATAACAACGTAGCATACATAATGTCTTGAAAGATCGAATCACCCACAGACGACAGCTAAAAAGAAGCTGACAGGGTTAGCTTTTGGGGTTGTAGGAGAAGTGGAGATGAGTTTCTGAAGGATGGATCTCAGGACCGAATGCTGGAAGCCGACCAACCAGCCTGGCTGATTGAAGTCGAAGCTCGACCTCCACTACGGAGATGGTCTTCATTTTAGGCTCAATGCGGGGGAGACGAACCAGGACATACCATGGCTAGGTAGCTTACCTAGGACAGTCGCTTATTTTAGTCTTCGCATTTGAAATGATGAAGCAGAATAGTGAATTTTCGTGTTGGGTTCTTGACGTGGGATATGTCACCAACACGAAATAATGAAGTATCATAAGCTTATACAAGCGCACCACTCATAAAATGAATATTAAAGATGACCGTCTATAGAGTAAGAGGCGAACATGGTTTAAGTTGGCTCTATATTCTAAATAGGGGTAACACTCAGGGGTTGCCACTCACGTTACACGGCATTCAACAGGCAATTAACGTACCGTAATCGTATAGTTATATGTACATTAATTTTGAAGTAGAAAAAAGTCAACAGATATAAAAATTCAAGCAAGAACTTGAACTGACAATAAAAGGAAACATTTCGTCATAAACCCATCAGTTGTGGGGTTATAGCTCGTATCCTATAGGTCTTTTCGGCCTTCACTACGACTCGAGCTTCTACTCGGGTGATACTACACCGGCGCTTCATCCTCCAAAGAATACATAGTCGAAGACAAACTCCATCGTACGAGAGCCTCCATACAATTGATTAAGAAAAAAGATAGGCAAGCTATAGCAACAATTGAATCTAAAACTTACGGGTATCTAGCTGCACGCAATCTATTGTGACACCATCGCGACCCGTTCGAATCCGTTCTAGAAGTCGCATCGTCGCATCCGCCGCCAGATCCTCGTAGCTGCATTGCATTTAGCCTCCCACACCCACCACTCTTCTACCGGCGCATCACATCTCATCTAGTTTCATATCCCTTCATCCTATAACCAACCTCGGTCATCTGAGGCTCCTATCCTACTGTATCTCTCATCAATTTCTCAAAAAGGCACCTACCTATCATTTCACACCTACAAACGAGATCGAAATGACGTTACCAGAACCCTCGGTATCTGTTCTTGGCCTGGACCCGACACACCGGAACTGCGTGCTGAACGGGAACGCGTTCCAGCAGGACGCCATCCAATCGTATAACGGATGGCAGTACGCCTGTTTCTACAGCCAGCTGTCGGCGGATAGCGCCAAGGAGCCGCTGTATATCCACCTCTCGCGCAGGAAGCTGCCGGAGGGGAAGTGGGAGACGTTCGTGTTCGACGACTACCCGCAGACGACGGATGATGGGCATAATACAGTCCAGGTAATATAGGACTCAAACCTTTTTTCATTTTTATTTTTATTTTTTCTGAAAAAAAGGAAAGTAGAAGCTGAGTGTGTACTAAGCTCGGTATCTGTCCTGGCGACGGCACAATCCACCTCTCATACGACCACCACTGCGACATGTAAGCCACCCCCATCAATCACCCTCAAACTCCATACTCACCAACCCCAGAGTCCGCTACCGCCACTCCCACCCCAACATCGCCAAAACGCCCGAATCGCACACATGGACCAAATCCCTCTTCACCCCGCACCTACGACGTCTCCCGGGTCTCTCCGCCTCCGAAGACGCGTTATTCAGCTACATAACCTACCCACGTTTCGTCCAGCTCGATTCCTCTCTCCTCTTCACCTGGCGAACCGGGAAAGCCGGACTAGGAGACGACCACGTAGCCGTATACACCTCCCCCTCCCCCACCTCATCTACAACAAATTACGGCTACAAAATCCTAGGCACGAACCTCAAAGGCGTACAAAACAACCCCTACATCCACGGGCTAGACCACCGCTCCGGCCGTCTGCACGCGACCTGGGTATACCGGGGCTTCGTGCACTACACGGGGTGGGACGACCCCAACGACACGCAGCACAAGCAGCAAGCAGGCCCGAACTCAGGAGCCAACAACCACGACATCTGCTACGCGTACTCGGACGACGGGGGCAGTGTATGGCGGAACGGAGCGGGAGTCGTGGTCGCGGATTTAGCGAAAGGGGATGAGGGCGTAAGACCCGATGCGCCGGGCATCGTAGCGTTTGAGATCCCGAAGGGGAGCGGGCTGGCGAATCAGGAGGCGCAGGCTGTGGATGGGGAGGGGGGTGTGCATGTTTTGAATCGCGACGCGTTGGAGGGTGGGATGCGCTGGAAGCATTATTATCGGGCGCCTGATGGTAAGTTTTCTCTTTTGCTTTTGCTTTTGCTAGTAGATGGTGGAGCTAATTATGGGAATAGGGACCTGGACTCAACGCGCTCTTCCGCACGTAAATGGTGTGCAGGGAGGGAAGCGAGGACGGTTGGCTGTGAGTAAAGACGACGACTTATATCTCATTCTGCCGGACCATGCGGCGTCTACCTTGACGATCCTGAAGGCCTCGAAGAAATCTAATTACTCCGATTATGAGGTCGTGTGGCGGGAAGATGGGTTCCCGCCGACGGAGCCATTGGTCGATACCACGAGGTTGCAGTATGATAATATATTGTCTGTGTTCACGCGATCTAGCAACGGGTCAGATTTAGACTCTCACGCCCAGGTCGATGTCGTGGTTCTCGATTTTAAGTTATAAAAGTGCTGTAAAATTGCATATATGTATCAAGTTAATAAAAGCTGTCAAATATTTCATCTTCATCAAATAATATCGCATAGATCGTATGAGATATATCAAGATTGCGAAAACGCTGCGTATAATAATGTTTGAGCTCTAATTAACAATCCGTTGGGATCCTAGTCTATACTTCATATTAGTACAAGTATTCGTGATTCGTGACACTTCCGTGCTGTAAGTCTGCCGCAGGTCGTACAAGGGAACCTATCCCTTCTTAGTATCGCCGTTGCTGACGGGAGCGGGTTTCTCGTCGGGGATCTCGTCGATGTGCTCGCTAATTTCGATCTTGGGCACAGAAACCTTCGGTCGCTTCTCGAAATCGAAACCCGCAGCAGCGGCCACCTGTAAGATGCCGTAAAGCACAAGCACGACGACGGCGATGAGATCGATTATATGGACGAACCACCAGGGATACTGGGTGCCCAAAGCGCAATTCGCAAACTCGAACCTCCACTCCCAGTCGTTTTCGTCAAACCACACACTAAGCAATCCGGCATTGCCTCCGAATCCACCCATCATACTCCGGACAGTGATCTCCCTCAATCCTGGAATGTCCGGGTTTCCGAGATATTTGTCAGTCTTCGCAGTCTCCCATAAAGTATTTTTCCATTGCCGCTCCTCGCCCTCCGTTTGATTGATGTAATGATACGTATCGCAGCCCTCGTGATCGTGCCCATTCAAAACAACACCCCTCCGACCTCTACCCTGTCCTGGTGCACTAGGGTCACCGTTCAATCCAAAGATACCTTCTAGAAACCCACGGGATGCGTCGGCCGAGAGTTGATTCTGTTCCTTGACGCCACCACCAGAGTGAAAACTAAAATAGGGAGCATCGACGCAGATTCCTTCGGGTTTGTATAATGGAATGTGTGTTAGAACCACCGTGAAATGCCCCGCAAATTCGACAGCGGAGGCAGTGTTGATAACGTCATTCACAAAGGTATACGTCTTGTCCTGGAGACTTTGGTCGAAGGCCGGAGTATCAAGGTTCATGTTATTGACATTAACGATTCGAAGCTCAGGGGGCAAACGATCGGAGTCTGGGTTGCTTTCAGGATCGTATATAGTCGCGTTCGTCGCTGGATCGGAAATAGGAAGTTCGAATCGTAACTCATAGGCTGCTTTGCCAAACGCACGTTCGAATCGTTCTAGTCGCTCGAAAGTCAAGTCGCCCGCATATCCAATATCGTGGTTACCTGCGACGTTAATGATCCTACGCCGCCAAGCCGCCGCGTTTTCGTCCTCGACGCCGAGTAACCCAGCCAGTTCGTATTCCTCCGCAGGGTACGCCGCAACCTCGTCGGGGACACGTTCACCCCCTTTGAACGAACGGTTCCAGAATCTCGAACTTCTCCGGTTGAATTCAGGAGCTCGGATCCATTGGCTTCCTAGCAAATCACCGAGCACGGTGACATGGGTGGGTTTGGCCCACCATTGTAGCGTTCGATAAATATGGGCGAGGTAGAAGTCGTTTCCGAATAAATCTATGCGTTTGCGTATCGACTCGGCCGTATCGAAAAGATCGTCGAAAAATACATCTACAAGATCATGAACAACCTGTCGCAGACGTCTACGTAGAGACGGTTGGTCGGTCTTGTAAGTAAGGTGGCGGATAGCCCAGGTCAGGTGAGGGAATGATTCGCGGTTGTAATTCCTGATAGATGTGTCGCCTTCGAGCTGTGGATCGCCGAGTGCTAGGAGTCGGAACGGAGCTGCACTTTTCGACGGGGCAACATGCTGTCGCAGCGTATGTTGAAAGGCGGTAGCAGAGCTCTCAGGTTCGGTCTTGCCAGCCTCTTGTGGCGGAAGCGGAAACGCACATCCTAGAAAAACTGGATAAAGATATAAATAAACAGTTGAAGCTATGCAGAGCGGGATAAGGACTCGCAAAACATTGCGAAGAATAGTCGCAGGGGACATGTAGACGACGGCATGTGGCCAAAGCCGTTAGGTAATAACGAATGGTACCTAAAACTGGCACTTAAAAAAGAAAAAAAGAAAGCATTGGGAGCGTTTGGAGCATCGTCGTTTGTGTACGAAATAAGAAACAAGTTTTTGGAATCCTTGTGTCTTACTGGAAGAGCTACTCGGAAAATAGGGGTTCGATAGGGGGTTCCACTAGGGCCGCTCCACTAAATAGAAGCGTCGGCTCTCGGACTTTACAGCGGGCTTGGGTCCCTGTATCGTATCACATGCAGGCATTAGAAATCACTAAATTTAGCGATACGAATTGGCATATGATTTACAGATCTGTATCCAAATCATCCATCATTTATCTAAATTTCTGAAGTTTGATAGGGGCTTTGTTTTTTGTTGTATTCTTTGATCTTTTCCCGACGTTACTAGAATTGTAGTAACTTAGGTCAAATGATATGATGAGCTACCCACATAGATACTGGGTATTTAGGTATCTAGGTAGGTACATCATGGTGTATCATGAGACATGGCGGTCTTCTCATCTTATAGTATTCTCGTCTAGCTTTCTTCAATATATAAAAGCCCAACATATTTCAAAATCGCTACTCGAAGTCATCGTAATCATCCATCAAATCCCATCACTACCAGCATCAATCGAATGTTAAAATGTGACCACTACAGATACGTTCGTTACTCTTCAACAGGAACATCCTCGAGGTCCGGGACGTCGACTTGGAATTCGGGCTCGTATTCCGAGTCTGCATCTGAGGGTTTGAAAGTGAATGCCACAACGTTGTTGTTTGCAAGGCCAATATCGACTGGAGTTTGCGTTTTCGCGGAATCAAGAGTATCCCAGCCTTGACTAAAATCGTTTGCTACCTTGGGTAGAGCAAACTCGATTTGCTCAGGGTCATCAGGAAGCTCGATCTTCGACTCTCCTCTCTCCAGCGAAAAAGATGTTAATCCCTTAGGATAGCGCTCCGTCAAGATTTCCAACAACTCTTCTGCTACGTCGATAAGAGGTTTCATCGGGTCAACGAATAGGAAAATGGTGTGGATGCCGTACTTGAGGCTGATCGATATATCCACGTCTTTCAACTCATTTCGTCTAACCTATACGTGGGTTAGCGATGTCGGACGCTACAATTAGGTATGAAGTGGTCGTAGATGATATCCTATATGTAATATGTATGCGCCGCCGAGACGGGTGTTCGCATGAAAATGTGCATCGACCCGTTTAGGCTAGAGACCCAAATCCTTAACACAAATTTATCGAATGTAATGAATTCCTTACCATCTTCAATTACCAACCGATGAACGGCGACACTCTTCCTCTAGAGAGATGTATAGATAGTATTATTCGATGTTCCAAGATTCTTGTTCGATTCTATGTAAAATGAGTTTGATAAGACGCGATTCGTACCTATTTGGAGAGATACAAGGATGGAGCTTCCTAGATAATCGTAACCGAATAGACGCGGCGGCACGTGGTCGCGTAAAGTGCCTGCATCAATGTGCTATCTGAAAACTCCGCATTATGTAAGAAAGTGGTCAAAGCTTTGAAGCTTTCGGGTTTTGCTCAGCAGAGCTGGCAGGTACAACTATCAATTGTAATTTTATGGATTTTACATACATCATTCAACATTCTACCGAAGCTTAATTGAATAGTTCAATTTATCCGCTCTCCCTTATCACAAAGTTTTCTGAGATTATAAAGAAACTCATCTTTGCGACAGCTCGCAAAGGCTATAGCGCAATTAGAGATGGCAAACTCTGACGAGGATGTTAGACACGCATGGACTCCCACCCGCGAGGAATATACTCAGATATGGAATGAGTCCCGCTTGTCTATCCCGCCCTTCTTACGCATACCAGCTGCTGCCATGACAGCTTTTGGTGTGGGCATGACATTAGGTCTTGCGCATGGCAGTAAGACGGTGGGTTTACGTTTTAGAGCCGAAAATGCTCATCGGCTTCCTAGGTCTACCACTGGATGGTACCTTTATCATAAGAGCAAGAATTATCACTTAGCATTAGGTGGGCTGAAGGAAGGCTTGAAAGTCGGAGCAAGGCTTAGCATTTTAAGCACTGCTATGTTTTGCGCCGAGAACCTGTTTGATGTTTATCGAGGAACCAAGGATCTTTTCAGTACTGTCATGGCCAGTCTAGCCGTAGCTGGTGGCTTCAGTTTTTGGAGTATGTTCCCTCAGTTTTTATTATAATCATTTCTATTGTCATCATCACAAGTCTAATCACTCCCGATGTAGATCGTTTTTCGGCTGCCGAGACTGCAAGGACTGCTAGGAAAGGCTTGAAATTTGGGCTTGCATACGGTGCCGTTCAAGACCTGCTATCCCTTGCTAAAGGCCGGCCTGTCGGATACGTCGAGTTTATCCGAAGACATGTTGGAAAAGCCACTCAACTTGACGAGAAAACGACATGAGCACATAATATCGGCCTTATGAGCTAGAAGGAACCGAGAACTCGTCCAAATCCGTTTAATGCCGAATGATGTTTAGGGAAGTCTATGTTTTCATGCGGCCTTATCTCAAGCGGTTTACCTGCAACTACTGTACTCCGCATGGGACTTCCGCATTAACCGCGCCGGGCAATTCGACGTACAGAAAACCTTAGAACCTTGAAAATTGCGGGGTTTTACGATATGACAGAAACCTCGAAAGCCTCGCGAAAATATCCGCAACAAATTCCAACGGAATTTGGTATTCACAAGATATAATCACAAGATATATTCGAAAATTAACCATCGGGGCACGTGGCTTACATACGAAAAGTTACGTTATAGATTACTCAATAGCCCATTATTTTGAATTAGCGCTTTCGGCCATCATCGCATCAAGTTTGCAAGGAACCTTGAACAGTGCGCGCCACGACCGAGCATTCGGCTTGGCCCTGGATACCCCACGTTTTGATCAGAGGCCTCGAACCGCTCAGAATTTTATAATTTACGCGCGGCTTATTCTTGCTATATTCGGTTATCCATTGGAAGCCGGACTGACCGGACCGGACTTTGATTAGAGCCTACCTTAGGTAGAGAACCAATACGGTGCAAGGGGTACTGCTCGGTCGACTGAGCGCGCTAACCTTAAGCTATTGCTCACTCTTTCGGGTCTCGCCATGCCGCTACCCTGCGGCTTTGTCTCTGATTGGACAATGGCACCATTTTATTACCTCTTTACACCACGGCTACTTGCGGCATACTCACACTCGATGGGTCCACGTGATCACCGATGATAAGAGCTCCCGGTGGATTGGACCTGCAGTATCGCTATGAACATTGAGTCGTGATTGGAATATCGGACTTTCGTGGTGGACGGTTCGCCATACTCGACGCGGTTCTGATGCCGTACGATGCGCCCCTGTCGGCATTCATCATAGCTGTGCAGCTGAGGCCGTTGCGATTCCGGAGATAAAGATGCCAGTTAGGATAATCAACAATAGAAGCCCTCGATAGCTAAAAGTATAGTCTCCCACTCCGTACTTATACTTAGACCTCCCATTGTCCCTTACTGTTGACTATATTTCTCATCTATCTGAGCACTTTCCTATCCGTTCCTATATCCCATATCCCGCATCTCACCTTCCCTACACTCTACACCCTATACCTTTCCATATCACATCTTAGTCGCACCTTACCTACATACTAAATACCTATCCAACTTATCAACCTATCGGTATCGTTAGTACCATTGCGGTACCGCAAAACACTAACAATGGTACAAGCACTGGCGTTAAGCAGGTCGTCCCTGCTACCAGGTTCTCTAGCTACGATAAGGCACTCACAATGCGGCCTTTATCCCATAGGCCGTTATGGCACCAACCAAAACCTAAGGGTACTTACAAGAATGGTAGCTACGTCAACGAGGAGAAGACACATACACTCATCCACAACAAGACCATCGCCTCCCGCAGACCAACCTACATTATCTTCAATAACATCAGTAAATCATCTTCCCACACAAATCACAAGAGAATCGCCCCCGATGGTTCAGCCGGCGCCTCTATCCGTTCTTCCTTTGTCAACGGTGCTACGTAATTTGGCCACCACTAGCATATCATCTTCGCGGGTCTTACTACCTCCTTCCTTAGCCATCATGAACGTCCTTGCCCATTCCAATCGAGCAGTCTTCAACCCAGATAAGAATCCTCTACTACGTTGGTTCCTCAAGAAGACATTTTACGCCCAGTTTTGCGCCGGCGAGAACGCAGCTGAGGTTCGTCATACCGTTGACGGCCTGAATAAAATCGGCTTTACCGGCGTTATCTTGGGTTATGCCCGTGAGATCGTCCTCACCGAAACGCAGACACAGAACCTCTCGGCGTGTGACTCAGGTCCTGTAGCTGATGAATGTGTACGCAACGAAATCGGCCCCTGGGCTACCGGCACCTTAGAAACGGTACGGCTCGCACGACCCACTGATTTCGTGGCTTTGAAGTTCAGTGGCGCAGGACGCCAAGCACTATACGCCCTGAAGAACCGTCTTCCACCTCCAAAAGAGTTGCGAAAGGCCATCGATGAGATTTGCAACCTAGCTGCCGAGAGGGATGTCCCGCTACTCTTCGACGCCGAGCAGACGGCGGTCCAGGCCGGCATCGACGACTGGACTCTAGAATATCAACGCAAGTACAACAAAACACCCGGCCACGCCATCATCTACGGCACATACCAAACCTACCTAAAATCGACGCCCTCAACCCTCGCCTCACACCTCGCCGCTGCATCTAAGGAAGGATTCACATTAGGCATCAAACTCGTGCGCGGCGCCTACCTGGGCGCGGACCCTCGCCATATCATCCACGACACCAAGGCCGACACAGACGCAGCGTACAACGGAATCGTAGAAAGCCTCATATGCCGAACCTGGAACTCCGTGCTACAGACACCCAAGCCCAGCACGCCCTTCCCGCACGTCAGCATCCTCCTCGGCTCGCACAACCTCGAGTCCGTGCGGAAGGCGCGCGCGATCAGGGACAGTCCGTCCGCGGACCGCAACACGGAACTCGCGATCGCGCAACTGCAGGGCATGGCGGACGAAGTCAGCTGCGAGCTCGTGTGCGCGTCGAAGGGTTGCGAGGGGTTCGTGAAGGAGAAAGGGGATGTGCCGAAGGCGTATAAGTATATTGTCTGGGGCACCACGGGCGAGTGTATGAAGTATCTCCTTAGACGCGCGCATGAGAATCGGGATGCGGTTGCGAGGACCAAGAGTGGACGCGATGCTATGTGGGCGGAGGTTAAGAGGAGGGTTGGGAGGGGGTTGGGGTTTGCTGGGTGAGGTGGGTGAAGTAAGATGGGGAGAGGTGAAGGGAAAGGAAGGGGAGGTGATAGGTACGAGGGAGATTGATGATGCGACGGGATGGGAAAGGGAGATGGGGACTACGGATTAATACCCTGATATACGCGTGCTATTGGGGGTTTTGCACTGCGTGAGAGCTATGAGTTATGATATGAACTACTTATAATTACGCGGATTCCTTACCTATGCTATACTTCAAGTATGTAGCTAAAGAGGAATACTCGCTGTATATGTTTCTTATATTAAGAATGAAAAAAAAGTTGAATATAATTGAGCTCTATGGCTGGGATTAGCTGTCGCTTACCTACCTGCCATTTCTTTTTATGCTTTTGCGTCGCCCGTATCTCGCATCTCACATTCATCGACAGCCTTCGTATCCCTCGTATATGTCATTCGTATTTCTTATTCATTTCGCCTTCTTTATCACATACCTAAGTAACCTTAATTCCTTTAAATCCTTCCTAAATGCCAAGAAAACCAAGAAGCCATCACAGCCCCCTCAACGCCATTCCCTCTAACACCAAAACCTCCATCTCCCCCCGCTTTAGAGCCTCGTCTTTAACCGAGTCAAGCCAGTTCACGCCGTTTAGCTTGTAGTACTTACGCACCTTACCCCAGTCCGTGAGCGACGACTGCAGGGCCTCGTCTGTGAGGGGGGTGGGGGTGCCCTGGACGTGGGCGAGTAGGTGTTGTTGTATAGAGGTGGGGGTGAGGGTGGAGGAGGATGGGGTGATGAGGACTTTGATGATTATTAGGGCGTTCGTGGTGGCGGTTATTCCGAATCGCCGGTAGGCTTCGGAGATCTTTGGGGGCGTGTGTTAGTGTATAAACATGACGTGCGAGGGAATGAGTTATGAGACACCCACGTTGTTGTTTGGGCTTAGTGAACACACGATCTCAGAGTGGATGTTGGGCGTTTTCATGGTCCCGCTCATCTGGATTGTTATGGCCTTGTACACTGCGGCTAGGATCTGGAAGCGTGAGACTACCTGGCACACTGATGAGTTTGGGCTCATGGGAAAACTTGGGGGTTTGTGGGGAATGTACGGATGTGGCGTCGATGAAAGCGTACTCGAATTCGGAGTTCCGACTTAGTAGCTGCTTTTGTAAGAAATCGGCGTTGGTGACATTCTTGAAGAGACCGATGTGAACTGTGTGTGTTGACGGGACGTGTTCTAAGTGAATTGTCTCTAAGATTTCTGACGATTGTATCGCCTCGCCCTCGTCGGGAGATGCCATGGCTAGATGATCGGCTCTTTGAATTCACTAGTGAAGTTGTCTAATATCTCGGCGATGGGCTATATTGATTACAGTTAAGCACAAATCTATTGGTCGTTCTATGTCGCAAAGTATCGAGAGGGATGTTGATGGTTTCACTGAAGATTGATAGTGGGATGAATGGATTCAAGATTCTAGTGGGGTATAGAGGGGCACGACAGGCAGCTGGCTATCAGCGGCTATCAGCTGTTAGTCATAATTTCATCATTCCCTATAATAGTGGAACCCCCCAAGAAATCCCCTTGAATTCAGGGGTCCTATTCAGCGTAACCTTAGCCCTGGAGATCATACTAAAGATTCCTACGGCGTACAGAATCAAACGCCATTAATCATCGCGGAAGTATGGGATCCCATGTTTTGTCCTCTCTTCAGATAAATTAAGGGACGACTTGTTAGTTGTACAGCGTACAGTTCATATGCAGGACAGACCCAATTGTTTGGTTCACCCGCGTCTTCATTAAGATCTTTAAGCCACCACATCCGCTGTTCCCGCAATCTTTATCGTTGTACACATCCATCAATTTATGTGAGTAACTCTATCTAATAGCCTAGTTGTGTAGGGCTACGTGCGGAGCCGGCGGATCTCGCGATGGGCTGGTCGAGCTGGATGGGTAGGTAAACTTTGGAACTCGTATTGCTGCGCCAGCTTTGTTGCTACGTAACTAACACAGCCGGAGTATATTTATTACCTTATATACGAGTAGGCAATACTATATTAAGAAAAAAAGAAAAGGGGTAGAAGGATACTCTGTAGAATTGGGGGTGTGACATTGCCGTACGAAATATACTCAGTCCTATCACTCCCGCACATGTGCATACATGTCATATGTTGTCTGCCGTCATAGGCTGTTTTGAGTTCTTATTCTGTCGTGCACTTGCATCGGCTCCATCGTTTCTACATACTCTATTCATCCTTTTCCATCCTTCTAGAAACCCCATCATGCCCATCACGACCAGGGTGCCTCATATCATTAGCAAATCGGCCGGGTCCACGGGCGGTCTAGGTCGAGATTTCGTCCGCCAAGCCACCGTCGACAAGGCTTGCCCTAGCCATGCCCTAGCCAGCCCCTAGCAAGCCTAGCTTTTGAAGACTGGGCGATGGATTCCTAGCACCTACATCAAAGGACCCTAACAGCACTTGAGGTAGCCATGCTAGTTTAGTTGCATGGCTTAGGTAAGTGTGAGTTGTTTCGAATGTTTCCATTCTTCAAGTCTGCGGACTATCATTATGCGACTTTGCTTCATGGCTGCCAGGTCGGTATACCTATCCTGGGTATGTTTTGGTTTGGGTTGGTTTGGTTTGGCTTGACTTGACTTTATCCTTTATGCCGCACGTAGGTATAGATACGTATAGATACCTACGTGTTCGGTATATATGCAGTTAGTTTAATTACTCTCTTCATATAATCAAACTCGCCTTCACCGCTCGCATTCATTTCCAGTCCTATCAAAGAGGTCGATTCCCAACTTGAAAGACGACTCCGTAGCTTAGCTCGATATGAATATGACATTGGCCCATAGGGGGCTTTGAAGTGGGCTCGGGGTGCTTCGTCTGCCGACACATAATGCTCAAATGTTTATCGGCTTTTCTTTTTCGGTCATAGTCCCCCAACCAAGTTGGCTCCTTGCGTCCTGGCGCGTTATGCAGAAACAGGACTCGTCGTCTTTGGAGGGTCCTTGGGGTGGGAGGGTCCAATAGTTGTGTAGCGAATGACGAATAAGACAAGGAGTCACCCCGATGGCCCCGATGGTACCTTACTTATCCTTACTTCATCACCTAGGTTCTAGGCAGCTAGGTAACAATCGAATTTCTCGGGACACCTGGACGTCTAATCATCTCCCATCAACTTCATGTCGGTGGTTGTGTCTCCAGTCCGATCTCAATAACTCGAGATGCTTTTTGGAATCGAAATAGGACCGAGCGGGCGGTAGGCTCCGATTTATGTTGGTTGATATTCATATGATTTCGTATGGTTTTATTGTCTTGATAGTTTATCGTCCCCAGATTTCTTGAGCGTTGTAAAAATCTCGAGTCTTGAATTTGAACATTTCTCATTACGGTACCGGTCAAGAATTACGAATCTCGAATCCACACAAATTTTCAAGTTGGGGAAGGCTGTGTTAGAAACAAGTTGGAACTAATTCCAATCAAGCTCTTAAGTTACATGGTTGATTTTAAAAGTCCGGGTACGTACCAAATATCCGTCTTTGTTTCTTGCGCTTTCTTAAACAGCGTGCCTATTTCACAGGTCCTGTACCTTACGTACATCCTTATCTTAACCCTGGAGCCTACAGGCAGTTGTAGATATAGCGTGTTCTAGAGTTAGCGTGCAGTCGTGCAGGCGTGTTAGCGTGTTAGCGCGTTAGCCCTAGGCTGCTCTAGGGTACCTAGTAGGTTCAAGGTTGGTAAGGTAGGGTCGACGGGTTGGCTGGCTGCTGGCTGGGCTGGGTACTAAGGTAGGCTGGTACTAGGTAGGCTGGGTTGGCTGGGTAAGTGCTGGGGTTGCCCAGACAAGTCAGATCAATTGATGCTAGGTAATTGCCCTGGAGGTAATTGATTTCATAGCTTATTTAGCTATTAGGTAAGGACGTCCCGTCCCCAAACTGCCCCAAGTCCCATCCCGACTCCCGATCTTTAAGGTTTCGGGAAACTCCATTTTCTCATTTGTCGCGAAACAAGCTCCAAACCATTGTGCGCCAACAAAACGGTCACCTCTACAAAAAATTCCACGGGCCTTTTCGCCAAATCAAAGCTTCGTGTCGCCATGCCTCCAGGCCGACCGCCCAAACGGCCTGGTGAAGCTGCCGACCTCGACTCTCCCGACGGTACTGCCAAATGCAAGCTACCGAGATTAGATCGTGACCGCGCCGCTCCAAATGATTTCTCTAGCGTCGTCAAGAGTAAACTTCAATCCTATACGAGAACTGGACAAGCATGCGATCGGTGTAAGGTATGTTTGGTTTCCAATCCGACAATGTGTTTGTATTTGTGTGCCGTGGGAAGACGAAGAATAAGAAGAAAAGAAAAACGAGACACGAAGACGGGACGGAAAATTGGAAAGATATTATTCGTCATCGTCGCATTACGTCGCCCACAGAGTCCTTCGTCGAGTTCGAACACACCAATCATATCATATATTTGCCCAATATCATTATATATATCTTCTGATCTAACACGATTTACCTCAGGTTCGCAAGATCCGTTGCGATGCTCTACCCGAAGGATGCTCTCATTGTATCAATCAAAACCTCGAATGTTACGTGACGGACCGAGTCACTGGTCGGACGGAGCGAAGAGGATATATGCAAGAGCTGGAACGCGAGAAGAGGGATATGTTAAATCATATTCATGACTTAGAGAAGCTACTTCAGCAAAATGGCGTTGAGATCAAACCCTTCCGCTCATCCTCAACCCCGATCGATAATTCTACTTCCGATGGAGGTATTGCCAACTTGACCAGCCAGATACCGGATTCTCTAGGAAAGCCTCAATGGTCTCAATCTCAACATGGGCATGGGTCGCCGAATTGGGTGAAAGATCAATACCGACCTCCGAGCATACATTTCTCCAGCACGCTACGTTCGACAGTTGAACCAAGACCGGCAGATACTCATATAGGCGTTGGTGCGGATCACGCTCCTCTAAGTTCTATCAAGGGTACAGCTCTATCTATTCTCGGAAGCACTATAGATCTTGGGTCTTTCGATGTACCGGACATGGAGGAACCTTCTCCTGATGCTCCGGCTCACACACCCATTTATAACAAATCCGTCCATGCTATGTTACGGTCTGTCGCAAATATTAATCCTCCGCTTCACATCGATTATCCCCCTAAAGCTGATGCTTTCACCTATGCCGAATGGTATTTTCTTATGGTCTATCCTTTCCATCCGGTATTACATAAACCTACCTTCATGAATCTCGTAAGTATACTCTATCATCCAGATTTATATATCTCTTGGCGTACCCATTTATCTTAATTTTATACTGAACGTCTTTTTCAGTTGGCACGTCTCTATGACGACCCTAATTTCAAACCTACCGTTTCCGAAACAACCAAAATCCATCTAGTATTCGCTTCTATATATCTCCAATACGGGTTCCGTAACCGGGAAAATCCCGAACAGAGGGCTCGTCTCAATGACCTATCAAATAAGCATTATCACTATGCTTTAAGCAAGTGGTTTGACTTATCCACATCTAAAAGTTTCTACGATATCCAGGCTTTAACTATGCTCTGTGTGCATACAATGCGATTTCCAAAGTCCAATACCAGCAGCATGTTGAGTACCTATACCCTCGGCCTCGCTATAGAAATTGGTTTGCACCGCGCCTGGAAGAAGCCAGGTGAAGAAACTAACCTCGAGAATGAACTTCGAAAACGGACGTGGTGGGCCCTTGTATCAACAGTTGTCACATTGAACGGTAGAATGGGACGACCTATGTCCATTCGGTTAGAAGATATCGATTGCGAGTTTCCGGAGAATATAGCCGACGAACTTTTATCCGAGGATGGTGTCGATACCACGAGATCACTTCCGTGCCGTTACGAGATCGGTGTTTCTGCCTTCAAGATTTCTGCATTGTTCCTTGAGATGTTTGCCAACATATACTCAGCGAAGAGGGATGCAAGTCGATATCTTCCTGTGATAGAGGCGCTCGAGGAACAATTAGAGGCCTGGAAAGAAAACCTCCCTCCTGGTTTAAGACCTCACAGCACGGATCATCTCGAACATGATTCTATGTTCGCGCTATATGCAGAATACATGTCGCTTGAATTTAGTAAGTATTTTCAGCACCCGTCGATTATCCTTATCCCCTTTATCGAATTTCGTACCCAAACGTTATATCAACCACTTAGCCTTATCAACTTCAAGGATCTCCTAATTAGATAGGTGTATGCTAATTCCCAGAATTTTAGGACTCACGTTACGGCACCCGGCTGCTTGTATAACAAATGACCCGAAGCTAATAGCTGAAAATACCAAGATATGCGAAGAGACGGCAAAGAGAATGCTCTCAATCCTACACAATATATATAGATTAAAGTCTCTCGACACAACATGGTATTGTCTAGCAGTGTATTGCACTGCAATATTCTCCACGTTAGTGGCGCACTGGGAAAGACGACATGACATAAGCGCGGTCGAACTCCAAAGTCTTCGTGCGGATATGACTCTCTGGTTGACTATTCTAGCTGAAACCGGAAGTCTCATGGGTGAGTCTACAATTCTACTTCGAATGTATTAATTACTAACGGTATAATCCCCATCAAGGCTGCGGTATGGGCCTTCACGATGCAGTATCATCTATCATAGAACGTACGATCTCTTGGATAGAGCATGCTCAACTTCAAAAGGCCAACGATCCTATCACCCAACCACAACTTTCCCAAGACATGCTCAAACAATCTCCTCATTCGCCACCTTATGCCAACTTACCTCCACCACCCAATTCTAACCCAACCCACGACACTGAAACAGTGAACGGCTCAACGAGCCACGTCATTGCGACACCGCGCAGCAACTATTACACAGAAGCTACTCCTGAATCTGGGACATACCCCCCTCTATCGTACGCAGATTCGGCCTCGCATGCGACCAATGCTATATCTTATGATCCGAATAATTCTTTCCTTTACGCGCAAGCAGCTGGACAGGTCGCTGTCGCTCAAGCGCAAGCTCACGCGCATGCTCAGGCACAAGCACAGGCACAAGCGCAAGTCCAGGCGGCGGATCACAATCCACTTACGACGTTCGCTACACAAGCGACTCAGATGACGCAACCAGCACACATAATGTGGCGGCAACAACAGTCATCGGGGGGGAATACTTGGCAAGACTGGACCGCCGCCATCGTCGATAACCAAGACAGATACAGCGCCAATGCTCTAATGTCCCTAGGTAGCTCTGATCCTAGACCTGGTGCAAATGTGGATGGCACCACTGTGGGTCTAGGAGTCAGTATGAACGGCACCCCGGCGACGACTACGGCTGCAATGCAATGGCCGCTATTGCTCTTCTCAGATGGGGTTAGTGGTGCTTGAAAGATAGTACCTATCGCTCAAATTTGAAAATAAAAGAAAAGATTGGAACTAGTCCTTAATGGTCTAGAATAATCATATCCTACAAAACTACTATATGTAAGGGGATTTTGCCCCATATGTCACTAATATACGTACAATACCTAGGCAAGAAATATTGCTGTCCCCGTATTGGTGGGAATAGGGGACTGTCTGGATACCTGGGGGAGGCGCGGCGGAGCGGCGAGGAGCGTGGAGTCATCAGGGATCACATATTCTGACGATATGAATGTACTATATGGATGCGGCGATTGATACGGGACGCGGTATAAATGGGATCACATTGTACAATCTAGACTTCAGTACGGCTTTGCACATATTCTTGGGGAGTTTGGGGGAATTACTAGGGACTATTTCAGGCGTGTGTGAACGGCGAGATATATTGGGGTTGGAGTTGTGGGCTTAATCGAAAAAGGCATTCTTCACGACATAATATGACTATGGGTTGCGGAACATTGCTATTTGTGATATGTACCTATCATATAGAGATGTGTATGGTCTTTTAGGAGTGCATCCTCAAACCATACAGGGCGGTTTCCTGTGGACACCCATCATCCAGCCATCAATGACGGAATGCTACATGATCGGTGTGGGACTCGACTCCCTGTTCTTGGGGCGCGGGTACATGCGTTCGGTAGATCCAGTGGTGAGAATAGGCGGCTTCGTAAGCCTGTGGCTGGGAAAGGAAGTTAAGCTTAGGCTTAAGTATAGGCTGTTGATGACCCGTTACACGGCATATAGGTACACAAAATACAGGGCGAACATACCTTACACTGAAAATACTTGTTTAGGTACCTATTTTCTACTCCATACAGCATTTAGTTCTATATAGGCATGATCAAAACTTCAACACTCGCCGCTCGTTTCACAAATATCACTTACGCAAGACTGATCGTTGTTGATGATTATAGTTCACAGCTTCGTGTTACGGAAATGTCTTAAGCCAGAAGCCGCAGGCCGAACTCTTGAGGTGGTTGGTAAGTTGATGAAACTGCCCTCTTTAATTATCACGGGCAACTGTAGGAGTCCGTCTCTCAAAACAAGACTCCGAGATAACTCTTCCAATCCGCCGTCAGCCACTTTTAGGGATACCTAAACTCGGGGTCCGCGGCTATCACACATCATCGTCTTCCCTCTTATATTATATTTTAAGAGATCATAATGCCATAATGTGCGGATCATCTACCCCATAAGGTTACGTTCGTACCTTGGAGTTGGTTACTGGGTCGGTCGGATGATTTACATCAGATGGTTGAAGATCCACAAGTTGCACCAGCGCTTTCATCAAATCAGTCAGGCCAGTCGAAGGCATTCAACTGACCTGATTGATTAGTCAGCAACTAGTGAACTGATCTGATCAAATCAGTCAGTCGGATTGATCAGATAAGTAATAAAAGTGGGTACACACTAAGCTCCTTATATCTATTGAAATATTTATTTTTAAAAGGTACTTAGGTACTTCTTCTGTTTTGTATTAGCCAATTAGAACGCGTATATAAGTGGGACAATAACAAAACACCAAACTGACGCTACTGACAGTCGAAAAAAATAACGATTTGAACTGATCAGTCGAAAAAAAAAGGCAATCTGGACTGGTATTGACTTAGTCTGACTGAATCAGGTCAGATTTTGGACTGATTTGGTGGGAGCGCTGAGTTGCACAGCCTTCTGATATTCGTGCGTAACAATATATAGACGGCCCTATACTCGGATATCTGCCTCCTCAGCACATACCGGTCCCGAGACACGGGGCCGAGTTTACTGCGAATGAGATACCGGTATTTCATCTTTGATTCTGTTATTTCTTTCACGGAATCTTTAGAGCCAACTACAGATCTGAAACTTGTACGACATGAGTTGTCGTCTTTCATATCGTGAATTGTAGTTCTCACTTATCTACATGAGCCATTGCGTACCATCATGCTATGGCTCGTGGACGGTCTTTGTGATCGCAATGGATATCCAACCCCAGGTGCCTGTTCTTCACAAAGATATATGCATACATACTTACACGAAAACCTTACATGAAAGGCTAGAGAGGAGTGAGTACCCGAACGTAAGGGGCCGTAGGAACTACAACGTTCTGTGAGACTACGGAACCTACCAAGGCGTCGAGGTAAGAGATGGCGATAGTGTCGGCAACAGAAGGCCACGAGGCTTTTGATGTTTCTCATGTGTATTCTCACAATGGTTATTCCAACATCTTCCCGTCTGACAAGACGAGAAACCGAAACCACTACCGAGACCGCAATGACAAGAAGTGGCTCAGTTTATTCGTTCATTATTGCGTGGTCGTCTCGACGAAAAAGAAGCCAAAGCTTTAAATATCATACATCTATACGGCGTAGACTTGCCACTTAAACCTCGGTTCCTTCCCACGTATCACTGAGATCTGACTTTCGATGCCGAGATAAATGTGATCTGATCAAGACCCCTTCTATAAATTCCTCCACAGATCATCTCAACAACTCACACCAACCTCCACTAAACGCCAGAGACCGAATCAACACCCACGTTGATGAGAGTGTCCATTTTAAAAAAAATCCACAAGAACTACAGACAAACCACATTCAACATACCAAATCATCACCAGAAACTCGGTACCATACACACAACTCCATCTCACACTCTCATCATGCGTTCCGCAAGCCTTCTCGCTGCGGCCATCGCCCTCTGCGGCGTCGTGCTAGCAGCACCTCCCGCACCATCTCCCACCATCACCCAGGCGCCTGCCGCCGTCCACACTGCGGCCGCACGCGGCACCCCGAACTGCACCTCCATCCAGCACTACTGCAGCAGCTGCGGCTCCGAGTAAGTTTGCCTTATCTTAACTCCCTTCCCCTCATTTTTCAGCAGGATATGTAAGATATATAATATATACCTATATATGCTAACATTTACTGCAAAGGGATTTCGACTGCGAGACCGATCCACGATGCGAGTGGTGCAGCGCTCACCTCTGGAACTCGACGACTTCGACTTCGACGTCGACGAGCTCGTCTAGCACATCGACTGTTTAATAATACCACGGTACCTACCTATCTAATGAGAGGAGGGAGGGGTATGGCGGTCGGATAAATAGCTGGACGGATATGGGACGGAGGCGTTCTTTAGGTAATTACTTACCACTTGCATTTTCGGGGCGGGATGAAATGATTTCAGATGGGATACTGCTTCTGTATTAGGGGGGGCCGAAATGGCGAATGGTTAACTGGGCAAGGCAACCAGCCCACGGTAGAACCAGAACCAGATAGTAAATGAAAACCCCCCAAAAATAATGGCAATTCGGCACCTAACCCTGATATTAGCCCGTTAGTCAAAGAAAAGCCGGGCGGATGGTTTAATGGATGGATTTCTATACACCGCAATCGAGGCCGGGTAGGAAGCCTCGAGTCGCTCACTTAAACCACTACTATAATACAGAGATTACATTTTCATCTCGGCGTATATTCACCCTCCCTCCCTCCTTTCCCCCTTCCCTCTTTCCCCTTTCCCCCATCTTTCAAGTCCCTAAGAACCTTTCCCAAGCTAAGACGCGAGTAGATTTTTCTTTAAGCCGTGGCCGCGATATGTGTATGTATGTGTGTATGCATGTCAGTCAATCAGATTCCATCCATCCCAAGCACCCCATTCATTCAGCCCGTCCTATGCAAACCATTCCCCGCCGTTTCAGAGTAGAGTTTCGTCTCGTTCCGGGATAACGTAATAATAATAATAGTAATAGTAGTGGCAGTTGGGAATAGTGGTTTAGGGCCGTCGTCGTCGTCGTTCGTAACTAACCCCCATCCATTCACAACCACGATGCGATTATTCAACGCCTTTCCCCAAGCGTTCTTTCATATCATACATCCCCACAAATTACACATCTCCCCAGTTAAACTAATTTATTGTTTGGGCTCGGTAGGAGCAGGGTTATCCTCGGGTTTGGCAGGCACGAACCAGTTCGAGAAGGAAGACTTCATACTGCTCATGGCCTCGGCCTGCGCCTTCTCGTTGGCCTGTTGTTCTTCCTTGAGCCACTTCTCGCCGTTTTCGCGGATCTCCCTCTCCATCATCTCGTAGTTGCGCTGGCCCCGTTCCCGCGCAATATCCTGCAACATCTTACCTTGCGCGAAAGCCTCGCTCGGGCTGATCTCTCCTTCCGCCGGGACCATCATGCTCATGTTACTCGGCTTTAGTCCGAGGAGGCCGCCTAGAGCTCCCATTCCACTCTTTCGCTTCCTCTTCTCGGAGTCGAATTGCTTTTGGAATTCCCTACGAGCGATCGCTTCTCGGCGGGCGAATTCGGTCGGGATGTGCTTGCCGTCGAAAGACTTGATGACTGCTCTTACGTCCTTGTATTGCATAGTGTGTATATACTCAAGGAAGGGGATGAGCGAGACGAGCTCGGTGTCTTTAGGGTCGCCAGTCCACTTGTTCAGCACAATGGCATTTTCGGGCTGGTTCCGGACATGTTCTGCTTTTGAGTCGATTATGATGACCTTGGAGAGGTCACGGTTCAAGTATGACAAGTCCTATGCGATAAGTCATTTAGTAATCTGAACCAGCATTCTCTTAGGAAAGGGGCATCGGGTAGAACTAACCTTGACAATCTCACCGTCTTTGTACTTGGTAGCCTCTCTGAACAGAGGCCAGACGATGAATCGGAAAGGGTCTAACTTGCGAACCAACGGCTCTCCAATAGCAAATGGTACACTCGTAAATAACACCAACTCGTAGTACTGGCTGAGGTACCGCAGGAAGTAATCTACACCCGGCCTCTTCGCAACTCTCCAGCCGTGCTCTCGCGTCCATTCGCTATGTACCAACATATCCTCGAGACTAATGCAAAGCGTGTACGGTCGTGCGAACATAGGGTCGGGATCGGGTAATAGCTTGTCAAAGGCGGGTTCGCTGTAATAGCTCGTGACGTCACCGAAGCGAGCCATCATGCGCTTATACCACAAGCTAAACGACCAGCCATTGGGTATGTCGGTGTGTATCTGAGACTCTTCCTCGTCCCATTCTCGGCCTAGGTAGGCAATGCCGAGCACGCCGAAGACTAGCGATCCAGCATACATCCAATTGGCAAGTCTCATCCGCTTCTTCTCCGTCGAACTGATATACGCCGAAGCCGGTAGCTCTCCGCGACCACGGCCACTACCTCCAGCTTGGGCTTCAGGTGACTCTTTTTCTATGGAGGAAAGCGCTGCCTTGTCGGTGGCGCCGCTGGTCTCATATTCGAGGGTGGACGGGATACCTTGGGTGAGGTCGGGAAGAGAGCTAAGGTCGGGTTTCGATTCGGATTCGGCTTCGACTCCTTGTGAAGGTTGCGCAGAAGGAGTGGGTTCCGGGGTTGGTTTAGGCGCTTGGGATTGAGCTGATTGAGCTGATTGCGCTACTTGAGCAGGCTTAGCTGGCCGCGCTGCTTGAGCTGACTGAGCTGGTTGAGATGGTTTAGTAGGCTTCGTTGGTTGTGACGGCTTAGCCGAGGGTTGGTTCGGTCTCGATCCCTGGTTTTGACCTTGGTTTCGGTTTCTATTCTTAGCCATGCCTCGTACCCATATTGAACTTGTCGGATTGGGTATTCTAGAAATAGCGGGATGTGTTATGGTTGTTCTCGAAAGCGCCGGTAGTCGCGCAGAGCGCATAAGTGCTCTTGACAGCATGATGCCAGGTGGTTGACCTTGTCGCACGAATCTACCGCTGAATAGGGACGAATGACCGATATTTACTAAAGGCCCTTCAGTTATTGTCTAGTCGGCAAAGTAATATTGCAGACTAGAGGTCGTCCTTCGAGACTGCGCGGGATGGAAAAAGTTGAACGGAGGCACAGCGTTGGGAAATTTTAGACGACCGAAAAGCTTCAATCCTTGTATGATGGAGGCGTTCTGTCAATCTCCAAATTTTAACCCCGAAGTTCTACCATCGAACCATGTACGTACTGCTTACATGGAATTTTTGCTGGGAGAACCCCACCTCACGTCATAAGGAAAAAAAATATTTAAGTCAATACTGAAAATTTAAACCCTCAATTTTGAGGGGGATACCTACATAGAATAAAGAACAATTATGTGTGATAAGCCAATTAAAACAAGAATTCATAAGTACCTAGCAGTACCTAGTTCAAAACCCCCAAAATAAAAAGATTAGAAAGATGGGAAAAAGAAAGTTGTTGACAAGAAGGGGATTCGAACCCCTGCGGATTGCTCCAGAGGAAAGCGTCCTGAATTTTCATCAGGTAAGTTACATCACAATTTTCATATGAGTAGGTGCTTGAACCCTCCGCCATAACCACTCGGCCATCTTGCCCTACAAGTGTGAATCATGGCGTGACTACACTGCGATGGTGAGTTTGCTTCCTAAACTAGTAAATATGCCATAGGTTTGCTGGAGCAGGCTAATCCGAAATAGGGATAAAGTACCTGTGTAGTAAACTTTGTGCGGAACCCCACTAACTAAATCGGTCTAACAATCTAGGTTATCGCCTAAACCCGGCTTGTCCGTCCTGTCCGTCTTGTCCGCACCGCAACATTTGACGCTTCAAGGTTGACCCCACTTGATCAGTCATTCAGTCATTGGATGTCGTCAATTCAATGGACCGAACGCGAACCCCTTCTTCTATTCTAAGAATTTAATCATCAAATAGAATTGACTCAACCTCCTCACCTTCCAAGGCTACAACCATTACTGTTGCTCTGTCGCTACAAGAATACCAAGGTACCCTTTTCTTCGACCGGGTACCTTCTGCCGATTCTCTTCCCCTCTCTCCCTTTCTTGGGGCAATTCGCAATTCTTCTTTTCCTATTAATCCTCTGCCGCTGATTCTTAGCCTATTTGTCATCCCTATTATCATATGAATTACGCTGCATACGACCAACTTCCTACTTGATCCGACAATGGCAGCGCAGAGTGTTGCGTTCTAGAGGGTGGCTGTCACTCGTTGAAGAATCGCGATGGCACCACCCTCGCGATTCTACCACCTTGTACCTCGATCCCAACAATTGTCTTAAATTAATCACGGAGCGAACCTCTACGAATACCAAGAAGTAAACTTGACTTAGCACTTCTTTCGTATATCATACTTGATCATTAGCTGTCGCGTGACGATAACTTCGCGTTGCTTGTGTTGCCCTTTTTACGTCTACTAGGTGTATACGTATTCTACGACTCCTGAGTAAATCAACTTGCGATCTCGAATAAACCGACGTATACGCGATGCGCCGCAAACATGGTGCGGCGAAGAGTGCGCGGGCTATTAAGGGCTCAGGTCCGACGCCTATCGCTTCAATCTCTTCAGCCACCACTCCGTTAAGCTCAGCTTTGCCTTCGACTTATACTTCAGAAGCGGAGTACGATATCAACGACGAAGTAGCTAAGCTGCAAATCGGCGCCCTAACGTTAGATCCCTCAGCACCGAGCCAGCGAAAGCCAAAACGAGAAAAGCCACAGCCATTCCGGTTTCTCGACCTTCCTTCCGAGCTACGTCTAAAGGTTTACGATTACCATTTTATTAACATCGGCCACGTGCTCGACCTTGAATACGACAACCATAAGAGAATCCACCAGAAACTAGCCATTCTCCGATCTTGCCGTACTATATATCAAGAGGCGTCCTACTTGTTCTACAGTACCCATCCTGTTCGCATATTTCCGACGACTCCTGGGCGCTTCTTCAAGACAAAGAAGCCCCTACTAGCTCGTATGAAGCCCAATCAACGTTCGTTCCTAACCTCGCTCGAACTACGTTTAGGACCAGGATGGAGTAGTCCACCTAGAGGTTGGGTAGTGAATCCCGCATTGGGTTTATCGGATTGTGTTAATGTTACGAGAATCACTGTCTACGTTGAATGCGATCCAGGAAATGATTTCTTCAGGGGATTCCGCCAACCGGACAACTTTTATGAACGATTCTCCAAATCCTTACTTACTAGCGTTCTTGACGAGATGCCATGGGTTGGACGAATCGAGTTCGAGGCGTGGCCAAACGTCAAGAAATCAGGGGCACTAATGCGTGGACTGATCGAAGTCGTGACGACTAGGGGACTGAAAATCCTCTGGGGTAAGCAAAGGGGGTGGTCCGATGCGGAGGAAGTAGAACCGCAGCCGGCGTTAGACCTCAATGCCCCCCTTCTCATAGAACACGGCAGTTCGGGTATTATGGTGGCAGCGTAGTACAAGCCGTAGTTTCTTTTTTCTCCTCCTTATTATATAGTATTGAAACTGCAACGTCTAAAGGAGTTATGGATGGCAAAGGACTGGTTGGCAAATGGGAACTATTCGTTAAGTAATGGTCACGGCAATCCCATGGATTTTTGGGGTAGCGTACTTGCCTCTCGCCTCTCACTCAGAAGAATCAGGCCTGAAGAAGACTTGAATTGATAGGATTTCAACTACGTAATTCTCACTGCATCCTTGTCTGCTTAGCTTGATGTGAGATTGTCTCCGATGTCAAAATTTCTGTAGTTTGTAGACTTAGGAGTGATGCGAGTCGTTGACAACACTTTATTCTCTACCTATGCCTCTTAAATACGAAATATCAAAACCTCGAAATCTAAAATCTAAGTTAAAGCCAAGACTGTACCCGCTTTTAGCAAGATTGAAGCTGAAAGGCAGCGACGCTAATCTGGGGAACGACTCCAAGGTCGCACTCTACAAAGTACATGCTAGTACTTGCATGAAAGACCCCACCAAAAATTTCTATCCAGAGCTTCAGCACAAGCTCCAGCTCTTCAACCTGAATCAACATAACCCATAAACGCCCTACACACGCACCCCGAACAACCGTAAATCAAATACCGAGAAAAGGAATAAGACAGAAAAAAGGAAAGGGAAAGAAAAAGAACGAAGCAGAGAAAGAAACAATGGTCCTCGACACCTCAACCTACAACCTCGGGCTCCTGCGCATCGACGGCCGGCGCTGGAACGAGCTGCGCCAGATCCGCGCCCAGATCCGCACCCAAGCCGCTGCCGACGGGTCCGCGTACTTCGAGCTGGGAAACACGAAGGTCATGTGCGTGGTCTCGGGTCCCAACGAGGAAGGCAAGAAGCGAGGCGCCACGTCCGCGTCCGGCGCTGGAGGAGGAGGAGTAGGAGGAAACGCAGCGGATATCCTGGTCAGCGTCGAGGTGTGCGGGTTTAGCACTGTTGATCGGAAGAAGCGCGCACGGGGGGATAAGTAAGTTTTCATTTCTTCGGGTTTTCTGTGCTTGTCTCATACTAACGAATTCCAATAGACGCACCCAAGAACTCCAATCCACCCTCGCCAACTCCCTCGCCGCAGTCCTGCACACACACCTCTTCCCACGGAGCACGATATCCCTATCTCTCCACGTCCTAAGCCAAGACGGATCCCTTCTAGCCTGTCTAATCAACGCCGCGACCCTAGCACTCATCGACGCGGGTGTGCCTATGGACGACTTCCTAGTCGCGTGTTCGGCGGGCAGCACTTCGAGCCATGCCGCAAACGACGAGCAGGCTGATCCGCTAATGGACTTGAACACGCAGGAAGAGCAGGAGTTGCCGTTTCTCACGATAGCAACACTGGGGGAGACGGATAAAGTAGCGGTTTTGGTGTGCGAGAGTAGAGTTCAGGTGAGTCGGTTGGAAGGGATGATGGTTACAGCGGCGGATGGGTGTAGGAATATACGCAAGTATCTTGATGCGGTGGTGAAGGAGAAGGGGCGGAAGATGGTTGCCGAGGGGGCCGTTGAGAAGGGGGTTAGTATGGCTATGGATATTGGTGCCTAAGTAAAAACATAGATCGGGCTTACGAGGGAGTTATGGTTGGAAATGGTTTAGGCACAGCATTTGGCAGGCGTTACGGGCAAAGACACATTTCCTTACGAGTAAGTCGACCCTTTTCATCAATGGAAAATTCGATTCGTTATCATTTTGGTATATATGGAAGAAAATATCACCAAGTGCTAAACTAATAGTATATCGCTATTTACTTAGAGTTCTTCATGCTTTGGAGCTTCCTTTGTAGCTTCCGCAGTCGGCTCTGTACCCTTGGAAGGTGATTCGGACTCAGGCTCGACATGCTCGGTAATTACACCGTCTGGGATCTTCTTCTTGGTGCCCTCGCTTAGGCGAATAGCATCGATCCAACTCTCTACGCTCTCAGGGGTGAAGTCGCCCTCGTAGTGGCGCCACCATCCCCTCTTACCGTTAACAGCAACGATTTCGACTTCTCCAGCGAGCTCTAGACTCTTGAAAACCGACGCGGTGACCTCGTTGTCGTTGTGGATTTCGAAGAAGGGGAATAAGTGACGTTGCGCATGGGCGTGTTTGGCTGCTAGCTCAGCTAGACTAGTCAATGCCTTCTCAGCGGCCTCCCCGTGAGCGGAGGGCACGAAGGCAAGGACACAGGTATGCGCTTTGTTGTTCAGGCATTCCTTGGTCAACTTGGCCGCTTCGGTGATAGTCGGAATAGGAGGCGTAACCTCGACAGGTTTCTCTACAGGAGGGACATCAGTCGGCTCGGTTGATTCCGTCGATGTGGTCTTGGAGCTTGAATCGGAAGATTTGGGAGAGGCCTTCTTGTCCTTTTTCTCAGACTTCTTGTCGCCCTTCTTTTCTCCCTTGGCCTTAGATGGTGCAGGGTCTGGGTTTGGTTCGCCGGCTTGCGTCAAGAACTTGATCATAGCATCCTTCTTCAATTCTCCATCGTATACCAGGCTCTCCTTGTCACCACCTGGTAATAGTACCAAGGTTGGATAAGACTTAATACCAAACAATTCGTTGGCCTTGGTCTCCTTGTCCCGGATCTGTGCGACGCTAATGACGTCGAGGAAATCGATCGCAATACTCTTTAGCAAAGCGCTTGTGGTGCCTTTCTCGGTAAACAGTATAGCCTTGGCCGTCTCGTTCTTAGTCGATAGGAATGAATCGATATCCTTGTCGGTCACGCGCTTGACGTGGTTATTGATCTTCTCGACGACGGCGTCTACGATGCCCTTGGCCGTTCGAGGGCCGTTGTAGTCTTCCACGATCGGCTTCCCTTTCTTGCCTGGGCGCACAGTCTTCAGGGTCGGGAACCCTTTAACACCCATCATACCACATAGCTGTTTGTTCTCGTCCTCGTCGCAATTAACGGCTGCGACATGGGCGAGGCCGTCGAGGTTACGGGCCGCTTTCTCGTAAGCAGGTTTGAGATTTTGGCAGTGGCCACACCATGGTGCATAGAATTCGACGACCTACCATAGCAGCTTGTTAGCTATTTGTTCCGATTGGTCATGTTTCTATACTATTAGTAAGAACTTACAGAGGTATGATTTGACTTGTTAATAATTTTGTCGAAATTCTTTGCGTCAACTTGGGTTACGGGAGAGCTCTTTAGGTAGAGACTAGCTTGCGCAGTCGGTAGGGCTGAGAGGAGAGCCACGGCAGCAATGGCCGTGGTGGGGTTGAGATTGAAGGCGTGCATGGCCTGTCTCGTAGATCGTATGACGGATGGGAGTACGGGGAGTAGGTAGGCAATAGAAGATTAGGCGAAGCACATTCACAACCTATATAATAGGAGTTAATGACAAGAAAGAAACGAGTATATCAAACCAGACGCTTTTATGAGTTTATAATTGTAGAAATCCTGGACATGACAGATAATCCATTCCTTCGGTGAAGCCGCAATGTCACATAACGATGACGGAGACAGAGACAGAGGTGAAGCTTAGCTTTTAAATGATTGGTGTCTTCTTTGCTCGATTCAGCAAAAGGCCACCGTGGAAATTCGATCCAATTCGTTAGAAAACCGTCGAAAGATCATCGGATGATTGGCCGAATTGAAAATCCGGGGTAACTTGTGGCTAGTAATGAGGGCGACTCGGGATTGATAAGAGAGCTGTGGCGCGAGCTCTCTTCCTTATCTTGGTGCACCGATGCTGCCCGCGTAGTGTGGAACCAGTGACTTCAGCGGGCATAGCGGGGAATTGAATTGGATCGTGCCTGATGCAACCTGGAAGCTAAAGATTGCGTGGATGCTGGTTTTATCTTTCTACCTACCTCTTAATATATATCTGCCTATTTTTTCAATTTGAACTACGCATGCGACGATATATCCTTTTGCCGACGTCGCAAGTTTGCCTTTTGTCAAACGCTAGAAATCGAACCTACAGGGCTTGGATTATAAAGACTTCAAACGACTATCTATTTACTTGCGACACCAGCCTCCGTATTAGTGCCAAGGCTCCAAGTTGAATACTTATCCTACCACCGCACTTGACATCCTCTGCGACACTTTCTAATCAGCCCAGTACCAAAGACGACTTCTTATAAGAAAACCAGATCGGCTTCTCCATGGCGGCCAACATACCCGCGAAGCTAAAACAGGCGGGCATAACGCCCTTTATCGTACGCGCAACACAACTCGAGGCTGCGAAGCCAGTCATTTCCTACTGGTGTAAGCTCCTACCGTTGTCGCATCGATATGTAGATCATTTTTACTAAGTGATACCAACATCACAGGTTTCTACTGGGCCGTCAATCAGATCCTTGGCAAAGGGCTTCACTCTAGCGACGATGACTGCCACCTATTTACCACGAACCTGATGGAAAAGTTGGAACATGTATGATGATGGAGCTTATCCCTAATTCTAGAGGCATGATTCACTAACTAGAATTTATCGTCATAGATCAAAGAAGGACAAGTTGGGAACGATGCGATTCACGATGATGTAGCTGGTCAAGCATACGTCGAACAATTTGCGCAAGAAACCTTCGATAGGGCACTTCGGCCACTAAAAGCCAACAAAGTCACACAGTACATTGCCTATAGCACATGAACGTATTCATATGAGAGCGATCGCTAACGAGCAACTACAGACAAACGGCGAGCACCTTTGAAGCCGCGGCTACATTCTTCCAGTTAGTCAACATTTGGGGACAAGCCGATGCAGAGACGCAAGAGAAGATCAAATATGCAAAGTGGAATGCTGCTCGGATACTAAAGGCTATTAAGGACGGAAAAGACCCTAATGAATCGAACCCTAAACAGGAGGAGGTTAAGCAGGAAGAGGCGCTCGACCCTGACGATCCGGAAGTGCAGATGATCAGGGCTGCGCAACCAAGACCCGCCTCGGTAGAAGATGCCCCCGACGATGATGGAATACGACATCCAACAGCAGCCGAAAGTTATCAGACCTTCCCAGCCCCTGTGTCTGAGCCAACGTCGTCTCCAGTGCCGACAAAACCAAACCTTGAGCAGGTCTCTCCTATAGTACCTCCCGGTCCTCCCACACGGGAGCCAGGAGGCTATTTCCCGAATGAACCTAGTGCGCCTGATACCTTAGACCTACCATCTACGATAGATATGCCACCTCCAGGCCCGGCGACTTACGATCTGACGGGTTCGCCAATAATACCTAGTCCTAGTTCTCATGATCCGGCTCTACCACCTTCAGCACCGCCCCAAGATTTCTACCGCGATCGACCATCTGCACCACCTTTTGTCCCGCCTCAACAGCAGCACCATATCCCCCCTCCTGCACCTGCACCTAGCCACAGCTACTATTCTCAACCCCCACAGCCGGTTGTTTCGCAACCGCTGCCAGTACCGGTTCAGCAATATAATGGTGGCGCGCCGAACTCATCTAACGTAGACGACATGGCAATGACACAGGCGCAGAAACATGCTAAATGGGCGATCTCGGCTTTAAATTTCGAAGATGTGCCTACAGCTGTACGAGAGTTGCGGGCCGCCCTAGCTAGTCTCGGTGCACAATAACGCTATGACAATTCGCCAGATACCTGCTTGCGGGATTGAGAAGTATCGGAGCGAGATGGTTATGGCTGTGTTTTATACTAGCTGGAGTTAGGGGGTTAAAAGGCGAAATGAGCTTAGTGTTACTAAGCTGTCTCTTTGAAGTGTAAGAAACTTTCCAAGTTGTGTCTACATACCTTATAGGCAAGTGACCAATGAAATTTGTGTAGCTTGGATCTTACATATTTCCGTGGACAAGTGAAGGCGTTTCAAGACTTATCAATGGCGTTTGCCATTAGTTATTCCTCAAGTAAATTCCAGCAGCCGGATTTTGTAATTCCATATTAACTATCGGAATAAAAGCTGGGAGCTCCCAAATCCGAGTGAGTTTAGGTAAGCCTCATCGGATTTGGCAGACTGATTTATGGACTGGAAATCCGAGATCCACTCTGAGTCATTGTATTTGGCCCCCTAAAAGGTTAAGTCCCCAATATTCATGCGAGATCTGGATCTGAAATGTGTATAATGAATGACGTCAGACTAATTCTTTTCGATAGTGTGGCTTGTTCTTAGGAGCTGAGGTCTCTGGAGAGTTCGACCTTTCTCTTTATCCTATTGTCTCGATGATTCCGGTCGCTAAACTTCGAAAATACTAGACACGATTTCAAGATGATGATTTCGAGAATATGACACGACATTTCATAAACTACCTACCAAGCTATGCTTCATCAATGCACTACAATTATCACTGTAACCTACTACCATTAAATCGCGTAACGTGGTGTTATACATCGATGTTAATTTCATCGAATCTGGTGGGGTTTTCCTAACTAAATCTAGACAGCCAAGCTAGAGAAGACGGGCGTTATACTAACGTAATGTTCCCTTTGTTGGCATCACGGTGGCGTGGAACATATCCATATACTACTTCACGGAGCGGTCGGTCCATAGTCAGCACTACATAGCTACCTACTTGACTTACTGACCTGCTCCGGGACGGACTTAGGCACGATGTTAAGGACCGTTGGATATTGGATAGGTTTCACATGATGATGGAGCAAGACACATACTCGCGTCACTTGCTTTTGCAAGACTTGGGATAAATATTCTCACCGTCCGCCTGTCTAGTCTACTTCATCATACATCTCACGTATAGGTACTGTCAAGACTCTACTGAGCCTGAAGAGGATTTCGATCACACGATAAACCAAATCAATTAGAACAAACATGTCTTTACCAAAAACCTTCAAGGCCGCCGTCCTTGAGAAGCCAGGCCAACCTATCGTGATCAAGGACATCGAGCTGAAACATCCGGGTCCCAGACAGGTTCTTGTCAAGGTGCTCGCTTGCGGCGTATGCCACTCGGACGTCTTCGAGGCAGCCGGCCTCATGCACAACGAATTCCCCCGCATCCCCGGACACGAGATCGTAGGCGACGTCGTTGCCATCGGTAGCGATGTGACGAGGTTTACGGGTGGTGAACGGGTTGGCGGACCCTGGCATGGAGGTTAGTTTCTCAGCTCTCCCCTACCTCTACACTTACCCCCACCCCCTTTTCCCTCTCCCCTTTTTATACACGGTACATATCAAACAATCCAAACAACCCAAACTAACACCCCAAAGGCCACGACTCTTCCTGCCGCCAATGCGCCCGCGCCTACTTCCAAATGTGCAATAACGCCGTCGTGAACGGCATCTCCGTCGACGGCGGGTACGCCGAATACGTGCTCCTGCGCGAAGAAGCCGTCGTCCGCGTCCCGCGCGACGTCGACCCCGCCGAAACCGCGCCCCTCCTATGCGCCGGCGTCACTGTCTTCAACGCCGTCCGCAAACTGCACGTTGAACAGGGTAATGTCGTGGCTGTGCAGGGCGTCGGTGGGTTGGGACATCTTGCGATTCAGTATTTGAGTAAGATGGGGTACCATGTTATTGCGATTAGCTCCGGGGAGAGTAAACGGGATTTCGCGGTTAAGCTTGGTGCGCATGGGTTTATTGATGCCGGGAAGGAGGACGTCGTGCAGGCTTTGATGAAGATGGGTGGTGCGGCGCTGATTGTGGCGACGGCGCCGAATCCGAAGGCGATAAGTCCGCTGGTGGGCGGGTTGCAGGTTGGTGGGAAGTTGTTGGTGCTGGCGCCTATTGGGCCGGTTGAGTTTGATACGGGGTTGTTGGTGCAGAAGGGGGCGAGTATTCATGGTTGGCCTAGTGGACATGCGTTGGATTCTGAGGAGGCGATTCAGTTTGCGAAGGATCATGGGGTTAGGTGTCTTATTGAGAAGGTCAAGCTTGATGATGTGGAGATGGCGATGGAGGCGTGTACTACGGGGAAGGTGAGGTTTAGGGGGGTGATTGTGTTTTAGGGGTGGTGAAGTGGTGGTGAGCTTTGTATTCGGGATGAGATATGATGGGGTTTAAAACTGTCTAGTTTATCAAAAGCCAAGTCGTTTTACCATTTTCTGAGTATGATCCCGGGATGAATTATTCATCTTTATAAGAGTCCTGGTTGTATAAGAGCTTAGGTAATCTAGGGGGTCGGCAGACTCGTATCAGGCTTTGAACAAACCTATCCCCTCTTCCGTTAATTGGGGTAATTTGCCCTGCGACAGCAAGTGCTGAATCTGTATTACATAATAGAGGGGATAGCTGGACACATTGTTTAAAGGTACGGGCTGTATGTAGGTACCTAGGGTCAACCGAATATCTCTATCACGCCTATTCCACCCACTTACATGGTACATCAAAGACAAAGATCTCGTGAAAATAAATAACTAGATGTTTTGTGAGAAAGAGTATGTACGTAAGCAATTCTACGAAAATATCTATCCCTTGGTTCGCCCATTCAGGCAGCTTACACCTATATTGGTCGGCAGCAACCGACGCTTAAGTAAGACAGTGATAACTTCCAAGGAATCTAATACAATATCATTAGGTTATGGCTTGTTTAATCCGATGTCCATCAGATCATGTATTAATCCAAACCTTTGTCAGCGCATTTAATTAGTATTTTCCAGTTCATGTTGAATTGAAGAGTAAAACTAGTTGCCAGTTCCCTGGACACACCATCTGGACCCCTGTACCCCCTATACCCCCTGTAAAGAAGCCTCTCCAATTGTTTCCCCCAAGCAACAGTTTAGGGAATTGATAGGCTAAGAAGTGACGAAACAGATCTCCCCAACCGCTACGTCATGCCGGTCAACTTTAATCTTGGAAGACTTTCTGACTTCATAGGCATTCCAAGAATTCCACCAACTTCACATCTTCGCGCCGTGGAGGGTCCCGAATGAGGCCCCGACTTGGGCTTTTAGCCGCCCGTAAGTTGGTAGTGGCTTCACTGTCAGAAGCCATGATGTATTATGAGCAGGGCTCAAAGGTCGCCACTTAGGCTGGCTCAGCTTCGTTTGTTCTTTCTTTAAAGACCGTTTGAAAGACCTTTGTAAATCACTAAGCTATTATTTTCCTTGTTACATCGAATGAGAAGTAATTGTCCTATACAATCACTTATGTCCGTTTACCTACTCCTGCTATCGTAACTATAGTCACGGATCGATATTTTCTTGGACATTTTTCAGTGAAGAATAATTCAATTCGTAGAGCGCTGGCTGCTCTTATAATCTACAGCGTATAGCCGCAAGGCGCATTTCAACTTTCCTTACCTACCTACCTACCTATACAGTATAGCCTACCTCAAACAGGACTTGATAGTCCGAACCAACACAATGGTGTCCCTACCATACCCAGCCCTATCCTACACCGGATCAAGAATAATACCAACAATCCTCACCTCCCTCCTCCTCCTCCCACACCTAACCACAAGCCAATCCGTCTACACCACAATCATAATAACCGTAGCGGCGCCCCTCCCCACCGACGCCCCCTCCTTCACCGACCACGAAACATTCACCTCCGCCATCCTCAACAGCACCAATTTCTACCGCGAATCCTACAACGCCTCCACCGTGCGCTGGAACTCGACCCTCGAGTCCTTCGCCTCGAACTACCTAAACACGCACACCCCCTCTTCTAAGTTAAAACGGGGGAACGAAGGGGGGAGTGGTAAGGACAGCTCGTTAGACGGGGAGGTGAAGAGAGATGGCAAAACCTGCCATATGGCACATAGCGGCGGTCCGTACGGCGAGAACCTCGCGATCGGCTGCTCCGACGCGGGGTCCTGTGTTGATATGTGGGCGTCGGAGGTGTCTGGATACGATTACGGAGACCCGGGGTTCGGCGAGTCGACGGGACATTTCACGCAGTTGGTTTGGAGAGATACTACTGATGTGGGGTGCGGCGCGGTGATGTGTCCCGGGAACGGGGGGTGGTATCTTGCGTGCGAGTATTGGCCCCGGGGGAATATTATTGGGGCTTTTGGGGATGAGGTTGGCGAGAAGGTTAGTGGTGCGCCTGCTTTGGGGAGTTTGGGGTTGGGGTTAGGGTTGGGGGGGAAGGGATGGGGGGTTGTTGATTTGGTGGTGCTTTTGGCTGTGGCGTTGGCGTGGTGGGGGTTGGTGTGATCCTGAATGTGTATTAGGTAAGGGGATGGGATATGATGAAGTTTGGGAATCGTGGGAAGAGGTGTAAATTGGATATTTTGGCAATATAATGAGATATGAGATATGAGTTTGTATATTCATTCACGACTCGGGACGATATTGTAGGAATATCTGGGGTATAAAAATTGGAATGGAGGCAGAGATGACAAAGCAGAAGCTCTGCTGAGTAAACACAAATTCGATCATATTATTCATCAAAATAATTAGTACTCATTATTTCTATTATGTAAACATATTTCATTAGGTAACCCATTATTGTTTCGTTAAAGCCAGCTGACCAGCTGGAACTCCGAATGGTCCATTTTCGGCCCTCGGGAACTTAGGAGTGCCGTCTTCGTTCCAATCGAACTTCTGTATCCGCGCAGTACGAAACAGGTCCGCTGCTGGATTCGCCGTCGTTTGAGCGTGGTACACGATGTAATTCTCAGACCCATCCGGCGACGAGGTAAAACTCGCGTGGCCTGTTCCGTACACGCCCGCCGCCGTGTTCTGGTGGAAGATGCACCCTGAAGTGTGTTTGCGCCACGACTGATACTCCATAGGGTCGTTACCCACGAGCTCTAGCATGCCCAGGCAATAAAATGGCGTGTTAACGCGCGCCGCAGAGTAAATTACAAAGTTCTGGCCTGTCTTGGGGTTCGTGAGCTGCTGCGGGCCTTCGTTCGTCGCGAGTCGGATGGGCCGTCCATAAGGCACCTGTTCCCAGGGCTCATTGGGTATGCTGATAATGCGACGCTCGGTAAGGGTCGAGTTGACCGTCCATGGGTCCGACATGCGAGTGATGCAAAGATTGGCTGGCCATGAAGAGTATTTCTGCTCCCAACAAGAGTATATGTGGTATAATTGGTCCTCGTGTTGGAAATATGTCCCGTCAATGGCGAACATGTCGTATGTATCTAACATAGGCTTCATCTCGAAGTTAGCCGTCCACGGATCAGGCCCGTCTCCCGCCAGAACGAACATTCGGTGGTTGATCGCCTATAGCCTCTTGTTAGCGATGAATTACTTACCTCTGACTATGTACTTTCAAGCCTGTAATAACTTCAGGTAATAAATCGAACACTTACGGGACAATTTATTGGGCACATGGCATCAAGCAGCGGCGGCGGATTGTCACCATCTGACGTCGCAGTAAATATGATATACCAAGAGCCGGATATGTTGTGGATCTCCGGTGCCCATAGACTGGTCGACCACGGTTCCCCGCTTGTAGCATTTGGATTGAAAACGACGCGACTCTCCGAATTGTCCCAGTTGTCGGTCAGGTATCTTGAGCGCCTAAGTGTGATATTTGTGTTTGTCGTATAAGTAAACAGATACCAATCCTCGCCATCCACAGTATATCTAGTCATAAACGGATCGCCGACGTTGAGTGTCATAACAGGGTTCGAGAAAGTCGCATTGGTCGTTTTATTTGTTCCAACGACTGCCGGATCCCATCCACCAGAGCTGCCCTTGTTCGGGTCAAAAACCTGAGCGTTGACGGTGCCTACGCCTAGGGAAGAGGCGAGGGTGGCGAGGTAAGTGAATACAGATCCCTTCATCTTGACGTTGCAGGAACTGCCGGTCTAGCTTACTCTAAAAATATTGATGCTAAGACTGAAGAAAGGGAAGGAGATCCTAGGAGCGACGAGCTCCCGTGGAATCGGCTCATCTTAAATGCTTCTCTTTACCAAGGTAGATCTCTCCATGTATGGTTGCCAATGCGGTGGAACGAGTTTTCCCTAGCTCCTGCTTGTATCTGGCAAGGCGGTCTGCAGTCAGCGCAAGCTAAGTGCATGCCTAGGAACAAGGCGCGTGATTCGATTCGCGGGATGAAATCATTTTATAACGAGGGTAGAAAAACTCGACTCATTTCCCAGGGTGATCCAAGTTAAATCCTCCGAGACATGATGGAAGAGTCGGAATAGTTCCATGTCAACGTTGCAATTCTCCATCTCGACCAGCACCTAAACCTGGGGTTGGTGAGGAGGCGGCTGCGGGGTAGCTTCTGAAGGTGCTTATCTTGGTTAGAGGGGTGGCTGGTGGGCAGGTTATCACGATCCTTCCACTCTTCCTTCTAGGATACCTTTGCTATTGTCAATGTAAATCTTAGCAAACCGAAAGACAAACTTTGCACACATTAGGATTTGTTCCTATTACCTAGAAAGAAGTAGCGAAGTTTTTGTAGCGGTGTATGAAATGAAAGGTTCGATATTGATGTGAATGAATGATTGGGAGGAGGAAGGTTAAGAGAAGAGGTAGGACCTAGGTGCTTGGCTCGCTAATTGTTGCACCGAATGACTTCATCTCTCAGCACATTTATTCCCTGTAACACCTTCCTGAACATCGTTAATTGCCCTATCATTTCGTGTTACCATAATCCACCAATCATATCAAGTCGACATTCCATTAAAGGCAATCTCAAATTATTAGCTTTTAAGGTTACCTAACCTTGTTTAATCACGGACTGATCTAGTAAAATTCTCATTCTTAATTCACTTCGAATTTCTTTAATAGAGATAGATATCTTATTCTTCAATTGTTCAGCCTTGATATTCCTTCTCTTGTTTGATTAGATCTTAACTATCTGGATATAAACTATCATCAAATAAAGGGTCGAGTTATAGGTTTTGTACATTGGTAAGGGTAAGGTCTCATATGTTACCTACTACAATCTTACTGTTAAGCTAAGATTCAGACTTGATAGCGGTACAGCTCCGAAGCCCTAGGTGGGAATGTTCAAGTTACACGGGGTTGGTTAACGAGCATCCAGCTGGTTTACTCGCTGTAGAATGCTACTGATAGCGTTCTAGTGCACTCGCCCACTATAATTAAACAGCCATCGAGGTCTGTGAACCACCTAATACCAGTACTGAGAGCTACGCACAACAGCTGAACAAAAAGTTTCAGGGCTCGTATCGGCCCGTGCTTGCGCTATATAAATTAACTTCCACGGTTATTGCCCTTCCGAATATTGTTCGTTTGCAACATCATGTCAATCATTAGGAAGGTTTCCTCATTATATTTATAAGCTGTCATGTACCATGCCGAAATTAAGCATAGCCCTTTTTCATCCACATTCATGATGTTAAGGATTCCAAGCTCTCTTTCCCAGTTGCCTTGCCGTTCATCTTACGTTGGACCTTATCGGTAAGATGTTTTTGAGCATCCTTGGAAAATAGACAACCGACGACAGCAATGCCTCCGAAACCAAGACTCGCCAGATAGACGGTCTTGAACGCCTGCGAATATGCCGTTGGTAGGACTGAGGCGACGGCGGCTTGTATTTCAGGGGTTAATCCAGGAAAACTAGCAAGTTTGCTTCCTAGTACGGCCGCAACGAGGGCGGGGACTTTGTCTTCAGAAAGTCCGGCTGCTACTACAGCTGGGCCGATATTGGCAGGTACGGTGGTTTCTAGGCGATTCGATAGGATACTGCTATAGACGGCTACAGCGATTGAGCCGCCTGCTGAGCGGATCGATGCCAAAAGTCCGGAGGCAAGGCCGATGTCAACCGGCCTACAGAAGAGAGGAGCTAGCGCAAGAGCACAAACTTCAATAACACCAACGAAAAATGGCCCGATCATCGTGAATGCGATTCCAGCATTTAAAGTTTCTGGTGTAAGCGAAGCGCAGGCACCGACGAATGCGACCATGGAGAAAGTCGAGAAAATGATCCAGTTTCGAACGTTTCCTCCCCATTTCACGAAGAAGCCACCGAATGCTTGGCCTAACGCCGTAGCGCTAGCGACAGTGCACTGCATTTTCAGTTAGTTATTTCTTCGCTAGCACCCTTTTCACCTGAGAGCCCTTACCGAAATCCATCCTCCGTATGTGATATCCGTGGTATATAGTGCCTTCACTTGCTGAGGCCACAATAATACGGCAGAATAGTATGACATCTAGATGAAGTCAGTTATTGCGTTTCGCATGTGCGATCCTACAGCACTTACTGTCGCGACCGTGGCGCAGGCAACAAGACTAATGAACCCCCTATTCGCAAAGAACTGCACTGGAATGGCCGGGTACTCGAGCTTGGCAAAGGCCTCGTAGATAAAGAGCGCAACCAGGAGGACGCCCCCTATAACGATTGACGAAATAGTCGCAGCGGACTTCCACGGGTAAATCGTTCCACCCCAACTCACGCCCATTAAAAGCAGAGTGAGTCCAGCCGTCCACATAAATATTCCAACATCTAGTTTCACATATGAGTTCCATGTACTTGATGATGATGTGTTAGAACTCACAATCAAGCTGTTTGAGCATCTCCATCTTAGTCTTTCGCTCATGCAAGAGATCGAAAGTTGGCGGATGATAGAAGAAGAATAGCAAGATTATTGCTAATGCGACCACTATAATGTTGAGGTAATAACACCATCTCCATCCCATGTTGGGGTTTTGCAGCATAGCTCGAGCTTACACGGGGGTTAGCTAGCGATTCTAAGCCTATCGTTAACGCCTGGAGCTTACCGATCATAGGGCCAATTCCAGCGATTGGCGCATTGGTCGCAAATATTAACGATAGAACCATCGGTCGGTGCTTATTAGGCACTAATTCACCTATAGCCACGTTGAAGCTCAACTGAACCGTCTCACCTAGTCCGTATATCGCACTGCCTATGATCAAGCTGTTTACGTTTTGCGCGGCCGAGCAGACGATTATACCGACGAGAGCGACAATATTGCCGCCGATAAAGAACCATCGTCGTCCGAAGAGATCAGATAGTCGGCCAAGAATCGTATATGTGAAGGACAAGGAGAGAGTCCGGGCAATGTTGACCCATGCGATATAGGGGCTGGGACCTAATTCAATGTTATTCCAACATGCCTCTATAAGCTATCACCCGCTTCCTTAACATACCTATATCTGCATTTATGTAAGTTAATACATTGGTCGGAAGAAGCAGAAAGATGAAAGCTGATATAGCCGATAAACAGAAACCCTTATCGTGAAATTAGTCTCGATGAGTATTCGCAAATATATTGGCTTTTAATACTCACAGTCGCGGCCCCTAGAAACCCAATTGAATAGAAGTACCCCTTTGGCAAGTCATCCCCGCGTGCAGCAGATCTGATTGACGAGGCATCATCATCCAGTTCTTCCTCGAACTTGTCAACTCGCTCAGCGGGCACCGTAGACTTTTCGGCCTCCATGATGACGAGACGAGTGATAGAAAAAAAGTGATAACTCTATCGACCGATCCCCAACATCGAAAAGAGTGATCGACGATGGGGAGACGAGTTATGTAAGTAATAGTCCATTATTTCAGCTCACGTCAGTTTGTTCGAATTTAGCCGTGCCGATCTCTTGCGAGCTTACCATACTTGGCCGCAGATATCACGTTGTATAATAAGATTTGAGAGGTTGCCGGTACGAATTGGAGGCTAAGAATTATATAAGCCCGGAACTAGTTCCCGAAGAAGAGTGATCTCTATAGGTTCTTCGGGGAGAAACCACGTTTACGGAATACGCCAACCATCCGTTCGGGATAGCTTCTATGAAAACCTTGAGTTGATGGTACCTGTCTAACCTCATTTACGCGATCTCGAAAACACTTGGTATAATCGCGGCCGAATTTCTTCTAGAGATCGACCCGAATGAACCGCAGAGGTGCATTAGTTCGGTAAGTTGTTAGGGTTCGTTCCTCGTCCTGTTGGTTCTAAGGCAAGGATTCGCCATTTAGACGCTGCGGTAGTTGAAATTAGAAGAGAAACTAACTTCTTAGTTGGTATTTTAGGGGATGACGCTAAAGAATTGCCATCTGTAATCCTTATAGCTGCATACGCCAAGCGGCAGTTAGCGAACGGAACCCCTGAACGAAGATGTTGATTCGACCACCGCGAGATAAACGAGTGAAGATCACCTCAAGCGAGCTGGATCTTTAATGACATTGTGAAAACTTCTTTCCGCTATTAGGTAAAGAGAAGTCTACTAAATCGCATACTAGTAACGGTATGTCTGTGCGGATCGCGCATTTACCTAGAAAGGAAGTCGATCGTGAACCACGAGAACGGGTTATGATTGATCGCTTCTATTGCGTGCTAATATTACAGTACATACAACGCGGTTCCAGCTTCTATCAGTGCGCCACGATCAGATACGGTGGAATATTAGGTGCTTATTCTAGATCTCTAGGGCTCAAAGCCTACTCCCCTTCCACCTCGGTTCCCTTTTCTCAGCAAACGCCTTCAGGCCTTCTTGGATATTCTCTCCCCTCTGTAACTCCGCCCATTCCTTTTCCAGCGTCAACTCCACAGCTCTCTCAACGCTAGCCGTCTCCCAACTCTGTCGTAAGCCGGCGCGCGTGCAAATAATCGCGTCTGGGCTATTCTTCGCGATCGTCTCGGCGTATTTGATAGCTTCATCCACTACTTGCTCTTTCGGGACTACTTTGTTGACTATGCTCCATTGAAACATCTCCTGCGCTGAGGCGTTGCGACCGGTAAGTGCGAATTCCGACGCCCTCTGTAATCCGATCGTGCGTATCAGTCGCGGTAGCGCACCGCCAATCGCTGCAATTCCCCTCTTTACCTCCGGCAATCCAAAGTAAGCGTCTTCGGCGGCGATGACGAGGTCGCAGTTGATCGCAAACTCGCACCCTGCGCCCATCGCTAACCCATTAACCGCTGCGATCACGGGCTTCTTGCCGAGTCGACGACTCAATGGTTTGAAGGCCGGCGAATTTCCCATGCGGTTCTTTGGATCCGCGTCGCCGGACATGGAGTTATTCCACTCTTTCAGATCTGCGCCCGCGGAGAATGCTCGACCAGTTCCCGTGATGATGGCCACGCTCAGAAGGGGTTCAAGGTCGAACCATTTCCAAACAGAGTCCATTTCCCACTGCGCCGCTGTAGACATGGCGTTGAGATCTTTCGGGCGGTCCATCCGTATCAACAGCACACGCGGCGCTGGGTAGGATAACTTCAAGAAAGTTGGCGTTGGCGGTGGTTCTGTCTCCGTCGGCGCCATTACTGTGGATGTAGTTCGCTCTTCAGCAGGGACGGCGTTTCTTTCGTATGATGACTATGACTTCAGTGAAGCAGGTAGGTTATTCCAACGTAATATTGTGACTAATCAAGACCTCTCAGCTTGAGCTGAGTGCACGCCTGATAGTATACGATTCACGATGCCACCGTACCTAGCGAGAAACTGACTTCTTCGGCTCCAGTCTTCCTTTCAACAACACGCGAGATGCCCGTCAATCTGCAAGGTACCGAGAGAAATGCCATGGTGGCATCTACTACTACACCAAGTAGTCTTGTCACGACTTATGGGTCTCTACGACCTAAACTAATAGCGCGCTGCACTATAATATTAGAGGTCTAATAAGCCGTACCCCGGCCGTTGGAGATCGCTTATGCAGATTCGGAAGTTCGCCAGTTTACCGGTTCCACCAAATGCATACCACACCACCTAGGGTCCTAGGTCCCATCCCCATCAGTACCAGTGCCGGGTGCCCCAGGAAAAACGTCTACCACATAGAGGTCCAAAAGGGACTCGGTGTTGCTAGACGAAGTAACGATGAGATGAAACGGTCTTTCTGTCGGCAACATCGCAGAAAAAACCTACTCGTTACCTACTATTACCTACCTAGTAGGTATTCAACGCTACAGTTCTGTGTTGTTCTAGAAGCAACCCCTATTTCTCCAGGTACTCAGTAACTTACAGCACGTTACATGCCGTACCTAAAAATGATAGTCGAACCACAGTTCAGTATAACACCTGAGAAGAGATATCCTATACAGCACGGTTTAAGCATATCAGTTACCCCAAGGCAACATGTCCTGCAAGTAACGCAAACTCGGATTTCCGGCACAACATCTGCTACATCTGCTTCATATAACCATGTCGACGCCCTCTTTATTCGTATGTGTAATCTATCTTACCTTATGTATGTCTTGGCTATTAGTATGTCCTCCGTTTGTTTCGTTAATACTACCCATGATCGGACTCTCGATAACGTCGTTTTGACAGTTTTGAAGCTACGCGGACATTATGAGGTCCGAAATCCTGAATTGCGAGCCTGCGCTGGTAGCCAAGCCTATGGGGTTCAATGTGTATCCATCGCAGATGACATTAAGAAGCCTACTTTCTAGCAATGCGACGGCCTCTTTCTATGCAGGCCGTAACCAAGAAGTTAGACCCGTTGCCTGGATCGAATTGGGTCTGAAGCTCAATGGCTCTCATACAATTTCGAACTCCACGAGGCGCTTGGCGGTTATTATGTCTCATCCCAGATCCGGCCAGTCAGCAGACCTTGTCGATGCTATCCGCAATGGCCGCCTACTATAAAATGCCGTCTTGGCTGATGCCATCACCAACCTCACTTACTGTAGGCTTTCGCCACTCGGGACCGTCCGATCACGATGATGATGTCTCCAAATTTCTAGATGCTGCCTTGCAAGGACTCGGTGCCGACGATGCTTGTGGATGGATATCATGCCAGCGTTACGATCCCATGACAGCATGGTGAACATCCTACGGTTTTTGGATGACCTGCCGAGCTTGGAAATTTAGTCGTCTTTCGACGTTCCATGAGACTATTTACTGGAGGCGTTCTAGATCAATCGACTCTTCCGTTACGTGAAACCCATGAAGATGCATCGCCTAAGCCTCAGTCATGACTGGTCAGCGTTACCTTTTCGATACCATCATTCGATAGCGAGACGGCCTTCTCGACGTTAGCTTTTTGTCTAGCATAGGCCTGTAGTAAGCACTCGTCTGCATTTCTTCGTATAGAATAAATTTCGAATTTGCCTAAATATGCTTTGTGACCTGGCCGCGCAAACATCTCCACATCGTACATCTCGAGTCACGGCGTAACAGCATCGCTATAAGCATAACTTGCCGGCACTCTCGACCCCTGAAGGAGCAAGGATCCCCCTATCCACACCCTCTCATCCCCACAACCGATCGGCATAGTAACATTACATGCAGTCAATAGAATGATACCCACCTCCATAGTCGTACCTGACTATACCTAAGTGATGCTACCTAGTGGCTGGCTTAATGAGGCCAATGAAGATAATTTTCTCATTAGCTTGAAGCGGAATTGTTGGTACCGGATCTGCTGTATATGCAGGCATCGATATCGTCATGCTTGTCCCGCAAGGCGTTCGCAGGTGAGTAATATTGCCTTGCCTAGTCGAGTGTGGCTGGTGAGCTGAGACGATGGAAGCACTTATGTAACTCGTCACGAGATCGGAGAGGTTGATGACACTCTTCTACATAATGTGCTTACAGATTTGGTAGCCATCTTCTGATTGGAGCTTCACTGGACAAAGATTACACCATTGCCAACGACGACGATGAGGGTCTATAGCTCAGGGACGATAGATATCCCACGGGATCTGAACTTAACGGAATTCCTCCACAAATCCGCCTACCCAGATCTCCCGGAGTCTCACCTAATCGCCAAAGATAGTCTTACGAATCGTAGCATAACCATCGGGGAACTACGCAGCCGAGCTGGCAGAATCGCAAATGGTCTCAAAACCAAGCTAAACCCGGTAGACCAGGCAAGATGGGCCATCATCCTACCCAACAGCGTTGATTTCCTCGAGTTATTCCACGCGATCCTCTGGACCGGCGGCATCGTCTGCCCCATCAACCACGCCCTCAAAGCCACCGAAATCGGCCACGGACTCGCCGTCTCACGACCTCACTTCATAGTCTCCTACGGCGCCGTAGTCCCGCTCGTCAAAGGCGCCGTCCAACTCGCCAAAACCTCGCTCTCCTCGCAAGGCGTAACCTGGCCAATCCCCCAAATCATCACCATAATAACCCCATCCCCCAACCACCCTCACCTCCCCTCAGACTTCATCCAACCCACCCCCCTCCCCATCCCGCACCACCCCGACACACGCGTCCGCCAGGCCTCAATCCACCTCTCCTCAGGCACAACCGGCAAATCCAAAGGCGTAGCCCTAACCCACCACAACTTCCTCGCAAACAGCCTGCAGCTCCTCGCCCACGACGCCGCGCAGTTCACGCCGGACACGCGCACCGTGGCGTATACCCCCTGGACGCACATCGCCATGACCACGCTCCCCCTCTTCCTCGGCCCGTACACCGGGATGTTGCACCACGCCATGCCATCGTATTCCCTCGAGGAGTTCGCGCGGCTCGTCGGCTCGGATCAGGCTACGACGTTCCAAGGCGTGCCCAGCGTGGTCCTGCAGCTCGCGAACTCGGATGTTACGGCGCGGTTTGATTTTTCGAGAGCGAGGTTTATTAATGTGGGGGGTCCGTTGAAGAGGGAGGTTCGGGAGAAGTTGTACGGAAAGGCGCCGTGGAAGCTGGTACAGGTATATGGCATGACGGAGGCGGCGGGGTATGTGGCGTACCAGAAGGCCGGGGAGACGCTGGAGGATGGGGTTACGGGGAAGTTGTTACCCGGGATTGAGGCGCGGCTGGTGAGGGAGGGGAGGGAGGAGGATGTTCCTGAGGGAGAACCGGGTGAGCTTTGGCTTAGAGGACCGAATTTTACGAGGGGGTATGCGTTTGATGATGGGGCTAATGAGAGGGCGTTTTCGCGTGAGGGGTGGTATAATACGGGGGATGTGTGTCGGATTGATGCCGAGGGAAGGGTCAGTGTGGTGGGCAGGACGAAGGATTTGATTAAGTATAAGGGGTTCCAGGTTTCGCCGGCGGAACTCGAGGCGCTGGTTAATGCGTGCCCGGATGTGGTTGAGGGTGGTGTTGGCGCGGTTTGGGATGAGAGTCAGTTGACGGAACTTCCGGCCGCTTGGGTTATTTTGAAAGACGGGTTTGGGACAGTGGAGGGGAAGAGGAAGGCGTTGAGGGAAGTACATGATGCGGTTGATGCGCAGGTTAGTGGGTATAAGAAGCTTAGGGGTGGTGTTTGGGAGGTTAAGACGCTTCCTAAGAATGCGACGGGGAAGATATTGAGGAAGCAGTTGGTGGAAATGAGGGATGGGCTTTGCTCGCTTGAGGAGGGTTCTCTCAAGGCTAAGTTGTAGGTTAGTGTACAGACTATGAGAAAATGTAGAAGCTTTTGAGAAGTATGACGAGCAATTAAAGGTCTCTTGCGGTGTTGGTTTGCAGTTCTTGCTACTCTTACCCTTAACACTCAACATCAATCACAGACATAATGACAATTATTCTCACTAGAATCTCACCTGAAAATCACATAGGTACCTCTTATTAATCGTTGGATTATACAATTTGTATATTAATGCTTTACGTATCTGTCATTCAACAGTGAATAGGTAGGTAGGTAGCTACGTATAAAGGCTAGCCACTACGTCTACTTCTTGCCCTACGAGCTAGAGCTGTTGTTGTCTCCATTCCACACGAATGGCCTATCAATGTGACCACTTGGGTTTGGTGCCCCCGGGTGGTATGTAGATAGTTCCTTGCCCATTGGGTTCGCGTAGGTATCTTTCTTAGCCGGCGACTTGATGTAGGCGAAGGGTCTCTCACCCTGGCCTTGGTTGGAAGATGAGGGCATCTTGACGGAATGTGTTTTTTTGATACTTACAATATGTTTCCAGATAGTCGCGAGTTTCTTACTTACCTACCTACTTTTTGACGACTCTGTTTGAAATGTAGAAGACTGGATGGCGATGGAAAAGGATATCTAGCTAGTCGAAAGCCATGTAATATATAGAAACGTAAAGTGAACGCTTCACAAGAGACAGATGAATACGCCATTCATTAGTTACAATGAAATTATTGATTATTATCTTAACTACAAGGGGTTGATTGTAAACGGCATTGTGGATGCACCACAACTCTTTGCTTTGAAGCTATCAAAGATCTCTTAGCCTTAGACGTGGTGGTTCTTTGTCGTGGCTTTATTTGCTTCTAACTTCATGACATTGAGCCTACTGACATGTGGATTAGGGCTGATTTCCTCTACATACCTAGAGATATCGCTGTAGCCCTACTACTTCCCTACATCGTCAGCTATACTACGTAACACAGGTAGGGACAGATATAATATTTTCCAGTAAACATGGGATTTACATATTCAAATGAGTTTTGTCACGTAATGGACCTATCTACAAAATTAGCATATGCCCAGATCTCGCCAATCGTCCATATCTAGTTGTGAACCTACCTAATCGAGTTTCGAAGAGCTCTTTAGTTTCAGCCTTTACCTTTACCATGTACACATGGCATTACTATCTCCTACGCTACGATACTCAAGGAAGGTCGATCTGCAACAATACGTGGGTTAACAGCAGGTTTTATAGTTGAGCGATTGACGTCCTGTCTCTCAACCACATGGATTCGCCCTACCACAAACGTGGCCCGTCCATACCCAGCTCCTCACCTACCACACTAACGACAACCAGCCAAGAGCGCCGCGCCAATCTCGACAATCCCCAGCAGCGCAAGCCCTCAAATGGGAAACTTAGATCGCATCTAACCTAAAAACATAACGGTAACGAACGTCCCCACGCCTCGGCAGCGAGCGAAACGTGATTTTCGCACAACCTACTCGATAGGGGGTATTCTCGGCAGACGAGGCCAATCGCTAGAAATCCTGCCTTCTCGATTAGGCAATAGTTTTCTTCCTCCCCAGCTCGAAGGATCGCCCTAAAATCTAAGCTTAACAAAGGTCGAGACAGCTGGGATTATGCCTTGGATGACTAAACCGTGTCTAGCCTGCCTTTTTCCAGATAGGTAGGAAGGTAATGGGTAGGTAGGTAAGTGGTGCAGATATATGTAGGTATACATATCGTGGATGAGATTCTCCGAAGATATGCGCGGTGGATCTCCTCGATGTATGTCAAGACAGAACCAGCATCGACAGTGCAGATTACCTTCCCGCGCATCATCGGGCGATGGCAGGAAAATCAATCTTTGCTGCAGCGCGTAGATCAGACGAAAATGCGTGGACGGGGATGTTGCTGGACCACGTCTGCTGTGTCCTATTAATAACGGACTTATGTAGACGTGCTGCATCACGATCGCTTGTTTTCTACCGTTACGGGAATCCCAAGCAGCTCATCCATCATATGCTGTAAGTATGTACATACATACATACATGACATGCGAAGTGGAAGGATTTTTCGTCCCAATGTTGGCGCGGGTTGGGGTGCGAAGAAGTGGATATATCTCCGCTCTCACTCGCCGCTGTCTGACGCAGGGTCGTGGCGCCGTCGCGGCTGGGGCTTAGGTGTTATCGTATCTCCTTCTCGACTCGTCTACCTGCCTGCCTGGCTCTTTTGATGCGAGTTTATTTTCTGTGCCATGTGGTTTTCATGTACTTACTACTATAAGGCTGAGGAAAACCTGGGGTTTGCTTGACGTCTTTCGTTTTTATGCGCTTTTGTATGGTGTTAGCTATTGGTGTCGACGAAAATGTGTCAATGAAGATGCTGTTTTCTTGCGTTTTTTTAGCGGAATGTGCTGAGATGCTGTGTAATATAACCCGCTACAGCTTATAAATCAAAGCCGCTGACGATATTATTGCAGGAATCCTGAGAACTGCTGCAGGTCAATCGAATTGGGGGTCACATAGCGACTGGGCGAGCGCCTTTTGGAGATGTCGAAAACGCCCAGCCCCCATGTGTCGATTAGCAGTCGCCAGGGGTTTTGCCAGGGGCGTTCTGGGCGTTCTTACGACAGCGCGATGCTGATTAGCTTGACACCCACGTGGCGAGTTATAAGGTTAATTAATACCTTGCAGCGCTGAATCCTTCGCGACAGGGTCTTCCAACAGCCCTTAACCCCTTTTCCGATTGCGATGCACTCACCGAGGTAAATCCATACCTCTGTTAGTACCAGTACTCTCTGTAATGGTTTTACGACGGAAAGCTTCGGGGGATGAAGAGGTTTTCGTATTCTAAAAATATTGGTTTAACGAAAATTGATGCCTGCCCTTGCCCCTAATCCGCAGATCTGCGTTGCGACGCTGAAAAAAAGGTCTTCAAATGCACTGAGGGTTGCAAATGGTTGATCGGGGTATGAACGAGCCGGGCTCAGCTACTGTTTCGGAGCTACCAGCTCCAGCTCCAGACATACATACATACGAAAATGGTGAGGGTGAGCTATTTACTTACTGCGTAGGTAATATTTACATACGCTCAAAAGTTGGGCATCAAAAATGTCTCTGATTCTTCTGTTATAATACGTATTCGAGCGCGCTGTGCCGCTGCGGTACGGGTTTTGTAGCAGATGTTTTAGATATCTACCAACCAACTACCAACTAACCTCCAACACTTCCAGCGAAATCGCTAGGTAAAGAAAAACCAACACAACCTACGGAGCCATCCGAGCTAGCTTCGGGTGGGCGGCACTATCCTCTACGATCAACCCCACAATACGATACCCTCAGCTACGTCGATCCGCGGGGGTTGATCCTGTTCTTCTCTACATAATATTATTCAGATGCAGATTAACGTTACTTGGCGTGAAACCGACAAGGGGGAGAAAAGACCTAATAATAATAATGATAATAATCGATACAGTATTTAAAGGATCCGCGCCCCGGCCAGCGGTAGGATCGTAGCCGTGGACCTAGTCCTCATGAACATTTCATTAAAGTTGCTTTCTCCTCGCAGCTTCTCCGACGCGCTGTCTGTCGGGATCGTCAATTCCTAAAATCTCGCATGTCTTTGGAGAGAGAGGAAGGATAGTGGATGGGAGCATCGCCGAGCGGGGTTTTATGTACGATGTACGCCGTATTTAGGTATTCGAGATTGGAGGTATTGGAGGTATTCGTGTCTTCGAATTAAACCTGAAGCGTAGTAGCCGTAACCATATTATTGTATAGGTAGTATAGGTAGTATAGTATAGTATTGTATAGTATTGTATTGTATTATTCGGATTCGTGTCTCCACCGTCCCTCGATTGACGAATTGTTTGAAACCCATCGCATTATAGATACGCGTACCATGCAGGCAACGAGCGGATCAGGAACCGGCGGGATTCATCGCACCGAACTATCCCGCTCTATCCCGCTTATGCGTAACATATCGACACGCGCAGTGATGTATTGGATGGGTAGACAGACCGGACTGACCGGTCTGAACCTGGACCGTTGGAGACCGGAGCTGTTGACTCCTAGGAACGTTCCTATCCCAGTTAGCGATCAGGGGGTTCAATTACCATCAAGGCCCCCATTCCAATAACTTAAACATGCGAAATTCAAATCTCGTGCCTCCCATGCTTTTCCTTGTCACCAAAACCCGAAATCAAGTTCGGGGGACCCACTGTCCTTCCAAAGCCGGACCCGGATGGACGTCGTAGATGGAATTTGCCATATTTTCTCTTTTCTTCTTCTTTTATATCGCTGCCTAGCAATACTTCTTGCTAGCGACAAAACGACGGACGCTCCAAATAAGCTTAAGTGTCCTTAAGGTTGCGGCAGATTCCACGATACGAACTGCTCTAAAGCCGATCTTGGCAGGCGTTCGCACCGGCATCAATAGCATCGCAGGGAGTGCTATAGCACGCACGAGGCACGTTCCGACGGCAAGCGGGATGGAGTCGCAAAAGCGTTCGGCGCGTCCCTTGATTTGGCGAAGCTTCGGAATTCCTTAGGGCGAAAAGGGAAAGACCTAATAAGAAAGGGGGTCCGGTATTATAGAAAATCGTCAGATCCTATTGAGATAGTGTAGGGGGGTAGCCCTGTTCTACTTGCCGGGATATATCTGACCCTGGATCTCACATTAGTAGCAATTAATAGCAGCCAATTCACATGTTCTATCTTTTTTTCACTTGAATAACCGTAGGTATAAGTACAGGTATAAGTATAAGTATAGGTATAATAAGTAATAGGTATTTTTCGATGTGGCCCCTAAGTAACATTTATCATGTGTTTAAATTTCGTAAAATAAGAAAACATGATATCTTTCTATGGGGTTATAGTATTAGGGCCCTGTGGCCCTCGGAGGTATTTTCTTCGACGACGTGAAGAACTGTTTTGTGTAACGCGTGTATGATCCATGAATCCCATGCCTCGGGTATAGAGGGTTGTGTAAAAAGAAGAACCCACCAGCCAAAAGACGCCATTCCCATTAACCCCCCCAAATCCCAAAATCCTATGCTCCCCCCTCACTCCCTCCAAGGTAACCTTGTTTAACCTTGCAGGCGGTGGTATATCTATACCCACCCCGGCCAAGCCATTAAAGAAATGTGAAAAAAGACCCAATATTGACGGAGCAGCCCGCATTGGCGCAGATGCAAGCCAAGAAGAGCGCCGAAGCTTGTTGCTGTACAATCAATCCATGCGCTACACCCATCATCTTCAATACAGGTTAGACCTGAGAGAAAAAGAACAACGCACACACATAACATAACAAAATAGAACATGATATGGCATGATAGACCCCGTCCTAGACTCCAACATTAGGTAGATACAGAATAACAGTAGACGGAGAAACTCGAGACCCGATTGAGTTGATAAAAAATAAAAGGCTCGTTAACGTACACTCCGTTCGGTCGTCGATGTATTTAGGATAGGTTGATTAAGAAAACAAGAAATGGGTGGGGGTTCCATCGGCGTTGGTCATTGGGTCTCCATCTTGGCGTGGTGGCCCGTAAGCTCGGCGGTCCAGCTATCGTCGCCATCGACGATGGCCCCGCGTTCGAGAAGCAAGGCTGCCATATCCGTGCGTCCGGACATGACAGCGCGTTGTAATGCAGTGTACCCGGCATTATCGCGGCTATTCACGTTAACGTCGTAGCGTTGGAGAAGTAGCCTCAACGTGTCGATGTGCCCACCTGCGACTGCGAAGTGTAGCAATGGTGCTGTTGTCTCAGGAAACGAAGACCCGTGCATGTCCGCCATACCGTCCACCACGCTATTTGCCGAGGTCAGGAACGCCGATGTTAGTGACGAACTGCTCGGCCGTCCGCCACCGGCCGATTTCCGGTCAAGTGGCGACCAGCCCGCCTGGCTGTTGAGATCTGAATCAGGTGAAGTTGCATACGCATTGGTGCTGTGCGTGACTCCATCATCTAGCTGATATGTTGACTCTGGGTGGTACATGGATATCTCCTCCGGGTTATTATATACGCTAAAACTAGCAATTGACTAGGGTTAGCTAAAATACGGGCACGAAAATTACAATGAAAGAGCTACGTTGAAAAATTCATGTGTTCCGAGTTACAACACCAGGGTTTAGCTTACCTTGTAGATACTCGAAGTCCGTCGTGGCCTTCTGCTGCAGCTCCTTGTCCCCACGGCATGGGACTGGGGCAGGTAGATGTGTAAATCGGGGGTATGCTGTGACTCCGTAGGTGATGCGGGTGCTGTACGGGTGTGGAGGAAACGTTAGCTGTGACGGCACGGGCTCGTCGACCCGTAGAAGGTAGATCCGGGACGACATCATTCGAACCATGGACCTGGTGAAAATAGGAGGCTGTATCAAATCCAAGAGGGTTCTCTCCATCCGTCGTAAGTCCGAGCCCGCTCAGCTGTTCCGAGCCTGAAGCGTGAGGCCAGGTCTGCAAGTACTCGCTCATCCGCCGCGTTCCGTTTGGCGTAGTTGCCGACATATCGGCGTTTTGGGCGTGGGCGTCTCCCATGCTAGATGGACTCCTACCACCGGAAGGGAGCTCGTGCTCAGGCGGTGGCGTAGTCGAGGGGTCTGTACTCATAGATTGCTGGAGCTGTTGCAGTTGCTTCTTTAGCCTCTCCACCTCTTTAGTTCGATCCCTCATATTTCGTCCTTGAAGCTGTTAGCTCTAGGTAGGTAGAAAGGCTTGCAATTGCTTGAATAACTCACGGTATGCCCGCTGAGCGAGGCGGTTCTGAATTTTCCTCCTCTCCGCTGCATCAGGCAGATTCCTCCAATCCTCATCAGGCTTCATCAAGTCCACATACGAAGTCGTTAGCGGTCGACCGCTACGCGGAGAAGCCGTCCCTGACATGGCGAGAGGTTGTAGATGTTGAATTGGTGCTAGCAGTGGTGGTGGTAGCAGCAATGGGAGAAAACAATGAGTTGATGTTTTAGAAACGAAGGCGAGATTAAATGTAACACAGGCCGCAGTCGTCTTTGTGTTTCCTTGAAGAGAGTAAAAGCTCAGAGCATCGTGTTCCTAAACGTGGAAGTGAACACTTGTGGGTAATTGACAGCAGCACTGATCCAGTAGGATCAGACAGTAGTGCTGAGGGATTCCTTATGTCCTAATTTGTCTGAGAAGGCTAGCAGCAACGGGGAATAAATAGCGTTAGAGAAGATTGCTCGAAGTCTCCGAAACCCGGTAACGAGATGAGAGAGACGCCTCCCCCCCAGTAAATGTATCCGATCTCTCGTGGAGGGTTCAGCTCACGGGCCAGCACTAAGACTTAGAAACATGACGAAATGCCCGGGTATCCTAGTCGCTGATCAACCCACACGGGTCAGGGATGATTTGTGTTGGGAATGCAAAGCAATAAGTAAGGTAGTAGGTGGCCAGCCTATTCTTCTCTGTTACGCGGCTCGATAGGGTTGGTCGAAAACGCACACAGTTATCGAGAAACCCCAGAGAAGCTCGCTCCGGACGTGATGGAGCCCCTGTACGATTTACAGGCTAGACCACGGGAGATGTGACTCGCCAAGAGGACCCTTTCCAGCCCTTGACTAATGAGGTACTAGGCAAGCTTGGAAGAACAAAAAAAAGATTAGCTCGGGTGCTATGTAGATGTCCTGCAGATGTAAGTGATGTATTAGGGCAGCCCTCCGTGCGCTCAATCATACGCAGGGGTAGGAAGGTACATACGACCACATATCAGACATTGTGGCTTGCTCCGCCTCAAGAGTTTTAGTAGAGAGAGAGAGAGTAAAATAAAATACGTAAGGGAGCAAGGGGAGTGGGATTGTACACACCCCAGCAGATAGGCCAGTCAGTGGTGTGCGCTTTAGAAATCTGCTTGCATCTTTAGTGACGAGGTCAACGGTTCTTTGGATCAGCGGCACAGCAAGATGGCCTTTCCTTGGCGTCGATCCTACCATCGCCGCCACGAAAACCCCGTTACGGAAACTCGATAACCTGCGCTGTGTCTTCGTGTGTCCTCGTGTATGTCTGCGTCTGTGTCTGCTCCGTGTACGCTCTGTGTCCTGTAGCCGACGTTTCCCAGGTAAAAACTCATTGGTTCTAGGTCTTCTGGTCGATATACTCGACACCTGACTCGTATCCTACCGTCGTTATAGGTCGAAGGAGCTTCCTAATGGTAAAAATGGTAACATTGTCACAATAGCAGGATTGCCGCAAGTTTTTGCGAATCTGGCGCCATATGTGGATCGACCCTAGCCACGATGGTTATAGCATTATCATATCATCGGGTTATTTGGTTACCTGCCTTGTATAGGCATCCCGTGTTACTGTTCCTGATTAATCGACACGAGACATTCTGATAGCAGATCGCCCCCGGGCTGATAACACACTGAGGAAAAGCGCCCACACCCAACAGCGGGCGTGGCGTTGCTAGGCTCTTGTCAAACGAAAGAAATCAAATCGATTTGAGACAAGACTTTCTGCACGTCATATGGCACCTGGTAATCATTCCTTCCTCTTCAAGTCTAGGACGGATGGGTTACGGGCACCAAAGGCAACGCGGGCACCACGGAGACAGTATCGGGGCCGGACCGGGGTGTCGATCAGCCTGCCAATCTCATTGGACGAAGCTTCATGCACCCCTATCATGCCTGTAAGAGCTAAAATCCTCCGTTGTGCAACTACTGCCAGCGACCTGGGTATGTACCCAGGTACGTAGGTATCGACGTATCGACGTATCTACCAGGTAGGCAGATATGTATGTGTGGAGATGTAGATATGTAGGTATAATGCAGCGTAAGGACTCTAAACCGTAGGAGGATGTTGGACGAAAATATCGACGCCCTTGCCCACGTTCCCAAGGCGAGACGCCACCGTTGCGACGGTAATGTAGTCCCCTAATTCCCCTAATTGTTTTCTGGGAAGCCACTGACGTTATCGAAGAGGTTCGAAACGACCCAAGGCCCATAACAGCTCGAGATAATGAGGAGAATTGCCAGCGACCAAATGCGACGCCGTTCTCAGTTGCCTTCCACGGCCATATAGAATAGCAGCATAATTCTTAAATCGAACTCTCGGCACGGGTCGAAAGTGACGTTTTGTAGCTACCGTAAATGCACGCCGGTAGTTATAACTTAGATTGAAAAGAAACGGGCGCTAAGTTGCAACGAGATGATCGACTCGGTTGCAGCCGAATCTAGTCATTGGATCCAACAAAAGTTCAGCTTCGGATTGAGCACAAATCGAGTAGTAGCACTTATGCAGATGCACACTAAAACCATCCCAGTATCATCAGTGCTAACTGTCTGGCTTTCTGGCTGGCTGGCTGGGTTGGGGTCGACAGGGTGAGGAACGAGAAGAGTAGATGAGGGAAGAAAAATTGATGAACGTTCACCGGTTGCGCTCGCAGCAGGTTCGTTCGCGCATGGCCCGTTCCCCCAGATAGCTGTGCATTCTAGGCTTCCGGCTACCTGTGAGACAAATTATCTTATGCCTCTGGCAATAAGATCTGCAGAGTAAGGCACATCGACCAATTAGATTTCCGCAGTCCGAAACACGGTTCCTCAGGTTCCTTAGGTTCCTAACGCTGAAAATGTGGCTGGCTTGCTCAAACCATGTCCGCGATGTGTTAAATAGAGAGAATTTCCTACTACTACTAGGTAGCTAACAGTCGATTCCCAACAGCTTGGGAATAGATAGCAGGCCCTCTCGGCAAAGCGTCAAGGCAATTAATCTTCTAATTAGAAACAGGAGATCCGGTTCCAGGTGTCTGGAAAGGTCGGCTCTTGCTCGCTCATTCTGTACTGACATTGGTCACATAACGAAACGGCATTAGTAGTGATGGTGGTGGCCATGGTGGCCATAGCTACACGATGGTATGTTAGCCGTTAAGCGGATCTGCAGCAGGGTTTGATCAGGGCGTATCGGGGTGTATCAGGTTGTAATAAGGTCGGTATATAGAGAAGATCCAGGGTCCCCTCCGAGAAAACCGGATGATATGGTAGCGGGACTATCTGGGGAAAGAGTCAAAGGGCATCATGGCCACGACGAGTTAGAATCAGCCGGAGATACTCGCCTAATGTTCGAGAAGAAGACGAAACTCGCGCTCCGGACGTAATTATGTCGCCGGACTTTTGACCCGTCTCAGGATATTTCCCCAATTTCCCGATTTTCCAATTTCCCAAAGCGCATACATCACAGTACGTAATCTTGCGGTTTAGGATGGCACTTCCCAGTTTCGGAAGGGATCGCGATCTTCAAATTTCTTTGAAGGGCCAAGAGCGAGTGATGATGCGGCTTTGCAGCTTTGAGACGGATATCTGGAGACCATGCTCGGCGTGGGTGGATCTCGGGGCCCCGATTCTCTTCGAGGAAGCTAACCGAGAAGCGTTAGGTAAAGATAGGGGATAATGGGGGGTTAAGACGGCGACGATGTTCTGTATGGAGAAGTTGATGTAATCAGATCGACCACGAGGTGTCTCGCGAACACCCTCAAAAACAATCATGTAATCTCAAATCTCACACATAGAGACATACACACAACACACACACACACACAACATACAAACAAAGACCTCTGATAGCCTTTTTCGGGTCTTAGAAATCAACGAACTAGCGGGGGCAGACTAAGCAAGATGATTCAGAGGCCACGGAGGAAGGTTTTGAACCGGTAACCACTGGATTGGGAAATGGGGTTAGACTTGTAGTTCTTAGGTGGTCCTTAGGTGGTTCTTGGGTAGCTCTCCAGCCGCATCAGTAATAGCAGCAGTAGTATTAGCAGTAGTAGCAGAAGTAGTAGCAGCAGAAGTAGTAGCAGCAGCAAGCAATGCAATGCTGTGACTTTATCATGAGTGCGGGACACGGATGCGAAGTGAGCTGTAACGAGAAGGTAACGAGAAATTGACGAATTGGTGTGGACAAATGGGACAGGTAATCCTTGCATGACAACCTTGGAAGCGAGAATAGCAGGTTGAAAGATCGTTGAAGAGGGTTGTAAAAGATTGAAGAGAGCTTGAAGCTGGGCGCCCAGACCCCGTTAGACTTAATTAGGACTCGATTGGGGGCAAGGCGGGGGATAAAGGTCTTGGCATTGTACCACCACGTCCACACCACAAAGAGTTAAACCCATTAAACCCATAAAACCCCTGGAAGGGGATAGGCTCTGTGCTACTGCAGATAGGGAAGGGGCAGGGGGACAGGGGGTCAAAATCGTAAGGGGGGGACCCCTCTTTATCACCTTGTCACTTTGTTACTTTGTCAGTGTGCCATTTTATTCTTTTTTTTTACTCTTCTCCATACTCCATTACCATACTATACCTAGTACCATACCATCTTCATTACACAGCACGCAGCACACAACACCCAGTACACAGCATACACCTATGTATGTTTCGTATTTACTGCCAACTGCAACCATATTGTGGTTCCGAAGAACAGTAATAATCCCCGATTTCGCGAGCTCATGATCACGAGGAGATCTACTTGACCTCGACTTTGACCTTTTCTTTCTAATCATGAACACCAACACGACTTAGGAACTTAGGAACTTCTGTCATGGTGCTACTCACATTACTGCTAGTACGGCGCAGGACATCAGCTTCGACTGTCGACGTGGGGAGTTAGGATTCGTACTCCTACTCGCCCGACGGTCTAGATAGAATCTAGACTGCGAATAATTTAATAGAGAACCTGACGTATCCAATAGGTCTATCCAATCCCCTATAAAATCTTTAACGACTACCTAATATATACCTGCTGTACCACTAATCCTAACCAAAATAGGGACGAAGGATCACTAGAAGGGAGATCCTTCTGCAATTAAAGCAGGGGAGTGTCTTCAGCACAGCCCGTAAAATTCGTCAGCCACTGTAATTTTGCTTTGCGGCACCTGAACCCGTCTGAGCCGCAAGGCGACCTAGCCCTAGCTGCCTGGAATGGCGCAGCGCCCTACAAGCCCTACGAGCCCTGTCCATAGCTGTCTCTGATGTCGGGTAACTGTAAGCTTCGAATGCCAAGGATCTAGCTTACAAGAATCATCACGATGTCTGGGCTCATTTTATCGACTATCTATATCCTAGGTAGTCTCTTCTACCAAAATATCCATGAAGGCGCACGTGGAGTTTGATCCTGAATACAGTAGCTTGAGGCTCATCTTCCGAAGTATTTCCTGAGACTCCAGAAGCTAAGCTTCGCCTCCTGTGCCAGGTGTTTACCAAGGCAGCGTGAGCGTGCATGGTCTGAGACGGGGATGAATGTCAGATATATCTAGACAACTGCCAACCGGTCATGATGATCATCTGGGCACTATACATAAGACAATATACATATCATATTTACAATCTCAAATCGCATCTTACAGTGCATATCTCCGCGATCCTTCTATCGGATCCGGCTACGAGGCGAGGAGCTATTGTGGTCTCCGAGTCGCCCTTCAGGCTACACAGCGTCAAAGATTGCATCTCGTGTTCGCTGACACTGTCCAACACTGCATTGTCTCTGAAATATTTTTAGCTCCTCGCTCGCTAAGACATACCCGACATTCGACGTCGCCTCGCGTCGCAAATTAGATACCCTTAGGGGGGAGAGACCCCACAGTGCGCTCCAGCTCCAGCTCCAGCTCCAGCTCCAGCCAGCCATGGTATATCAACTGTTGGTAGCATCAGTCGTGCAGCTTGTAACACGCGATGATGACGACGATGCGGGGGACAACGACGGGCCGCGCGACTGCATAACAGCCACCCCGGGACCGAATGGAAACGTGCCGACATACGCCTGCAACTCCTATTACAATTTCGATCCACAATTCGCCCCTGCCGTCGCCGTCGCCGTGCTATTCGGCGTCCTCACCGGGGCCCACATAGTCGAGGCTATCATCTTCCGCAAGGTTAGGAGAAACTATTCGAGATAAATATGCCCTCTTTGGAACCTCCGCTAACATGACCATAGAGATATATGTGGGTCTTGATTATGGGGGGCATATGGGAAACGGTAGCCTTCATCCTCCACTCTTTGGGGGCTCGGAATCAGCAGAATGTTGGGTATGCGACGGCATGGCAGATTCTATTCTTGCTTGCACCCCTATGGATTAATGCATCCGTATACATGACATTTGCCAGATTGTCGTGGTTCTTCCTACCAGATCAGAGGATCGGCGGGATCAAACCTGCATCTATTGCCAAATATTTCGTCTGGGCTGATGTTCTTACCTTTCTCGTCCAAGGCGTGGGCGGTACCATGGCCTCTCCGACTGCAAGCCCGAACATCATCAAGATTGGTCTCGACATATACTTGTCTGGAATGGGCTTACAGCAATTCTTCATCATGCTATTCTTAGTCCTCATGGTTATATTCCACCGTCGCGCGCAGGCGAGCCCCCCTGAAGTGGTATCGGAAACCGGTGAGAAGAAACCAGGTTGGAAACCACTTCTGATAGCCCTCTATGTCGTTCTAGCCCTCATAACGGTAAGTAAGTCCGATAAGATATTCTCGTTCTTTCCTGATAAATTCCAGATTCGAAATATGTATCGCATTGCAGAATTCGCTGGTGGTATCACGCCTTCAAATCCGGTTCCGTCGCACGAGGAATATTCTTATTCCCTCGATTGTTTCCCGATGATGCTAGCTCTTTTGATACTCGCTATCTGGCATCCGGGCAGGACACTCGTTGGACCCGCCAGCGAGTTTCCTCACAAGTCTAGAGTGGAGAAGAAAAGAGAAAAACAAGAACGCAAGGCGGCCAAAAAACAAGCAAAGTTCGACAAGAAGTGGCCTAAAAGCAGCCAAGATGCACCTCTCCCAGGTCACATCGACGAACCTGTAGAGTTAACTAGATATCACTATGACACCTTGGCGAGATAGGCAGCCTAGCCAAACGGCATAAGCCGATTATGAACTACTATTAGCAAATTAGCGAGGGAAAAAAATCAGAAAGTTCAACGTCGACTTAAGATATTACGTTTTTGATGAGAGAACAAATGTCCCTTGCTTTCGCCACTACAGTAGATTCGCGAATTGGTTTCTGTAATAGTCAATTCGTGAGTTTATGATTGTTAAGTTTAAGATCTACTAGTGAGTAACAAGAAATGTCGAATAAGGGGCTAAGAAAAATGGGTCTATAGATGGCATCTAGATCTATAGTGAATCAACCCCAGGCTATAACCAGCAGAATGACAGATTCGGTCCGATATTAGCATAGGGCTTATCCTCAAGAGAAGCTATGAGCGTATTTCAATCGTGAATGACGCGTCTGGTTTCCATTTTTCCAATTCTATAACGTATAATCGGAAATTTGACATGAATTATTCGTGTGTGATAGTTTTACATAAACATCGTTATATAAAATTACCAATGTGGGCTCCTCCTTAGTCCTTTTGACATTTCCTTACGTAAAGCGCTTGTTTGAAGCAGCTAGCTATGTAACCGGATGAAGATCTGCCGTCAATGAAGCTTGTGATTTTACGAAGCTTCGCTCTAAATGTAAATGCCGCACGGTATTCTCCTCTTAATTACATATACGAAAATGCAACCGGGGATGCTATAGCTACCGGATGGGTCTAAGATATCTACCCCTTAGCTAAGAAAAAGCATCGCTAGCTTGATTCCTAAGAACGTTGTTAACTTAAACCAATCAGAGGGAACTAACACATCAGATATTTTAGTATACCTCCAGCTAAGACTCAAGTAACCCCCACGGAAAGCACAAAGACAAAAGAACCCCTTGGTCCTAGCTGTTTCCCCATAATCAGCTAGAAGCAAGCTATACTGGATCTAAGGCGAATCGAGCACGTGAAAAGGGTGACCGGAGACCGATGTCACAGTAAGCGATATCGGTTGATGACTACATGGCATCTCGAGGAGCAGGGGGTGGAGATCTGCACCTTGTCGAATTAGAGTTGTTCCAATGCTTCCAGAAAACGGCTACGAGCTAGGAAGCTCCGGTTTATAAGCCTTACGGCATACCAGCGCACTAGCTCGGCGGCGGCTTCAACAGGACTACAATCCTACCTGGCTAGTCCTATCGATCTCAATGAGCCTCACACAAAGCCGGACCCATCCCCCGACTCGGCAGCGGCTAACGCTAGCTGCCGCTCGAACCAAACGCAGTCCAAGTTTGGGAAGCCCGTTTGTGGCGACACTTTCACATGTGCCTGTCCGATAGAACCTGTGTCTCCCTTCGCCGGCGCTGCTTACTCTGGCCGGGGCTAGGGGAGGAGGGGGGAAAGAGATAATACATACCTAAACGCCGGATCGCAGACAGCTCAGGCGAAGGTTAGTTAGTTAGGTAGTTGGGAAAAGCAAACCACGGGATGGCGTCTGTGATGGGGGAGCACAGAGATTCGATAGGACACGCCCCTCCACACACAACGAAAGAGGCATGACTAAAATGGAATTTTATCGCGAGTGCGGATTGTGGCGAAGCTAGAGGCCCGTTAGGGAAGGAGGGAAACGAAGACAGCCGAAGCGAGGCGGTGATTGGTGAGGCCGCCTTGCGAACAGCCAGTTCAGGGAAAGTCGCCTTATGTCACGTCAAGTCACATTGTCGGGGTAAAAATAATACGCGGAAATAGGGCGGCGAATGCCTGGCCTGGTGTCTTGGGTGATAGTATCACCAGCAGCAATTATCTGAAGAACAATCGAGAACTAGCTAGAAGGGGTGAGGAATTACGGAGAGAATGCAAGAGAAAGCAAAAGATTCCTGTGTCGTTGTTGTTCTGTGAAAACCGTTCTTCTGTGCCGTCTGTGTAGCCACAAAGAAGCTCCATCCTTTCCAAGCAAATGAACAATGTCGTGCAGAAGCTGTACCAACTGTCGGCGATTAGGCCAGGGGTTTTGTGCGTGCTAGGTATCATAGGTTAGCAGCCTGAGCATACCATGAAGTATTATTCCTGTAAAATAGGACTTACCTTTGCGTTAACCCAGCTAGGTATTGCAGTTCATTCAGACTTCTGTTCCCATGTAGTCAAGCCGGATTGTTGCCAACGAGCAATTTAGGGGGAGGGGGTAGTGACTTGAGCATTGCCGACTGCGTAGATGGTATCGTTATCGCCGACAAAGCCACCCATGGCGACAGGATCATCGGCAACAGGATCAGCAGCGACAGGCTGCACACTGGTGGAAGCGTGAGCGTTATCGTGAGAATCGACCACGCCAACATCGTCACCAGACTGAGTCTCAGTAGCAGCCATGTTGTCGTGGGTGACGCGGCCAACAGGCTGGGACTTCTTGGCACCGCGGCGCGGAGCCATGTTCTTGGCAATCTGTCGCTGCTCACCCTCCGAATCATCGGCGATATCATTCTTAGCATTCTTTGCAGGTCCCTTAGTGACCTTCTTAGCAACTCGTGCCTTCTTGGCCTTCAAGGCGTTGGCAGTCGGATCGTCGGTGGCAGGAGCAGCACGTTTCTTTCCCTTTCCGGAAACCTCGCCTCCTTCCTCTCCGGCATCGCCACCAGCCTTATCGGCACCGGTTTCCGCCTTCTCCTTCCATCCCTCGGGGATCTCTTCCATGAAGTTGCGACGAAGTCGCTGAAACTGTTGCCTGTAAACGACGACGTTGTTAGAACAGCTCTGTTTCGCATAGGTAAAATCGTGTAATTAGGGGCGAAAATGTATTTTCCCCAAAGGTCATAGTAATAAAGGGGATAATGTTAAAGAATAATTGGATTCGGTCCAAGGGAAAACTTACTTTACCGCCACCATTGTGTACTTTCCCCCAAACAAAACCTGGGCCTTGTCACCGATTGCCTTCCAGCCACTTACACCCAGGTTCGGGTTCTCGTGCTGCATAATAAGCAGCATTACCTTGAGGCTGTCGTCGGAGGTCCACGCCTTGGTCGACTGGCCGCCCTCGCTGGGCTTTGGGGCAGTAGGAGTTGCTTTGGTAGACATCTTGCTTGTTCGAACGTTTGTAAAGAGGTTGCTGACAACTAAGTTCTTTTCACGAGGATAATGTTAGCAGGACTTGAGCCTAGTTGTATGGGGGATTTATTGTGATGTTGGTGGTTGAGTAGGGTGTAGGATTAAATTTTAGGAAATATGAGGTTGCTTGATGAAAGTATCGAGGTTTCTGTGAGGTGAAAGGTGGAAGAGATTCCTAGAAAACACTTGCTGTGGTTTGGGGGGATGTTTAGGGTAAGAAGGTCGCGTTTGGTGTTTTATTTACAGTGATGAAAGAAGTAATCACCGAGAATGGATAGATCAAGCCGATATACGACTTCGAAAATTATGGATAGGATGCTTTGTGGATGGAAGAGGTGAAGAAGATCTAATGTTTGATACTTCTGTTGCGTGTGTCGTGATAATATAATCAAGGAGTGAAGAGGAAATATTATATTTACCTTTTTAAAAAGCTGGCGTTGGGATTTTTGTTACTCGCGTGATGAGGTTAGGATGGAAGAGATTTGTAAGTAGGAGTTCCTCGAAGATTGGTGTTATGGGTAGTGACGGTAGAGGAAGTGGTGTTGAAGGTGGGCTCTGCGTACTGGATAGGGAGATATGGAGATGGATGGGTTAGGATTGAAAATAAAAGGAAGAGGCAAGAAGGATATGAGTAGGTAGATAAGAAGGTATTCCAGGACCGGGATAGTATCATGTATCTGGGAAAGTCACAGGTTGTTATTTTTCGGGTACAGAATGGAAAGAACTGTTGTTAAAGTCGGATGGATAGTTGCCATGACTTCCAAGTATAATTCCGTACGATAATACTCCGCAGTTGCCACTCAATATCAACACAAATCTCTAACCTCACCACTATATTTGACGAAACGTGTAGATAGGTACCTTGGTGATATACTCGTGTTAGTTACGCTCGCAGAGTACCTATATACCTAAGTATATAACGTACCTGTCTATTTGATCCTTGTTAATCATGGACATCGTCAAGGCTGATTAGCTTACCTAGAGGATACTTTGATATAATAATTTATTCCTATATTCATCTTAGCCATTCCTCTACATATTAGATACTAATTCTAGGTAAATAATATTGTAATAAATATGACGATATTGTCATATTCTCATCTATAAGGTTGTTAACGACTGCGATCCTTTTCTCGCTAGTATTATACGCGCAATATACCATATCTAGTGCTGGAGATTAGGGAGATAATTAAGGATAAATACCAGGTAAGTACCTAAAAAGGAAGCATATACCTACGGACACTTACCTATTAGGTACGTACCAGGTATATATCCATATCAGTTAAATATTTACTTTGATCCCATATCCACCTAGTACTAAAAACAATACTGTGCCATGTGGCCAAACCGAGATTTATGGTGGCCTTAAACCTGGGGAATCTCGTCACCCGCCATCGAAACTGTCAACCTTAAACAGGGAACCGCATCGACAATATCTGCCAAACTAACCAATGGAATAAAAGGAGACATCTGTTGATTGGATTAGTTGTTTTTCCATAGAATATTATTACCTAAACTTCTTTGTTCTTTCTTCTTTTGCGAGACAGTTCTGCACTGTCCACAACTTTGACCACCAAATCGGACAAAATATATCTATTTGCACTTGCAAGACCTTGAACACTAAAATGGATTGCATTGTAAATAATCACTGTCCCTGCACGGTCTAGTGAATCTCTACATTAATCTGCCTCCATTTCTCCTACTGAATTCTTCTTCTCTCACATCAAGACCAAATACCTTGACCACCCTCCTCAGACTTAGAACACAAAGATAAATATAGCTGCTAGACCACCACATCTACCAGTAAGTCTAGGATATTGCGACACTGAATCTACAACCATTCAAATCAAAATCTTCCAGATTCGCCGTCCTCTTACGTCCTGATTTGGTCGCTCGCTGGATCATTCTTCTACCAAACCTTTTCTAGTCGTTAACGCTCGTCGGAAAAGCAAAGGTATGTTTATCTTCCCTTAGACAATACCGAACCTTTCAACATACTTAGAGTCATGATTCACTAACTACCTGGTCAACCCTAGATGACGGCATTGCCTCCTCCCCAGTTTCTAAGCCAGTACCTTCCTGACGCTGGCTTCCAATGGATCACCATGCACAAAACCCCCTTCACCACGTTCGAGCAATGTGTCGCCATCTGCGGAGCTATGACTCGGGTAGGAAAGCCTCTCACCCAGTCTGACGTCACCCAGTACATCGCAGACATCTTCATCACCGCGCGTGCGATGGCCGGTCAGTGCGGAGACATGGAGCCAGACAAGTTCTGGCACAAGGTCGCCTCGCGTCGAACCTGGTCCTACGGTCTTCAAGGCCAGGACCTCTTCGACTTCGCCCTCCGAACTATGGCGGCTCGAGTTACCTTCCGTCACCGCGTCCGGGTATTCCACCAAGAGTCCAACGAGACCGGCGATATCCCACCCAGATACCGCAACCGCGACCACAGCATCGCAAACGCGGCTGTCGACGACTGGATCGCAACTGTCATCCACAGCTACGGAGTGCGCTCCCGAACAAGAAAAGTCTACTGTCCTGACGGATTGACCGAGCCCAGCGTCGGATGGGCTCCTATCGGCGCCTATATGGAGGCGAAGATGGCTGGCCGTACCAGCATTCAAGGATAAGGGAGGAGAATGATGGCGATATTCTGAAGTAAGGGACTGGGGAGGAAAAGTTACTTTGCCCTTTCGTGCAGGTCACACTCTACGGTTTCTAAACAGAACGCCTATGTATACTTGACTATGGAGGCAACGGAATGATTTTTGCGGATGTCTTGTAGCAGAGATCCTTCGTGATGGGCTATGTGGTCGTCATGGAAATTAGATCCGGCTATTATTATGCCTTGACAAAGGAACTTGCTACTATAGCTTATTGCCCCATACGATTGCGTGTCTAGAAATCATGTGAACCTATAGTAAATTGGTTAAGTTTAATGATGTATGTGTATTAATACCTAGTGTAGGATACTTGAAGTAAGGTCCATTGAGTCCACGAGGTACTGTACGTCGCTAGCCCTGGGAACAAAACAGACAAAGAGCCTCGTCTGAATGTATACCGTGATCTCCTGAGTGAGAGTAGTTGAGAGATCCTCGTGACAGAGTAGAGCAAGATATAGGAATTTATTGCATCTTTTTCCTTCACATTACTCTAATTAATTAGGAGTGGTTCTGGGAGAAAATCCCGAGTAGACTTCTTTAGAAGTGCTTCAGAATCTTAGGCGAGGTGTACACGTAGTCCTTATAATATTCAATATAACAAAACTAATCATCAAATGCGTTAAAATATATGCAGATTATGAGTATTGTTGAATGTGGAGGTCAAGGGCACTGCCTTTCTAGGTACAGTACATGGCTCCTTGGCAGGAATGTGTATATAGATAGGACGACCCCCATCACTCATTCAGTTGAAGTGACAAGTAATACAAGATATTCAAGCCTCATATACCGTATCTTTCAGCAAGTATTATATTTGTTGATTAGAATGTTAAGTTTTCAGGTATAGGTAGTAGTTTATACATAGTACATATATGGATACCCTTTGAATACGGGACGTAGTGCTCAGGTACTAAATATGTACCCAATCTAGGCTGTTATTTTAAAGGGGAAAAGAAAATATCAAGGCACACAAGTCAATGAATAATTTCAGTACTAGATACCCGCCAAAAGGAGTATATAGGTAGATAAAATATAACCCAAGTACCTAGTACCTAGTAGGTATGCACAAGGTACCTATGTACTAAGGTAAGTACTAAAAGCTGCTAGTTGAGATGATATCCAGCTCCCTAGGATATGAAAATCTTGGTGGCTGCCTAGGTGATTCTGCCACTCGATCTCGATACTGTCCCCCTAATTTGATCTCCGCCTTGCTCCCCTCCTCCCCTCCTCCCCTCCTCCCCTTCTTCCCACTGATAAAAATAATTACAAACCTTCTTCATAAATGGACATCTACTAACTTGTTCATCTACACAAGTTGACACCAACATCTTTTCTTTTATCTCCATCCTCCCCGCCACCTCAACCTTTCAACTCGACCATAAATCTTTTCATTTTCGAATCTTATTCCGTCTCCTGACTACTATTCCTCAATAGGAATCAAATTAGGTATATTATTCTTTCCTATATCTATATTCCATGTTTATTTTCAAAGCATTTCAAAATTATATGTCGTAAACGCGACTAGACTTCCTAACCCGCCCCACTCGTACATATTCAGTCCTCTGTATTTCAAGTACGCGTTACACTACTATTTTCCTGATCAGTCTCTAATCCTCCCTCACCTAAAATACTATTATCACATCAAAACAAATTTTACTATCAAATAGACTAACAAAAGACCGATTATAGTTCATGGGAAACTTGTACTAGCCGCCACTTTGAACTGGACTTTAGATTATCTTAACCTCTTGATAATCTCCAGTCATGCCGAGGTTTGTCGACCCCCATCCCATTGTGTTAATTATTAATCATTTATGGATTGGATTGGTAACTTACGAGCTTATTTCTAGATCGAGGGTCAAACATTCAACGCCCCTTCTCATCCAGTTCCTTCCGGATGAGGGCTTCAAATGGGTGTCGACTCGTTCTAGGCCCTTCGTGACCAACAACCAAGCTCGCCGTGTTACCAAAGGAATGAAAGGCAGTGGAAAGAAGATGGATGAGAAGTTCGTAGCAGAGTGTCTAACAAATCTCTTTTCTGTTGCGCGCCAGTTGGTTGGAAGATGTCAAAAGGTACAGCCGCATGAGTTTTGGGGCGAGGTCGGATCACATCTCGTCTGGGCTCGTGAGCTAAGCGGCTCTGACCTGCTAGACTTTTCCAATAGAATTCTTTCCGCCCGAAACGCCTTCAGGTCCAAGGTACAGTTCTACGGGGAGAGCAGAATGCCTGTCGAAGAGATCCCCGAAAGATACCGGACTTGGGCTGACAGCCCCCTACTCCAAGCGATGCAAGAGTGGACACATTCCCTCCATGAGACTTACGGTCCATTTTCGGAGGAAAGGCAACTATACTATCCTCAGTGGCTAGTAGACTCCGATAATGAAGGCACTGCCGAAGCAACGCAAGAAAGATTCGAGGAGCGACTTGAGGAGATGCGAAGAATTCGACAGCAACGAAGCGAGCTTAAGGACAATGAAGGCCAAGAGACTGAAGCTGGAGTTGCTAATACTGATGGTCAGGATGTAGAAATGGAGGTTTCCGAGGGTTATAACGATCCTGACGATGAGGATGATTATCAGGACGATTATGAGGGTGATTATGACGATGGTTACGACGATGAGGATGATGAAGAGGGCTACTATGATGAAGGGGACTACTACGACGAAGAGGGCTACTACGACGAGGACGACGACGAGGACGACGAAGAGGACTACGAAAAGGATGATGAGCAGGAGGAAACAGAGCACAAGGATATCGAGATGTCAGATGCTCAGGACAGTAGCCAGGCTGGGATTTCTGCAGAGCACAAGGATATCAAGATGTCAGATGCGCAGAACGATGCCCAAGCTATCGTCTCCACAAAGGTTTCTGCAGAGCTCCCTTTGCGTCCTCATTAAGAAAACAGTAGTGTAAGATAGTCACCTCACATTCCACAGGACGACTCATTAATAAGACGGTTCTCTTAACAATTTATAATGCGAATAGGTTCCAATCCATGCTTGTGATAACATAATACTCTCCACGTAACAGAATCTAGTAGAGATGAAAAATCCTAGCTAAAACAGCATGTTAGTGAATGCAACTCAGAAGAACAGTTCTCAAGGTCTGGCCTATTATAGTACTACCTATTGGTTATTCATGTGGTATGATCGAGGTTCGGCCTGCGATGGACGGTGGGAAGCCTTAGGTAGAGGTGCATGGTTGTTAGGTACCTACAAGGTAAGCATAGATAATAATGAATGTATGGCTTCTCGCGTAATTCAAAGGGAAATCGAAGGATAAAGAGATATCATATTTGGATATTTAGGAGTAGGAGTAAAGGATCAATATGGTCGCGTATGATACACAAAAATAACTTTGTCTACATTCATACACTATTACGGGTATGATTAAACGGAAATGGAGATTGAATTATGCCGAACGAAAGATAGGTATATAAGTATTAACATCTGCCTAGTTGTCTAACAGCTGAGAAATGGCACTTTAGGGGTCAGTTGGCTCAATGGTGAGCGCCTCGAAACTCGAATCTAGGCACCAGTTCGATCCCGACTGGTGCCATTTCTCAGCAGGAAGATTTTCTCCTGATACCCCGACTCAAACTCGGGTGGTCAATGCGGTAGATTCTCTTATATTCAACCATCGAATGATCCTTCCCATAGTTGAGTTAGATGCACTGAACAAACCGTATTCGGTGCAGAAGGCGATGAAGACTTGGGTTGCGTGGCTTGGCTAATTAGGCGCATGAACCCCCTTGATCTTAGTAAATAATACAGGATGAGACCATCTTTTTTTTCACCTTGCTCCCAAAAGCTCTCACTCTCATATAATTTAACATGAGTACTACGTACGTAGCTACTATCATCAGGTCTACCATCAACAAGCAACATATTGGTAACGTTTTACACGCATAAAATATCGATGTATATTTACGTATCCCCAATCCTAATCAATCACATGCAATTAAGTAGGCATCTTTAAATAGAAATATTATTAGCTGAACAGGACTTTTTAATGAATGGATATAATTTCCGACGCCGTATACCCATAGAAGGGTGAATCTACCTAGTAACGATTTCTTAGCACACAAGAGTATATATGCTCGCTAGTTTTCATATGTGAAAAGGGACTGTCAGACATCGGTCTTCCTCCACGTTGGTAGCTAGAGGTCTACGGGATCTGGATTCGGCCCATAGAGTCCTCATGAGGGTCCTGCCGGCCGCTAGTCCTAGGAGCAGGACATACAAGGAGCTTCACCTGTATGTATACCGCGTTTTCCATAGCGAGAGTAGTTAGGAGCTCCTCGCGAAACAACGCCGTTGTTTCCTAGTCTTTTGGGTCCGCCTCGTGACAAGGGCTATGTGTCGTGCTATCGGACTAAGCCTCAGGTTCGATGGTTTTATACTTGCCGATTGAGCCAAACCATCCAAAGACGATAATCACAAGTCGGACGACTTGCGATCTATTACAGACATTACGGTCAGTCCGTAACACTATACCCAATATCTTATTCTTAAAAACGCTAACTAGGTCACATTAATCACAATCATCCATTAAAAACAACATGAAAATCTAGTTCCCGCATCAAGTATCGACGAATTAATATGAATATTTTTTTCTATCTCCCCTTTTAGTAGAATAACAACCGCCTATTGCCTATTTCCTTAGCTACACGTTCCATAGCCCTGCTGACATCCCGTGCCGCAATAGGCGGCGCCCGTTCCACAATACCCGTATTGAGAGCAGCACATACCAGCCGCGCATGTGAATCCCTGTCCGGCTCCGCAGACTCCGTTAGATGATGTGGGTAGGGACGAGCTCGAGCTTGAGCTCGAAGTACTGGATGTGGACGTAGAAGACGTGGAAGACGTAGACGAGGAGGAAGATAACGAGGACGTGGAGGATGTCGGAGACGTAGAAGATGTGGAGGAGGAGGAAGACGTTGAAGACGTCGACGTCTTTGAGGTCGTTGAAGAGGATGAAGAGGATGAAGTTGAACTCGGAGCCGAAGTGGAGCCGCTCGACACGGAGGCCTACTAAAAATAAATTCGGGCTTACGTCAGCGTGTTATTTCCCGCCAAGACTGCTTAGGCATCTCTTACGTAACCAAAATGTAGATAAAAGCCAATGAAGTAAAAAGGGGCAATAGGGGGTGGGGAAGGGAGAAAGAAGGAAAGTTCAATTAGAACGAGGATGGAGGGAAAGAACACTCACCACGCAAGAGAGCTTCGTATCAGTCGACGAAGTATTCAAATCCTTCTTCATGTTCTGGTAGAAGTTAAGGCCGTTAGCCACATTGGCCGCAGCGTAAGTCGCTTCCCAGATGCTCATCCCGCCGAAGTTGCTGCGGCAGTAATACGCGCTTATCAGATTCTGCGCCTGCGCCGGCGTGACGAGGGACGCGGCGCTCGCGGCGCCGCTGGAGCCAGGGAGTCCGATGAAGAGGCGCGCGTTCTTGCTCGGCGTGCTTGAGAGCCATGTTACCCATTGGTCGAAGGTGAAACCACTAGTATTGAACGATCCGCCGGATTTGTAGTTTGGGTTCGCGCTGACCCAGGCTGCTGCGCTGCATTGCGGCGTGTTGTAGTACTGGATGAAGAGCATGTCGAAGGTGCCTTTCAGAAGTACGCCTTGCAGGTTTGCGTCTGGTACTATGCATTGCGGCGATGCGGTCAGGTAGTATGTTCCGGAGACACTTGCATAGTTCGTTCGCAATTGTGTTGCGAGAGCTGTGTATCCGGCCCAATTGTCTGTGGGCTGGTGCTCGATGTCTAGGTCGAATCCGTCGATGGCGAATCCGACGCCGTTGTAGTCGAAGGGGCGTGGCTTGCCGGCGTTGACCCAGGCCGTGGTGCGCGGACCGAATAAGCCCCACAAAAGGTTCGCAAAGGCAGTACCGTCGGTGGCGCCTGTGAGCTGATATTGGGTCGTCGCGCCGCCGAGGGAGAGCAGGATCTTCTTAGATGGATAGGATTTCCGGCATGTGTATAGATCTTTCTGGATCGCAGGGCACTGGTATAGGTGGTTGTTGACTGTATTGTTGGTACCATTATAGCCAGGGCCCGCGTACACGGTGCCACCGCACTGGTTACCGAAATTGACGCCCGGATAGCCGTTGGCTTGAGCTGGGAAGAGGTATACGAAGGAGAGTACGATGATATCGATGCTGGAGTCTGCGCAGTAAGTGGCTAGCCCGGCTTGACTAGGACCTTGACCCTGTTTAAGGAAGAAGGTTAGCGTATGTAATAATGTGAATGGATGTGAAAGGTAAAGGAGAAAAGTTAGTTCTCACATAGTAAACCACGACATTTTTCTTTGACGACGAACTAAACGCGCCGTGCACGATAGATGTCAGGCTGGACACCACTGAGAGGACGAATGCGAACCGAACCATTATGACTAGAAGGTAATCCGAAAAAGAGAGAAGAAAAGGAAAGTTCACAATTGCCAACGTCGGCGAATGGTTATTCAACTTGAATTATCTGACGGGTTACGTTGGAGTCGTCAGGTAGGTAGTTGTTTTATTAATATTCAGGTCGTCGACGAAAAAGGTGAAAATGTGCGCAAGCCGCCTACACTCTTCCGGAGTGATAGGAAGAATCCTCTGTCGATTGAATCATGACCAATGACTGGTCTACCTACATTGTAAATATTGTAAATATCAGGGTAGGTATTTTAGGGGATCCACCAAATCTCGTGGCCAACTAGAACGCGAACGCGACTCAGGTATTCCCATGGGGGTGGCAAATCCTCCAAATTGTCTAGATAGTATTCTAGTATCTAGAAGTCTAATTCATGACTCGTCCAAAAGTGTTCATCGCACATTACCAGCATGTGACCTGCTTAGGGTTGAACATCGTCGGCCTTTCCCCATCTCGAAGTTTCGTCTCCGCCTGCCCAGTCCTTCTCTATATAGCCCAGCAGCTTCTTCACTTCTGCCACCGTGGCAGAATCGCCAGTGTTCTTTCCAATGTTATCACTTATTTTGATAGCGGGATTTCCTGCCGCGGAACTCAGTTTGATGACGATATTTAGCGGTACCGATTTCTTCCCGGTCGTGATTTGGGTGAAGTCGTTAGTTAGGTAGGTGCCAACACCAAAGGTCGGTTGGAAGCCCTGTTCCTCAGATATACGCTTATACTCGATACACTTCTCGATATCTAGCGAGTCAGAAAACACAATGGTCTTCTTCTCCTTAATCCCATTCTTATCATAGAACTCGCGCATCAATTTAACAAAGGTGGCCGGGTCGCCCGAATCTTGGCGCACGCCACTGAATACGTCCGCATAGGATTGTGATGACGTTGTTGGTTGACTGCCGTCATCCGAGAGGGGTAGGTTCGGTGTATCAGGGAGGTATCTGACAGGTTTACTAAACGATCTCAAAAACTCCGGTGTACCGAACGTGTCTGTTAATGCGATTCCTAATACGCCTTCGCCAAAACAACCAATCCATCGACGTAGCGCCTCTTCAGTCGCGCCTAAGTAATCGTTCGTGATGGCTGCGACACCCATGAACCACTCATGAGCGACGGTTCCGACAGGTGGAAGGTTGAATCGCATAGCTAGATGGACGTTGCTAGTGCCTGAGAGTTTACCAGGAAGTCCGCGCTTTTCCGCGTCCTTGCTGGCCTTCACTAAGCCCCTGAATACTAACGCCTGGGTATGATAATCTCTTCGTCTACGGGTTCCAAATTCGGAGAGTATGCATCCTGCCTCAAGAAGTCGCATTCCTTTTCCGTACGCCTTATCCTCTTGCCCATCGTAGTTCCAGTCCTTGTCCATGAATTTGAAGTAAGCCTCGGAAGTCAGGGCGAGAAGCGGGATCTCATAGAGGATAGTATCTACCCACTTGCCGCGAACCTCGATGTGGATGTCGCCCAATTCATCTTCGGCCCCGGTGTCTGCCCCTATAGGATAGAAAGTCGGGATCAGTTGCTCTCGGGGCTTGAGTCTGAACTCTTTCAAAAAGTTTAGATAAGGTGTTGATAAATACTTGCAATGCGATTGCAAGAATCGAAGCTCATCGTCCGATAATGAGATATTGCCAAGCTCTATAAATATGATCAATAATCAAGTGCGCACAACTAAATACATGACAGAACCACCTACTGCTAATTTGTTCGCAAAGCCACGAGAAAGCTTTGCGCGATAGCTTTTTCTCGGGCGTACGGTTGGTGAAAGCATACGAAACAGGTACGTCGGGATAGTGTTTGAAGACGGCACATTGCATCGTCAATTTGTATAAATCGGTATCGAGGAAGGATATGACACCTTCCGGGAAAGGCGTCGACCAATCAAAGTGATCCATCTTAGCGGTAGTGGTGGTAGTGAGACTATAATACAGAAGGAGTAGCTCCCGAGGGATGCGTAGAATAGGTGAGATCGAAGCGATTAAGAAGCTTCTTTCTGAGAAAATAAGCAAAGGTGTTGGTCTTTATAAGGGGATAGACCATAAAATCTTAGATAATCCTGAATGGCCGAGGAAGACCAACATAAAAATGTAAATTGACTTCTTGAATCTCCTGATTCATTGAATGTGACTTATTATTTTTTTAAGGAATATTGAAGTTTACCTTGAACTCAGACTCAAACCGTGGAAGGATATAGAAAATGGCTCAATTCATTGGCTAGCCTTGTATGTCCTAGGTTAAGAGATGCGACGCGTCAATTGCAGGATGCGTCATGTCATCCCCACATGCAAGACCTTCAAGGTTTCGATTCTGCTGCTTTCTGTGATGTGATGAGAAATAGGAAAGAGGGACTGATGAGAATGAAGGTGGGGGTGGGGTGTTTTTCGGACCTGTCCGATTTGATTGATGATCGATCACTCACATATTTTGAGGCTTCAAGCTTCTGATAGTGGCTGACAAGAATCTGATAAGCAATTGTGGCTTGAATTCGGTCCAGTTCGGATCCACCTGCATTGACAGGTACTTAGATACATGAAAATGATCGGAATATCGGAGAAAGTAAAATCCTATCCCTGCTCACAGAAAACGTCCAAGCTTTCCAAAATCGTGGCCTCAATTGAACCCCGGATTTTATTTGGAGACAGCTCTTGATTATTGACCACGCCATACTTCACACGCGACTTTCCATTCTTCCGTCTACTTTCACCTTTCATATCTTGATCAACAACAGAGTGGGAGGTTTCGTTGTTCTTATTCCATCTATACTTCGTTTATCGCCTAATTTTCGCAATGGTATGTCATTAAATCTGGATGCAATCTAACTCTTAAAAGGGGGCTAGATGATAAGTCTTGTTCGGCTACTGTTGCGCTACATGGAATTGCTATTGAAAGCCCATTCGCCTTTCGTTGGGATTTGCGCTGACATCTACGATGATTATAGTCTTCCCCTCGAGCTGATTCCCCCGCCAACTCGCCGGCTGCCACTGGCGCCAGCACCGGCCGACCTTCATCCCCTGCACCCCCAGGAGGCGCACGAACTGCCATCCGACGAAGAGCCGCTGCCGACCAGAAGGAGAAGATCGCAAATGCGCGACCGAGCAGCACCAGAGCTGCAGGTGCGGGTGGTAGCAGCAGCACAATGCTTAGTATGTGAAATGGGATATACGTATTCGGTTATAATACAATGCTAATCTATTTCAGGACTCTACACCGACGAATCCCCTGGCCTAAAGGTCGATCCTGTTGTTGTTCTGGTTCTCTCGCTCGTCTTCATCTTCAGCGTTGTCGCATTACACGGTATGGAAGATACTCCTTTTCACAATCAGCATGATATTAACAAACTACTTAGTTATCGCGAAGATCACTCGACGATTCTCGAGCTAAACTGGTGATGTTTGATGATGGTTGAATATATTAATATAACTGCTCTATGATCACCGAACATGGCGCGGCGCCGAAAAGCTGCGACTTTCGACTGGGAATGGAGTAGACGATCGATGGAAACGGAGGAATCCGAACATCAGCAACGATGTTAACCCAACTTTACCTACCAGTCCAGAACCACGACACAGTTTCTGGCGAGCTGGCCTTTGTACTATATCAAAACCTGGCAGGCTCACGCAAAAAATTTCCTTTGCCTCTACCGAAATGACATTAGACGAGCGATCTATGCAATTTTGAGATTTTCAGAAATGAGTACAAGTACGGGCTTCTGGTGAATAGGATCTCAATATTATGAGCTGAAAATGTGAAATGTGTTTATCTCCTTATGATATTTTCCCATCTAAATGTCACAGGTTTAGGCATATATGGGAGGCATGACTTTTGCTGTACATCGCGAATATTCATCTATATGGCGAGAAAATACGGGATTAGGTGGACTTACGCCAATTGGCTTTTTTTAGACCTATCATCTTAGTGTTGTTATACGGCACAGCATAAAAGATTTAAAGATTTTTATTTACTAACAATAAGCTGTCTCACTTCTCAGAAGTGTACTTTATTTTTAGCATTCCATCATACGAGGACTCTTATAGGTCGAACTTCTGTCCAACCAACTTCTCGCTGACCTCCCACAGCTTACGCGCACTCTCTGGATTCGTCGCGTGCTCAAGCGGGCTACCAATCTGGCAGTCCTGGATAAACGACCCGGACTTATCGTCGAACTCCGGATCCAGCGCCGCAGCCAGCAGAGACGATGTTCCTTCAGTCAACGTCTTAGGATCATCCACGCCGCCGAATACCTGGCCGGTGTTCCTCAACGTGACGACCTCGATTTCAGGCCACGAGCTCTCGTCCAAGTGCGTCGTTAGACCTGTGCCCCAAATACCGCCCGGATGCAGGGAGTAAGCCCGCACACCGCGCCCGGCTAGCCGCCGCGCGAGGTCCACGGAGAACAGAATGTTCGCCGTTTTCGATTGTCCGTATGCGCTCCAGCCGTCGTACACGGCGCCCCCGCTGAAGTTGTAGTCTTCGAAGCGGAAGCTGGAGATACGATGGCCTTTGCTCGAGACGTTAAGGATGCGCGAGCCAGGGGCCGCGGCTAGGATCTTCGGCATGATGAGGTTGGTTAGCAGGAAGTGGCCGAGGTGGTTCGACGAGAGGGTCATCTCGTAGCCTTGCTTGTCGAGCGTGTAGTCTTTGACGGCCATGACGCCTGCATTGCTGACCACGGCGTCGATTTTCGGGATGTTATCATCGCTGTTGATCTGCGCCGCGGCGGTCCGCACGGAGTCGAAGTCGTCGAGCGAGCAGGTTACGAAGGTCACTTTAACATTGGGGTTTATGCCGGCTATCTCGGCGATGACGGGCTCGCAGCGCGGCTTACTACGGCTCACGAGAATGATGTTGGAGGGAGATTCGCGGGAGAGGGTTATGGCAGCTTGGCCGCCGAGGCCTTTGGCGCTGGTTCCTGTGATTAGGAATGTGCGCCCTTTGATGCGATCTGCGAAGGCTTTGGCGACCTCTTCGGAGGGGGTGTGGAAGCCGAATGGAGACATGATAGATTTATTTTGCAAGTTATTTTGAGTTCAGTTGATACCTATTGAAAGCTTGATGAATCTTCTCTGGATAGCTACATGTTCGCCTCCCTTATTTATGCCCCCTTTTCGATCACCATTGACATCGGCGATACCATCCATCTCATCGACGTTAGGTTTTAACTCAAACTTACTATAAATCGGCGGTGAGTATTTTACCCGATGAATGCTGCAGTTACCATGATCCATCTTCATATAGCCTACGAGACTAAACGTGTAGTCGACTTTCAGCCGGTCTTTGGCGGGGTTAAGACTTTTCATCCGGTCTTATTTACGCCTGTGGATCTGTACGACATCTAAAATGCTATTTTCTCTCTTCTAATAACTTCAAGATGAGTTACACACGGCTCTAACGGTTTTAGTAAAATATGGTATGAGATCATAACATTTCTTGTCCATTCGGTGATGTGTCAATCGGAGATTTGCTCGTCGCCCGATACGAAGTATTGAGTATGTGAAGCTGCGCTATGTTTTATTCTCCTATAAGTTTAGTTTGTTCTCCTTATGTTTCTGCCTGGAGTTTGGCGTCTTTAGGTTTCAATGTTCTGCCAAATTTGGAATAAATAGCCTTAGTATCGCGGCTGCCTTCAATGTCAAGTAAGGAGCGGCCCCGTAGTCGCAAGGAGCTTCCCGAGACCCGCTAGAGATGTCAAATTGAAAATGCCTACTTCGTAGATTGAACGAAACGACTCGGGAAAGTGCATTGGAATGTTTAGATAATCCGAGGCTCCGTTTGGTGGCTTTGAGAAGGAACCAATCTTACCAACAGTTATCTCTCTCTTCTCGACCGAATTAAAAAGTTAATTCCAAACTTGACATTGAACATCCATCTGAACCCGGCAGGCGTCTTAGACAAAAGCCTGTCTCTCGATATTTGCTTTCCGAAACCTGGGTATAAGCACGCCTATATACACCCAGATGGGTTTACGAAACTACTCGTACTCTCGTATAAATGCGAAAAAAAACACGCCTGACTCGTACAGCCCCAAGCTGGAGGCTAACGCATGTACGACCTCAGAACCCCTCCCTCCCTTGGATTCAGCGCTGAACCAATTAAAGGCCCACAACCAATTCTCATTTCCTTAACATTTCCGAGTTTCCATGTGTACCTAGGTACAGACGGTCAACGGCCGCGCAAGCACGCAACCTCAGAATACCCTTCACATGTGATTGTGTTATGGGTACAATTAAGCAATTAGTTCAGGAGAATTCAGAAGAATTGAGGCTGAGGAAGTGCGAAATTCGCTTATCATTATAGCATCGGCGCCGGTAATAATTAGCTGGATCTAGGAATCCAAATAAAGCAAATGCGGCACGAAACGTACCAATAAACGACAACTATAAAGCGGCCAACACGTCACTTGAAGGGGGCAAGTGCAGCGTAATGCCAAGTTCGTTGAGACGTCCACGGGTGGGCTACCTCTAATGCGGTAGCGCTATTAGCTACAAACCGGGTGCCTAGATGCGGAAGCGGGTCGCGAAAGTCGCAACGCTTCGCCTCCTAGAACAGCATCATTGCGGTACCTGACATCACCGCGCCAGGTACCTACATTATGCCCCTACATCTACTACATCTACCTCCTCAGCTCCTCTATCATGGACCTGACAATCTTTCCTCGATAAGTCCCAATTGCAGAATATTACTCATTCTTTTTCTTCTTCTTCGACTTCTACTTCGTTTTTCCTTGTGATACCTGACTAGGTCCTCAATATTCATTTATTGCTTCATGTGATACCCCTCCTTAGTCATTCCCCTCTTCCCGTCTCAAGCCACTAGCGCGCAGCATTAGAAGTATCTTTACAGGATTCTCTTCACTACACAAACCTATATACTCTAACCGCTCCATGTAACTACCTTAACAACCTTTGAAATTTACGTTCCGCATGTTGTCCTAAACTTCGAGATTTATAACTATGTCGATTATCGACGAGAAGAGCGCCGGAAAGGCGGACGAAGCTGCTCAAGCTCCTCGTCGTACCTCTCCCCACAATCCACCCGATGTTGTTACGCCTGATGTCTTTAGCGACGGGCCTATACCTGTCGAAGCCGAGCTAGGAGCTGAGGAGGATGTTCCTCCAGCTTACAGCGAGATGCACGATCAGTTTTCCCTTCACCAAACAGGGTTCGACGCAGGGGCTGCTGTTACGGGTAAGTAGTAATACCTGGATTGTTTGTTTGGCCGACAGCTGACCGATACATCTGATAATAGATGATGGCCGAGTCAACATCAATATCAATCAGACGAGCAGGCATTTAGCCGACTTCATAGCTCCCGCTTTACGCAATCAGCTGAGAGAGAGCATCGAACCCACTGAATCTACTCTCCCACCTGCCTATATCCCCCCCAGTTTAGGTGGCCAACCAGGTCAGACCCCACCGCCTCGATTAAACGTCGTTATACAGATTGTGGGTTCAAGGGGTGACGTGCAGCCATTTGTTGCGCTAGGGCAAGTTTTGAAGAATACATATGGTCATCGTGTCCGAGTAGCTACGCATTCCACCTTCCAGAAATTTGTCGAAGAAAATGGCTTGGAATTTTTCAATATCGGTGGTGACCCCGCCGAACTCATGGCTTTCATGGTCAAGAATCCGGGGTTGATGCCTGGGATGGATGCGTTAAAGAGCGGAGAGATAACTAAACGAAGAAAGGGAATTGAAGAGATCGTTCTTGGCTGCTGGAGATCTTGCATAGAAACTGGCGATGGCCTCGGCCCGGCCCCACGATTCGAACGTCGGAGTAAAGTGGATGCTGAACGCGACGAAAGCCCGGCCCCTTTGCCTGAAGATCCGGGGAATAAGCCATTCGTCGCAGATGCAATTATCGCAAACCCCCCGAGTTTCGCACACATTCACGTGGCTGAGAAGCTAGGAGTACCTCTGCACCTAATGTTCACGTAAGTCTCATAATAATATGGAGCGGGGTCTCTTGCTAATGTTGGTGTTAGTATGCCTTGGTCACCAACAAGAGCATTTCCCCAACCATTGGCAAATATCCAGTCGTCAAATACGGATGCTGTCACTACAAACTATGTCTCCTATGCGCTAGTTGAGATGATGACATGGCAAGGCCTTGGAGATGTCATCAACCGATTTCGTACAAAGATCCTCGATCTTGAGCCGCTCTCTATACTCTGGGCGCCTGCTGTATTGACTCGCCTTCGGGTCCCTTATACGTACTGCTGGTAGGTTCATAAACTCATCTATCAGAGAACAACATGTCTCATTTTTCACAGGTCTCCCGCCCTCATCCCCAAGCCGAATGATTGGGGACAGCATATCGATATCGCTGGATTTTATTTCCTCAATCTAGCATCGTCTTATACACCAGATCCCGAATTAGCCGCGTTTCTTGCAGCGGGCCCACCCCCCGTTTACATAGGGTTCGGTTCCATTGTTGTGGATGACCCGAATGGGCTGACTAGAACGATATTCGACGCGGTAGCAGAGACCGGAGTTCGAGCTCTTGTTTCGAAAGGATGGGGTGGGTTAGGAGCAGATTCGGTTGGTATACCGGATGGCGTCTTCATGCTTGGCAACGTTCCCCACGACTGGCTATTCCAACATGTCTCCGCCGTTTGTCATCATGGAGGTGCCGGAACCACGGCCGCCGGAATCAATGCCGGTAAACCGACTATCGTCGTCCCATTCTTCGGAGACCAGCCATTCTGGGGCGCTATGGTTGCGAAAGCCGGGGCAGGACCCGAACCCATTCCATACAAGAAACTCACCGGTGCAGCACTAGCCGAAGCTATCCGAGTAGCAACAAAACCAGAGACTTTAGCACGGGCTCGGGAACTCGGGGAGAAGATACGCGAGGAGAAGGGCACAGATGTTGGAGCCCAGTACTTCCATAAGCATCTCAACGTTGACAGGCTCCGTTGTTCATTAGCTCCTAGCCGAGTTGCCGTGTGGCGTCTTCGGCGAACCCAAGTTTTCCTTAGCGCGTTGGCAGGTGCGACACTTGTTAACAACGGATATTTGCGATATTCGGATCTGAAACTGTAAGTCGGTTGATTGGTCTTGATAGTAGTTATATAACCTCGCTAATTGCTTATATTAGATTCCGTGCGAACGAATATAGTACCGAGGACCATCCAACAGATCCTATTTCGGCATGCACGTCGGCGCTACTAGGAGACATGGGTACCATTGCCATGTCTATGGCTGACTTCCCTAGGGAACTTTTCAAAGCGGCGGTACCAAAATCAAAGTCTTCCGACAAAGTTGGCGACGACTCAACAACAGTAGCATCAAGTGAGACTAATAACGGCACGCCTAGCTTAAAGCCAGGGGACTCTACTACAACACTAGCAGCCTCGGATTCACTTAGCATGTATTCCAATCCATTAGCTGCGGCGTCGGAGAACACTATTTCGACTCCCTTGGCCCCCATCACCTCGACCGGCACAGGACATTCAAGAGCACCTTCTGGAACACCATCTGTAACACACCGTAACCGCACTGACTCGCATAAATCAGGGACGGCATCTCCTAACCTCCTGAGTAATGAAAACTTCGAGAATGCAATCGGTGCCGGCAAGAGTATCAACACTATCGTGGCAACTGGGATGAAGTCACCTATGAACTTTTGCCTAGGACTCGCGAGAGGCTTCAGAAATGCGCCAACCCTGTATAACGACGATACCGTTCGTCCTGCGGAGAAAGTAACTGATTTTGCCAGTGGCCTCAAGATTGCAGGTAAGGAATTCGGGTTTGGTATGTTCGATGGAATCACTGGGCTGGTGACACAGCCTCTCCGAGGCGCGGAGAAAGAGGGTGCTATGGGGGCCTTAAAAGGGTTCAGCAAAGGTATCGGAGGACTGATGCTTAAACCTGCAGCTGGTAAGTTACACGATTATTCTTGGTGATGCGATTTGAAATACTAATAACCTTAATAGCTATTTGGTCTATCCCGGCATATACCATGCAGGGTGTACATGCTGAAATTCGAACGTTGTTTGCTCAGAGTGCGCAGAAGTATATCATTGCGGCTCGAATCGCTCAAAGCCAAGATGACTTTGTCAACTCATCACCAGAAGAGCGCGAAGACATAGAGGTTCGCTGGATCTCCCAGAAAGAAAAGATGAAGGGGTTTTACTCGTGGAAGCAAAAGGAGAAGGGAAAGGCTCGAGACGATTCTCCTGCTTCATCGAATCATGGGTCGGCTATTACAGAGCAAATTGTCGGCAACGAGCCTCCGAAAACGGGATGGCTCAACACACGGAATCTATCCTACGAGGAACGGAAGAAACTACAGGAACAGAAGAAAGCATGGAAAAAGAAACGAGCAGAAGCGGCAGCGACAGGGGGTACATTTATTGAAGAGCTTCCGACCGCCAATAGTTCACGAAACGACGTAAATTTCGAAGAAGCAATCCTAACCGCGGTACGAGAAACCTCTCGTGGGGACGCATTCGAAGATTCTCGGGTGGAACAAGCGATTCGATCGAGCGTCAGGTTATTAAGAAGCAGATCAACGACGTTAACGTCACTTGCCTCGACAGCCTCTCGTGGTACTCAGGGCACACAGGATTCTGGATACATTTCTATGATTGATCCTAGACGTACACAGCCAAATTATGATATCAAACAACCAATACCTGTACCTGGGCCAGAGCTACCACCCCGCATATCGGAAGATCTGATGGATATTACCGAGGAGGAGTATCAAGCCTTAATTGAGCAAGCCGTTCAGTTGAGTATGGCCGAGGAGCAAGGAAGTGGAGTTCAGAGACACGACGTCGATAGTAGCGAGGACGAGGACTTCAAACGGGCCCTGGAGAGATCACAAACGGACCGTAGCACAGAGGATCAGAGCGAGGAAGACTATAAGAAGGCCATCCAAGCTTCTGAAACAGAACGCGGAAGCCCAGACGAAGAAGAGGAACTAAGAAAGGCAATCGAAGCCTCGCAGGTAGAACAAACCCAGGGAGTCACCGACGACGATGAAATGCGCCGCGCCATTGAAGAGTCAGAGAAAGCACACAAGGAGCAACTAGCGCGTGCTTCGACGCTAAGGACGGAAGAGGATATCGTGTTGGAATACGTCAAGAAGCAGAGCCTTGCAGAAGAAGAGTTCCGTAAGGCTAAGGGGAAACAAGCAGATACCGCCGTCGAGGACGAGGAGCTTAGGCGCGCGTTGGAGGAGAGCTTGAAGACGGAAAGTGGGGTTAAACGTGGGGGTGGCGGAGGTGGAGGTCCGTCGCAGTTCTGATCCATGTATGACAGTGCGAGGAGTGTGAGAATGGATACGAGCATACGATATTGATACCCTTCTTTAATTAATGTCCAGGAAAAAGAAATAGCAGGTTGATTGCGACCACGACTTTTGTTTTGGGACTTTGGTGACGGTGATTTGTGTGTGCGTGAATGTGAATGTGATGGAGTTGCTGGTTTTGGATATGAGGTGGGGGAGTCCGGGAAAGGAAAAGTAATGGTGTTGGAGACCGCGTCTGGATCTTGGTCGGGTAGGCGGGTTGGAGACTAGGTGATTGCTAGATTCTTTAATAAAGAGACTAGTATTGCAGGTAGGATATCGTGAATGAAGGCTGGAAAGCTGGAAATAAGCAAAATTATCGGTATCCTTCGAGGTGGAGAGCTTATGATGATGTAATCGGGTTCTAGGCGCATGGCGACTTGCTTTTTTACGATTCTATTGATGAGTCATCTTAGTCATTATCACTGTTATCACTGCTAGTGATGCCGGAGGGAATTGGCCCATCACGTAAGGAGTGTAATGTGGCCTCATTTATGACGAATGGAGTAGGGGGGAGGCGATAGATCATACGTAGAAGGAGGCATGGGGAAAAGTGATATAAGGCTGTGACGATGGTACGCGAAATACCTTAAACCGTTAAAACATTAAATGTATTAAACTTTTTTAATTAATTAATCACGTGTTTCTTTATATTAATATTTTACGATGAATAATTTTAAAATTTATAATTATTATTATATGTTTTTTCGTAATTATTATAATTAATAAATATTTTTAAAATTTTAAATAATAATATTATTATTAAAAAAATTTATTATTAAAAATTAATAAATTAATAAGCGGTAAAAAAAAAAAAAATTTGGAAAAATTTTATAACATTTAATTTAGAGCAACACTAAATCTGCAGTACAGTTTGGCTATATCTGCAGTGCTGAGCCACTTTGGAGAGCCGACGTTTAGCCGAAGGTCCGAGCTCAAAAGGTACACGTTTCGCCATACAATTCCACATACAAATCTAAGTATCTTTTCAGCCTCAAAACCTTATTTTCCACACCAATCTAGATACATGAGCCTCCACCTTTCATCAATTGTTTCTCAACGACTTTGGGTCAAAAGCGTTATTAATTTGAAACATATTCATATTGGACGATTGTGCATCGAATGAACCTGGTTGCATTATGTTTGGGTCTGGTTTGAGGAAGAGAAGGGCTCTTAAAGCTGGCTCAATTAGTACTCTTCTGGTTTGCGACCGGCGTTCTGACCCCCGCTACACCAAAATACATCCTGTCAAAGTTCAACCTGCAATAGCTCAATTGAATTCATTTCAAATACGATGCAACCTGTATCATTCAATTGCTCTTGAACTGCGCTTTTATATAATCAACTTTTCGAAAGATTTGGAGCTCTTTTGATGGAGTTAAAATAGGTTGAAGAATGGCTGTTTTTGGTGTTCTTGTACTGTGGCGGGCTTTCTGGAGATACTTCGATTTGTATGTGGATTTGTATGACAAAATAGGTACCGTTCGAAAGCGCGCCTTCGCCACAATGTGGCTGACACTGCAGATATAGCCAAAGTATACTGCAGATTTAGTGTTGCTCTTAATTTATTAATATTAATTATTAATTTTTTTTTAAATTAATAATTAAAAATTTATAAAATTAAAATTTAATTTATTAAATTTTTAAAAGTTTTATTAATCGTTAATTTTAAAAATAAAATAAATAAAAAGTTTTATTTATATATATACCGTGTTTTTTATAACGAAAATGTTAAAAACTTTTCGCGTAATAACGTCGTTATTTTTTAATTTTTTAATTTTATTTCGTAATAATTAAAATTAAATTATTAAAAAATTTAAATATAAATATAATTTAATTAAAAACGTAAATATAAATAAATTAAAGTTTTTAATTTATTATAAAAATATTAAATTACGGCGTAATATATTATATATTTTTTTAATTATTTATTTATTTATTTAATAAATATTAAAAATTTTATTTAATTTCGATTTTATATTTATATATTTATTAAGTTTTATATTTTTTATTTTTATATATATTATTTTATACGTTTATTTTAAGTTTATTTTTAAAGTTAATTTTTTTAAATAATTTATTAAATATTTAATTTTTTTTTAAATTAATAATTAAAAGTTTATAAAATCGAAATTCGATTCGTTAAATTTTTAAAAATTTTATTAATTATTAATTTTAAAAGTAAAATAAATAAAAAACTTTATTTATATATATATTATATTTTTCATAATAAAAATAATTAAAATTTAAAAACTTTTCGCGTAATAACGTTATTATTTTTCAAGTTTCCCGGAACGTAAAATTAAATAAATTTTTTATTAATATTAAATAAATTTTTTATTAATATTAAACGTATTTTTATTTAAATATATTTATTTAAATTAATTATTTAAATATATATTTTAAAATATAATTTTTTATATAAATTTATGTATTTTTTAAACGTTTTATAATCGAAGTTTTTTATTATTATAAATTTTATTATTATTTTTAAAATTTTTTTTTAAAAGTTTAAATAAAATTATTAAAAAGTTTTAAAAAAAAAATAATAAAATTATTAAACTTAATATTAAATATATTTATTTAAATTAACGTTATTATTAATAATAAATAACGTTATATATTTAAATAAATAATTTTATTTTAATATAATAATTTATAAATAATTACCACGTTTTAATTTCGAATTTTTATTAAAGTTAATTATTAATTATGTTTTTTTTTTTATATTTTTATTTTTATATAAACGTAATAAAGTTTAATCGATATATATATATTATATAAATATAATATTAACGAAAGTAAATATTATTTTAACGATAATAAGTTTAAAAAGTATTTTATTTTATATAAATAATTATATTCGAAATATATATTAACGTAATTTTTTTCGATTAAATATAATTATATAAAAGTTCGTTTAATTTTATAAATCGTTATTTTTTAATTTTTTAGTTTTATTTTATAGCTTAATTTTTAATAAAATAAAGTTATTTAATTTTAATTTAATGTAATAATTTTTTAATATTAAAATAAATGTAAATTATAAATATTATATTAAGTATATATTTAAGTAATTAATTAATTAAATTATTAATTTTAAGTAATAATTTATAAATAATATATATATATTTTTTAAATATAAAACGTAAATTTTTAATTATTTAATATTTTAATATTTAAAGTCGTAAAGTTCGTAATTTTTTTTTTTTTTTTTCGAAAAAGTTTTTACGTTTTTATTTAATAATAATTTATTTATTAAGTGTTAAAGTTATATTAAGTTTTAAATATTCGATAATATCGTGTTAATTTTTATATATGATTTTTTTATATATTAATATATTTTTTTAATTAATTATATTTTTAATAATATAATATATAATTATTTAATAATATTTAAGTATTTTAATATTAATAATATTTAATATTAATTTTCGTATAATAAATATTTAAAAATATTATATAATATTATTATTATTAAAAAAGTTTACGTTTTTATAAGTTGTTTTTTTTATTATTAATGATTATTTTTATTTTTTATTACGAAGCGAAATTTAAAAATTAAAAAATAATAATATTATTACGCGAAAAGTTTTTAAATATTTTTATTATAAAAAATATAATATATATATAAGTAAAGTTTTTTATTTATTTTACTTTTATTAATATACGAGTTATATTATTTATTATGTTTATTTTTAAACTTTAATTATTTTTATAATCGAAACTTTACTTATTTTTAATGCGTTTTTATTTTTTTTATTTATAATATTTTTTTTATTTATAATATTTTTTTTATTTATAATATTTTTTTTATTTATAATACCTTTTTTATTTATAATGTCCTTTTTATTTATAATGTTTTTTTTATTTATAATATTTTTTTTATTTAATTTTTTAATAAATATTAATAATAAAATATTATTATAATAAATTATTAATTAAATAATTATAAGTTAAAAATAAAAATAAAAAATATATATAATAAGTAGTTTAAATATATAAAAATAAACGAATAATTTTTAAAGTTCGAATTAATTATATTAATTACATTAAAAAAATATATTAAATAAATTAATTTTAATATATCGAACTTTTTCGTAAAATAAATTATAATGTATATTAAAAGCTTTTAATAAATATTAATTAATAAATATACATTAAAATAAATATAAATTCATTTTTTTAATTTATTTAATGAAGTTATTTTTAAATATATCGTTAAATATTTTAAAATTACGCGTTAATTTAATATATATAATTTATAAATAAAATATTACTCGTTTTATTCGTTTCGTTTTAATAAATATTAAGTAAATATTATAATTATTTTATAAAAATTTATAAAAAAATAATTTTTATTAATTTATTAAAACTTAAATTTCGTTAAAACGTTATATTATATGTAAATATAATAAAATTAATTAATTATATGTTTAAATATTTTATTATTTAACGATTATTAATTATTTTTTAATTATATACGAATATAATTTTCCATTTATAAATTAAATAATGTAATTATTATATTTAAATATAATTTTTTATTTAAAAATTTTAATAAAATTAATTATATTAAATTTAAAGTTTTTTTCGTAAAATTATAATAATAAAAATAAATTACTTAATTTTTACGAATTATTTAATACGTTTTAATAATTATAAATTAAAAATATATTTTACGAATTGAAAATATTTTTGGATATTTTTTTATAATAAAGTTTTAAAAAAATATAACTTAATTTATTAAAAAACGCATAACGTAATTAATTAAAATAAATTAAACTTTTAAAAATTAATAAAAGTTTAATGAAATTATTTAATATAAAAATATTTAATTAAAAAAAACCGGGATTATAACGTTATTACCGTATTAATTTAAATTTAAAATTACGTTTTAATAAAATTTAAATTTTAATAAAACGAACTTATTTTAATTATATAAAAATGTAAATATTAAAAAATAAAAATAAAAAAAAATAAAAAGTTATTATTTAAATAAATATATATTTAATAATTTAAAGTATTATTTTTATTAAATATTTAATGTATAATAAAAAAACGTTTTTACGATATAAGTTTATAAGGTTAATAAAATTAATAAAATTAAATATAATAATAATTTTAACTTTTTATTATTACGATACGAATATAATATTTAATATAAAGTAATTTTTACGAAAAGATTAATTTTTTTAAAAGTTTTATTTTAATGTAAATATTATTAAGTATACGATTATATTTATTATTTAAAACTTTAAAATTTAATTTATTTTAATGTTTACATTTAAAAATATATAAAATAAATACACTTTTTTTTTTAATTATATTTAATATTAATAAAAACGTTTTTATTAATTATTATATATATTAAAATAATAAGAAAATTATAATTATTATAATGGTATATTTTAATTAATTTTAAATATTTAATTAAATGCGTAATCGTAATATTCGTCGTTTTTAAATAAATATTTTTATTAACGTTATATATATTATTCGTTATAATTTTCGTTATGTCGTTATTTTATTAATGTTATTATTAAATTTTTTAATAAATATTAATAAC